GAGGTCATAACCTGCTATAGAAACGATTTTGAAATGATCTTGCTATTCTTTCACGTCAGAGACTGCACTCGTGTTAAAAATTATGTTCTAGAAAATGAAAACATTTAGAGCTAAGTCTTTGTTTTTCTCAACCTGGCAAAATATGGCCGGTTGCCACAGTGCTGAAATGTAATTTATCTCAATCACTGTCTCTGATCAATTAAAAAAAGCCCTGGTGTGTTCGCATGATTGAAATCTCTCTGTGTTATCTCCCCTTTTCCTTTTCCTGCCATGGTTCTGGAAAGGAACCATGGTTCTCGTATTGAATTTTTACATCGCTAAAAAGTACATAACTCTCCTTTCATCTGTATCAACAATGCAACATGAATATTTATCATCAAGAATGCGATAGCACTACCTTATACGTTTCTCCATGGTGAGAAGAGACGGCTAACAATAATGTATTTTCAAATAAAAATGAAGGGTAAAGAAATTGATCTTATTGTACAAACTGTGCTGGAAAGGTTTGTTTTGTTTCTTTACACTATTGAGTTAAACTTCAATGAAATATATATTTTTTATTAACTCAATTTCGTTTCAAATGACAAAAGGTTCCAACGGTATTTCATAATCCCTGGCCCTTAGTCGCACGCTTTAAAATGATCGTTGCCTTTTGATGTCAAGCAAATTGAATGGATAATTTGTAAATTGTGTCGAAATTATCCAGGATTGGATTTATTTTCCTTTCCTTTTCTTAATGATTGCCAAAACTAAAGCCACTAACGACTTATTCATTCTCGTTTTCTGGCGCTTCAGACAGTTTATTAGCTATTTAATTGATACTGACATTGAAAAACTAACATCACGAGTGAGAGCGCCATCAACTAACGCGTCGCTATTTACAAGACTTAAAAAAATAAGAATAATATACCTTTGTTTTTCACTCCTTTCGTTCACGTGTCAGATGGGAACAGACTTTTGAACCACGACTGTTTTTAATAGATTCGAATAAACATTTTATTAATTTGCTCACACACGCATTTTAAACATTTAATTTTAAATTAAATATTAAATATATTTTAGAAGAAAAATCATATAGACCGCTGAAGTCACTTCTTTGGGTCGCTTTATCATCGTCTTATTTTATTCTACTGAGAGAAAACGATAAAGGTTTCTCATTTGCTGTTATCTCATTTTTTGATTGTAATTAGAAACTTTAAGTTATAGGAAGAAGTATTGCGAATTTTGGGCTTGATGGTTGAAAATAGAGAGATGTTATTTTGTTTTTCACAAGCTTGGGACAAAGTGCAGCGTGCAGCGTGCAGCGTGCAGCGTGCAGCGTGCAGCGTGCAGCGTGCAGCGTGCAGCGTATAACATGCTCCGTCGGAACGCGAAATTCAAAGGCCTAAGGGTTTGAGTCCTCGCTGTGACTCCGACTTCGCTACCTTTTCCAGCTCGTGACAAAATGCAATCCGATCGTTCTTTTTTTTTTTTCATTTCAGCTTCGTTTCAGTTTCTAGCAACGTTTTTGAAAAACAAAAGAGAACACTGTTAAAGACGTCTGGAAGTTTTCATTGCCACCGAAGCTAAAAACTATACAGTCTTTCCTTAATGATATTCGCTTCATTCTTCAAGCTGTAAAAATACCCTCCCACGTACTATGCCCAACTTCTTTATGAAGTTTCCAAGGGTCTTCGTTTTAAATTAAATGCTTAGGTAGATTTCCACCAAACGAAGCGAAGACTCCACCAATGTCAGCTGTTTTCGCATCAATTTGTAGTTTTAGCGGGGATGTTTGTTTTGTGACGGGTATTTCTTCAAATCAATATGCTAATGATCGAATTTGTTTCGACCTCAGACTTTTAAAGTGTTAAAGCGAATTTCTTTAACAACATTTTCGTTTCTCTGACAGTCGAACAAAACGAGTTCAGCGTTTTTGTTCCTTGTAGTCTGAGTAGGTCTCAAAAATTTTTGGGGATCAAGTCTTTGATCTTCAGTCTTCGCTCTTTGGTCTTTAATCTTCAATCTTTGCTTTGCAAGCTAACAAAGCAAAAGACGTCATCATTGCTGTAAGGACACATATGAAAAGTTTCTTTGTCTCTTACCGTTGGCTCCAAACTTACATATGGTGATTTCGAGTCAAAGCTTTTGGCCTGAGCGGGATATTGGACTATTGCCAACAGCGCCATAATTTGCCTAAAGGCCAGGTATGGGCTTAACAGCTTTGATTAAGTAATTAAACAAATTAAACAACTCAAATGATCAAACTTTACATACGTAGAAGCAGAGAAAATTTAACAACCGAGGAAGAAAAATCATCATGTTGACGACATGACGGAATCGCCTTCCTTGTAATCTATGGCCAAAACGGCAAAAATCATGGTAAAAGGATCCATTTTGCCCTGGCCTTTAGTTTGCTAAAGATAGTTATTAAAATCGCATGTATTTTGCATTTGCTCCAACAAACCTTTCCTGTAGTAGCATATTCATTTCTTTGCGTCCTATGCGCAGTGTAAAGCAGGAGAATAAGAGAAACAGCATAAAATTCTTCATGAGCCATGAGCTTAGTGTTAATTAAAGTTGGGCCGACACCGATACCAAATATGCGATACTGGCGATACCAAGGTCTGCACGGAAATATCGACATTAGCGAAAAGTATCGATGCTTTCGATACTGCACGTGATCTGCCTGCGCTTCGTCCCACGCCGGCGACCACCCACTGAAGCTAGAAAGACTCATTGCTCGAGATTGAGCGCCGATGTGCACCAGTCTAAGTGGCGTGTGAGCGCTACAATGGTGAAATGATCGACAACAGTGAGTCTCGCCATGAGTGCGTCCCTAATCCCGTTTTAATTTTTTTACTGTCTTGTTCATGATTCTAAAGAGAGCTGAAAGAAGTATAGTGGTAAAAGCGAACCCAGAAATCTTAATTATATTTATTGGTTGGCGTAGTAAGATAGTTATACTGAGAAACCCATGTTTTTAGACGCAATTTTACCCTAAACTGGTGCACTCGTGAGAAGTGGTTCAAGTAAGTTTTTGCGCCTTAAAAACGCGTAAGCGACAGAGATGCGCAAAGTACATGTATGTTAATACCCTATTTGAACTTTCCATAAACAACTTTGACACTTCTAGTAGCCGCGAACACAATGGATATTTATGAACATATCACAAAGCGAAGCAAAGAATATAGAGCATGCATGATTAAGTTCATGCATGGACAAGAGGGTTAAACCATTCAAAGCCTCTCTCAATGAAATATGTCTACAAGACCAGTTGCAGAACGCCTCGGAACCCAATCTTACACTGTCACGAAACGTTCCAGTCCATTTCTTGACCTTGTTTTCCTTCAAAAAACCCCGTCTTTGGGTAGGAGATTTGATTGCGTGACACGAAGGTATTCTGTTTATCGTGCGTTGGCCCACAGGCAGCAATGGTGCACTGATGATAAACTTTGGTTACTACAAGGAATATTCTATTTGCAGAAACGTTATTTGTATCATTAAGAATAAAAGCAAAATGTCGTTTGCATGAATTTTAATGTTTCGTATTTTTATGATCATAGTCCGGTTAAAAAAAACTCGTATTGAAGTCACGCTCTGTCAACATGTCAACATTATGAATCTCGCAGCGGGGTTTATCTACGTTACATAATTATCATTCCAATTTGACGTTGATAAGTTAAGTAAACTAAGCACCACTCGTTAAATGAACACATTTAAATGATCTTTAGCCTACCGTGAGTTATTTGTTGTGCACCTGCAATCATTTGAGCGGCCATTGAGCGCGAATTTGTAGCTTTTATTCTTCTCTCCGATCTATTAACGTTTCGCTTTCCTATGTGGATCTTGTTGTTGAATCCATGCAATGGAAAATAGCTGTGGTAAGCCAGTTGGTACACTGAATCAGCACTTGTGGCTAAGTCACACGTTCGCCATGTTGCTCGACTTATTTCATTACCAGTCTCTAGCTAATTAACACAGGATTCCCAAGACCAAAATGTGAATGTCCGAGCTTTAAGTTTGGGGATAGGTTTACTGCCGCTAACTTAATAAGTGGTCAGGTATAACCCTCCAAGAGTTTGCCAACTAGAAATTGGCAAGCTTCGTGGTTGAAGTCTTCTTATATCACGCTATAATCACGTGCATAACGAATCTTTGATTTTGTTTTTAAATGTTTGGGCATTCAGCTGCATGGAATGCTTTCATTACTTGATAAAAACTTAATAAAGAACGGATTTATCATATTTACCACAAGATTGAGCGGAAATCATAACAGTTATTGAACTTCTTTTAAGTTAGTAGAGCAGATTTATTTGAAAAGAAAATTTCTATTCCCCGGCTTCATATCAATATATTTGCAGAGAGAAGTTGTTTTGTCCCCGTGAAAACCAAAGCAGCCGAGTCAATTCTCGCTTGACTGCCTCTTCAGTCAGCTCTCTGTTATATGAAGCAGTGCGTTTACTTAAAGTATGAGAATGGATGGAGGATTTCTCAAAATAACGATAACACCTCAAGTTTCCCTTTGGATATCTGGAGACCAAAATAACTGACAAGGTTTACAGAGGAAAAACATTACGTCATCACGTCACATTTTCTAAAAATAGGGTTTGAATGTTTGGCAATATTTTGGCGACTGCTTTTATGACCTGGGGTATAAGTGAAAACATTAACAGTCCAAATGTAAAAACGCAGAGTGGGGAAAAAATAATAAATAAAGAAAAATACACCATAGAAATGAAAAGGGCTGCGTGGAATAATGAGTACGTAAGGCCGTTGATGCTAGAGGTGCTAATTATACACGTTTCGAATGTTGCTATATAGAGAACGTACTTGTCACTTGCCGTTATCTTTTGAGTTTAAAGCTACCCATGTCCAAAGTTTCCCAAAGACACCACGCAAGCAGATTTCGGAGTGTGATTTTTTTGTGACGTACATCCTTCAATCTTATTATCTTAATTTGATGGCCAACAGACACCCGTTTCAGCTCCAGTCAATCGGGTGTATCATTAACATCCGTAGTTGACCTCTTTGACGAGTGATCTTAATTTATGCCATAAGCAAATATTGTTTGAAGGAACGACTGAGCGAAGTGATATCGTGGTGTTTTCACATCTTGGATATATGTTGTGTAAGTTGCGTCCTGTGAAGCCAATATGGAAGGAAATTAACTTGAGCTGAAGACAGGTAAGCACGTCTCGCATTCTTCCCGACGATCAATACTGCTTTCGTTGATAACATCAGACTAAATCTTCAGGCGAATGTTGACGCTCGACTTTTGAATCATAAGCAAATTATAAGAATATATAAGCTTGAGAAAACGTTATTGTGATAATTTCCTCATACATCATTTACACATGTTTGATACTTGGATATCTTAAGATTTTGGACGCTTTCTCTTCTTCCTTGAGATAACGTTTCATGACTTTGCTGAAGACATACATCATAAGCTAATTTATCACGGCAGCGCTTCCGCTGATTACGAAACGATTGGCGTGCGTTTGATGAAGCAAAAACTTTCTGAGAGCGCCATACTGAATTGCATGTAGCACTATGTGTACACAGGGAAATGGTGTTCAGTTTTTACTAAAGAGAGTGCGCGCTATCGGCTGTTAATCGTTTAAATCGATATGGCTTCCTGGTTAAATAATTAATTGACGCCATTTTGGATTCGTTCGCACTTTTTCACTGAGTTTCTTCCTTTAGCGATGGCGGTTAAAGTCGTTGGATAGATTTGTAGACGCTTTTCAAACTAATACCTTGCAGAGATGTACAGTATGAAGGGAAGAAAGGATTTCTTTAAAAGCCTGCCGTGTATCGCGTGTTAAGTTTCTAGAATTTATAGAGATGTTTCGTAGAATTGCAAATTTATTCACGCACAAAGTTCGCGTGACAGATTGAGTGACGTCACTGTTGAAAAAGCTCTCTTTATTTTGAACCAACGGTGCATAACTTATAACTTCATTACTTTCAATGCATTTCGTTGACGGCTTTGGTGTGAAAAGAAAGAGAGTTTTTTTTATTACAGCACCAGGACGTGTTCATCGCTACACCTGATCTATTTCTTATTTATTTTGCTTTCCCCCAATAGTACGCGTGTTAAGAATTAAAATGCCTTTAATGCCTATTATCGGCGTGACAAATTTCTGTGTGGATAGCAAGTCACGCCATTCGAAACTCTAGAAAATACGAACAGCCCTAGCGTGACTTTAAAAGTTTCATAGCCACGACACCGAAAGAACGTCTTCGTCAGAGGTTTATAGAAAAGAGAGAGGAGGCTGGTCAGCTTATTTTTAAAAAGTAAATAAATGATAGATAGATAACTATACCGTTAGCCGAAACGACACCGGAAATAGGGTTGCTTACAGACGTAATTTCTTACAGTTCCGCTATCGCTACTCCCCGCTCGTAGCTGCTGCGACTTTCAGCTAAACACGCTGACAAACTCTTTCCCGACGCCAAGGCAGCTCGCTGACAGGGATAACAAACTCTTGCAATTAGTGCTTTTCATGACTATCAAGCGTAGAAAATGCTTTCAAGATCCTGAAGAATCCTCGAAGACCTCTAATCTACAAGAATATAGCATTTGTTACATCGTGCCTTCAAAAATAACGTATTCATGATAGCGGAGCTCGCAGAGCTTAGCCCCATAATTATACAAAACAGTAGTAACCCATCGAGCCGAAAACATTTGGATGTACGACCGTACGACCGTTCGACCGTACGACCGTACAAGGTGCTACTTTTAACATGCGTGGTCAAATGTACCGCGGGCACGCCAACGCCACGGCTTTGTCCAGTGGTCAGTGCACTGGGCTCCGAGTCGGACGACCCGGGTTCTAGTCCTGGCCGGGACAAGGCGTTGTGCCCTTGAGACGTGCGGGCTAAATCTATATATTATACATGTAATATGATTGCCTTTCTTTGCCAAGACCACTGAAGTGTGGATGGATCAATAACTAGTGTCCAAACGTTCTGACAATAACTTGCTTGGATTCTCTGAATGTTTTCAACTTACTTCCAAAATTCTTCAGTTCAAGATCTTCAGCATCTCTCAAAAATCTCCTAGAGGATCTTATCGGGATCTTCATTTATATTTTTCTTGTCAAGATCTTCGCGATAATGATCCTGAAAAAGTTTAGACAATATTGTGAATGATAATCTTTCTTGACTGAAATCTCTAAGACCTCTCCGTCAGATTGCACATGCTTTCCTGAAACGTAACTCGAAATATAGGTGTTTCTACAGCTGCAGGTGACTAATTGAATTCTATCATGATTCAAAACAAAGGTCAATATCGTTTGTTACTGTCTTAGCAAGATTCTTGGCAGATCTTTAATGCCTCGTTGAGAAGAGAGAAGATAAATCGATGACCTTTTGAAAGATCAGTATCAGAGGATCTCTGATGCACGTAAAAATCCTCGTGAAGAATTTCAAACGGGCTCTTCTGTAAACGAAACTTAATTTGTAATTCGTTATTGTCATTGTTAAGGCATCTTTGCCTTTGCACCGAATGTATCAGAAAAATGAAATGAGCAATTTCATAAAAAGGAATCCTCGCTTGTGGAAATGAAGTGAACGAAACGAAGATCAGCCGTTCAGCTTCTTTAATTAAACGAAGAAAGATGCAAATTTGATTCGGATTACCTAAGCTAATGCAAATCTCGATGAGATGTCCTGGTTCAATACTCTACCTACTGAGCTGCAGGTAACTCATTGGTGAGCTGGACCATGGACTAAGTTCATATCTGACGGGCTTACTGCATACTACAACATTTATCTGTTTGAGCTGATATAGCTGATATGAAATAACTGTGTTTATCATAGGCAAAGGCCCTGATCAATTGGTAGCAAGCATGGCTCGTTCCGCGCCAGTTGTCGAACCATTCGCTAACATTTCAGCGCAAGAGTTGCTGAAAAATACCCCCGGGTTGTTCGGATGGGTTAGAAAGGAGGAGACTGCAGGAATACGATCGATGGTGAAAGCACTTGACTGTAAGTACTGGAAGTCACGAACATTCTAAAAAGTATAGCAAAAAATGCAAAACAAACGAACTAACAAACAGACAAATAAACTAATAATAATAAAATGAAAGCATAACCTGAGAAAGTCCAAAAACTAGAATAGAAACATCATAAGAAACTCTACCATCCTTATGAATAATGGCATAAAATACAGCGAGGAAATGCTTGAAGAAAAAAAGTTTTCCATCGGATCATGTTCTTCATTGTATAATTGAGCTGAATTATGTACGTGTTTTGATTGGTTCCCACTAACGAACTAATGGAGGACAGACGCATGGATGAAATCATTGACAATTTTTGCTTCTTTATTTTACAAATCAGATAGATTTCATATTTCCGCGGGTTTCTTTGCTAATAGATCACAGAAGACGTCAAGATGTGTCAAGAAAATTAGTGACACACTCGGCTGCGCCTAATGTGCCACTTTTTTCGTCTTACCACATTTTGACGCCATCGGTGATCAATTACTGAACAGACGTAGTCAATGAATCAATTAGTTTATTTATTAAGTTAGTACATGGGATTAGGTAGTCCTGTGTATCCAAGCCAGGGGCTCATGTATAAGACGCATGACAGTGAGCAAAATAAAATAAGATAAAAGAGAGTAAACCTACAAAAATACTACTACAATTCAATTAAAAATATCAGGCTAGAACAAATGAAAATTTCCAAGAAACGAAACGAAGGTCAGCCCAGCAGCATCTTAAAATAAATGAAGAAAGATGCAGGTTTGATTCGAATTACCTAGGCTAATGCAAACCTGTGACAGTAAACAAGGTGAAATAATGTAAAAAAGAGAGTAAACCCACAAAATTACTACTACCATTCAAGTAAAAATATCAGGCTGGAACAATTTAAAAATTTTCCAGTTATACGGTAGTTACATTTGCTGCAAGGTTACTTAGAATCTATCAGTTAATATAGCTACTACTACAACGAAGAAATCATGCAAAGATTGTTTTACGTTTTAGGGCCCTGGCGTTATATGATCCTCAGTAAAGGATGTCTGTACTTATTCAAACAATCCGATGACCAAAACTTTTGTGAGGCAGTCCCTCTCAGCAACTTCAGGTACACTAGAACCTCGATGTAACAAACCTCTATATAACCAAGTTCGCAGTATAATTAACGATACTCTTTAGCCCAGCCAAAATTACAGTAAAATGTATGGGACAGAACCTCGATATAACGAACGCAATCCAGAAGCCCAAACGTATAATATACCCCGATATAACGAACAAATGTTATCACGTGACAAAAGACAAATACGAAACAGACCAACAAGAATCAAAATCCTTCAATTCTGTACCAATAGAACAACTTCAAAGTTAACAGCTCCTTAAGAATGCCGACACTAACACCATAGACACATCTTGAGATCCGCTTTATCCTCTTTGTCTTTCTCCTCGGAGATTTGTCCTCCGTGCTTTAGAAACAAGGTGCTGTACTTATGTACAGACCTGTACAGTGTACTATAGCTTCATACAGACATTAAAGCGTAAATGTTATATATTTACGGTAATCGTTTCCATCCTAAAATGCTGGGTAGCACGTCGTCACACCAAAAAAAAAAAAAAAAAAAAAAAAAACAACAACAACAACAACAAAAAACAAAGAAAAACAAGACAAAACAAAACAACAACTATTAACCATCCCTCGATATAACAAAACATTTTGGTTGTTTTTCCGCAAATTCGTTAAATCGAGCTTTTCGATATAACGAACCTTCAATATAACGAACCAATTTTCTCAGTTCCTCAGCACTTCGTTTAATAGAGGTTCCACTGTACCTATTTGAGAATTTAATGACGTAGGGGTTAAGAGTAAAGTTGGGTATTTCCACTGCTTGAGGTTGGGAAAAAGTCAACTGTCTTTATATTCTTTCAGAGTGTGTAATGCTCCTGAGAAATCTAAGTACCCGTGGGTTTTCAAACTGATTCATACTAAGTCATGTGACGTCAAGACGTTAGTGTTTGCTGTAGACACAGATTTTGATTTAAAGGCAAGTATTTAATATGTTGCCATTACAACTGCCTAAACACGTGACAAATTGAAACACTCAAACATGTTTCTAGCGAGATGTAATTTTATGCCAAAAAAATACCATTGAGCGGCTGGAAACAAAACAACTTAGTAATGAGACGTTGCCGCAACTCAATGGAGACCTGGAAAAGTCAAGCAAGCAAGAATTTTTACAGCTGTAGAATATTAAAAAAGTAGCTTGAAACCACAAATTTGAGGAATACAATGCGATGCAATCAAAAGCCAACCCCACACATTCCGGCCCGTTTCAGACTCCAGATTACTTTTCATATGTTCAAATTTGAAATTTCATATCGAATTTATTAAAACTACGATAGTTCATTTAGACATCAAACTTAATTAGCCCTCCGTAACACTGCCTGTATGCCTAGAGGAATAAATTTGCTGATGTAATTCAAATTAGCTTTGGAAATAACTGTTTCCTTCTTATGAATGAAAGTTCAAACTGTTTGATTTTTGACAGAAATGGCAAGACGCTATAGCAAGAGACATGGAAAAATATTGCGGTGATTCATCGTGGTAGGTGACGAAGGCGACATTGAAGTAAAGAGTAAAATGCTTCAGTTGTGTAGGTTAAGTTATCAGGAATTGACGATAAATGAACGATGCACTATCGAGTGCTAGAGATCTAAAAAAACCTATTTCAAAATAAACTATTCAAACATGATATATTTTTTCTTTATATTCTGCATCGCGCTGCCTCAAATGTTCCTTGATAAATCAGCTGTAAGAGAACTAAGGGAGACGATAAGAGTTTGCAAAGCTGTGATATTGTTGAAATGTATACTGCTTTACAGGGCAGACGACGCTGACGGATACTGTTCTATTGACGATGACGTACCATCCAAACCACCGAGTCGTGTCCAAACATTCCAACTAAGAGAAAGACCGCCTGCACCTCTTCCGGATACTAGACGACGTCATTCTTGTTCAGTTACCTCTACTGATCTGCGGCAAAAGCCATTGCCTTCCCTTCCTGATATATCGCAAAAGCCATTGCCTCCCCCTCCAGGACACGAGAAACCAGAACCTGCAAGAAAACCACCTCCTAATCTGAAGCCCGCAATACTGTCTCGCCCACCTGCGAGGGCTACACAACCAAGCCCAGTAACAATGGGGAGATTTCCAGGACGTTCATCAGATTCATCTGGTCTCACACCTCAGGGATATGAGGACGTAATTAATCAACTTCAAAAAGCCAAAGTAAATCCTACTGATATGAGAGGTAACATGTTCTTTATTACGTTGAAAGAAAAAGGCGGACTGGAAATTCGAAAGCAGTCTCATTAACTCAAGCATTTTGAATGCAATTACGGCTGAGCATTAGTTTTTTGGAGATCGGAGGTAAAAGAGGCTGCTTCACCTTTTTTCATGTGGAAAAGCTTACACTTTCCAAGCCAGTCATTTGCATCGCCCATCTCTTGCCATCCCCTTTTTTTTTGGCATATTTTTCTCATGAATCTAAATTTGATAACCTTCTATGACTTGGAGGAAGGCTATTTTTTTACTTAGTTTCCGCGCGTGTTTTTGTTCGATCCTTTTGGTGAAAGTACTTTTCAGTGTTGTTCTAGATGTTACTCAGTGTGTTAGGGCCATAAGGGAGAATACAGTCTTTTTTGGGAATTATGCGCCTAAGTAAAATTAAGTGTATGTTAATTTTGTCACCGTTGCTGCGTACGCAGCGTCAAAATATACCTAAAAAGTCTTGACCCAGGCCCTTTAAAACCTTTGTAGTAACAAATAGTTCAGGAAAGAGCGAGTTTTCACTAATTCTTAAAAAATTATGCTTTTCAGGCTCTGCGTCCACTTTACCACCCCCTCCTGTAGCTGGCCCAGCAGCTCTTCGCAAACCAATAAAGCTCGGAAGGTAAGCAAATGCAAAAAGAGATATCCAGGGTAAACTTCCTCATCGATGATATGTGCATTGATAGTGTCTTTGTCTGTAACAGAGGTGACCCTGATGGACAGAGCTTTAAAGTCAAACACAAGGAGGTGAGTTTCCAAAATGTTATTTTGTTTATTAGATAGATAGATAATTTAAAAGGAATAACTCACAGCCAAAGGCTGAATTGAATAATTATTTACAATATAAACATAGTACAATTAAAACTAGGGCTATTTACAAAGGGTCTCTATATAACTACAGTGCTCCGTACAAATTACTGGCTACGAAACATTGCTATTTACTCGTTGGCACCTGGCCGGGATGAATGAGTTTTTGAAACGGTTAGTGTGAAATTGTGGCGGATTGAAAGTTTTTTTGCTTCTCAAGCTATATGAGCCTTGTTGACGTGGGGGGAGTAGATGTGCGAGACTGAGATCGTTCGATTTGGTGATGCCACCAAATAGCTTAGAGCAGTCATCATCGCGTCTTTGGCGTAGGGTACAGAGTCCATAGCTATCTAGGGATTGTTTATACGATTGAGAAGGCGCGATTATTGACATGGCTCTTTTCTGGACACGCTCGAGGTCTTCACTAAGGTACTTAGAAAGGCTATGGTGGAAAGTAGGTGTACAGTATTCTAATACCGATCTTATAAACTGTACAATAGAATTGTATAAGATAGGTTTGTTTTTCCTTAGGCAATCTGAACGAGCTGTTTGATTGAAAAAGTTAAAGAAAGCGCATACTTGTAAAGATGAGAAATGAGCACGATTTAGCTTGTGTTTAATTCAATGCTATGTTTTGCGCCGCGAACCTAGATTGCTCCCTAATGCCATGAATCAAAATCTACTTTTTTAACGGCACAACGTGCAAAAGGTTTATATCATTTTGAAGTTAGACTTGATTTAGATCACAAACAACGCATTAGAACTGAGCTTCTTATAGTTTAACGGTAGTCGTCTCACTGGGTCTCATTTCTACCATTGTTGAAGAGTGGAATTCTCGCATTTTAACGATCGCTTTATTTCTTCTTGAATTGTTTTGTTAATCTATGAGTTCGGTTCATCTTTGGTAGCTTCAATCGTGCACGCACTAAGCTTTTTACAGCTGGGGCATATCTCACGATAAGAAAGCAAGATGTCGACACTTGTAGCTTAATGACTTATTTTGTCTAGTTGAAGAAAGATAGTAAACAGAAGATTAGCTTTCGCTGTTATATTAAGAGCCCCCCGAACTTGAGAAATTCAATTCTTTAGTTTTTTCTACTGTATCTAATAAACAGTCCACATATTTGGCTAAAGATTTAGCTCATGATGAACTTCGAAGAACAACCTGAATAACGAACTTGTATAGGGAAGGAATTCCTTTTATTAACCACACCCTTTGAGGATGTGAAACCTCACTGAAGCGAAAAAAAACCTCTCCCAGAGGGTATGCAATAGATTTCCGCTTCATGAATCGTTTTAAGGATAAAGCTTTATTTTCCTTACAACTTTCCTGTTGCCTATTTTCTCTCCTCATTTGAAGGGAGTCCTTCCATCTTCAGCATTGCTACTTGACTTAGACAAGACGGAGGTCAATTCGTGAGTAAAATTCGCTTCTCTTTTTTTTCATGTTGAGGTTCAAATGTTTGACTCAAACTGCTGGCGATGGTGATCTGAATTCACTTACAAGTAGCTTTCCTTCTTTTTTTCTTGTTCTTGCCGTAGCCTTCTTGAGAACAAATATGGCGTTTATATTGTTCGTAATAGCCAAACTGCACAGTCAAGGATGGTAAGAAGATACATAATTCTTTAATCTTTGTTTTAGCCTACGTGTAGCCGCACCCTCCCCCCGTAAGGTGAGACGGAGACGGGGGTGGGGAGGGGGGTAGGGAGTGGGGTGGTCCCAAGCCTTAACCGTGATTCACTTTGAAACTTTATTGGAAAAGATCGGCTTTGGCTGAGTGTCTCATAATTTAAGATAATGAAAAGCAACAAACCCTCATACTGAAACATTGCCCATGTTGATAATAATAGGCCAGTTTTCAGATTAGTGAGGTTCAATTTGAGGGGACGTTTTGTAACTTACGGACTCACGTGATGTTGATTACCTTCCTGTCCTTCGTACATACTGCCCGTTGTTACCAGAGCCACGTATTCTAGTGGCTAACATTCTAAGTAAACTGATGGTTTCATACCTTGTATTGACCGACCGTTCTAAAAGTAGTTAAATATTGTTTTGTTTGAAAATCAATTTGACTTAAATGTTCTGGTTTTTTTGCAAGTCACAGCGGAAAAACTGAACTCGGAAACGCGGGGGGACAATGGGGCTGAGTTCAAAAGGAGAATTAAACCTGGGTCTCTCAGATTATCACCTTTCCAAACCACTTATTACGCAAACCACTACCTCTTATGAAAAGCCTCACCACATACGGATGTTGTTACACACCTCCTCAGGTCAGCCGGCCATGTTGCCAAAATTATACGTGGAAAGACCTAGTATAGAATACATGACACATTAAGCTAAAAAATAAACAAAATAAAATAGGCACTCTAAGAAAACGTTCCTCATATGCAGTTATTTCTTTTGTGCAGGCGTTGTCGGTGTGCACTGGTGACCGAATTCGTCATTATGTGATATTCCATGATCAGGTATGAGAGAGCAACTGAGGAAATCTTAGAGTTACATCGTTTTTCTCTTCCATTCACAAAATCGTAAAACTTGTCACTTCTCGTCCACAGAATCAAGGGTACGCTCTGCAACCTGAAGGGCCAAGATTTGATAAACTAGAGGAAATGATAGAGCATTACCACGACTTCAACCTGCCTAAGTGTGACTCAAAACTTACGAGGCCCTTTCGATCATGATCAATGCACACGACGTGACTGGAGAAGAATTTTCAAAATGAAAAAAGAAAACTTACAAGTAAATCGAGTGCTTGCTAGGATTGCAAGCAATGACAATTCTAGTTTGTGCACTTCTCTTGTAAGAAGGAAGACTGAAGGCGCAGCGCAGCCTTCGAAATATTTACTTTATTGCTGTAACTCGCTTTCTTATCCAGGTCTTTCATAATTATGGATCTGCTCCCCTGTCCACGGAGTGGACGACCAATTAAGTAGACTACAATAGAGGAGCATACAGAAAGCCCGTACGCGTGTAGGTTTAGATTTTTTAGAAATATGATATAACTGTGAAGCAATATTAATTCAACTCGAGAAATTTTCATTTATCAAGTTTACTATGTCGTCCATTCGTTGAGGAACCCTTATCCGGGTCACTCTGTTTTCAGATGGGAGTGTCCGCTCAAAGGGCGTTCCCCATGGGAACTTCGCATTATGGGGGTTGTGTTAAGGGCACCCACTTCCACCGCTGTTTTTCGAGTTTAGTTCCTTGGACTTGGCGGCATCTTGCACATCAGAATGGACCACAGCGTAAATTAATTCTCAATTTAATTTCTTCCTGCGTTTCTTTTCTCCATCACACAATGGTCCCCCTAAATTTTATGGTCTTGGCTCGATTTTACAACAACTACCTGCGATAGACTAAAGGTCTACTTCACTCCATTTCTGCCTCATAGTTATTTTGTGACTGGTCAAGAGATTATCACAGTTTTTTATCTCTTGGCCTAACATATTGCTAACAAAGGTTCTGGGACAAGTGACTACGGAAAACAAATTTTTGCACTCAGTGTATGATAACGGACCGTACGAAATTTTCAAATAATATATTTTTTCAATACCGTTTGCGTTTATTGTACTTTCTGTCATAATTGGTTGTTTTATGAGCTGCACACGATTGCCAATTAGTTGGCAATAGTCTGTAGCTTTTGTTTCTCTTTTGGTTGATTGAGAGTCTGCTCTATTTTCTTTGTAAAAGCTCGAAGATCTTAGGAAACAGTGTGGCTCTTTGGGAATATGAGGTGAAAGGGATGCAACATTTAATGGAAGGTACTTCTTTTATCCCCATAGTGATATTCTGAAGAGCTTTGTTTGGGAACTCCGTCATGGCATATTCGCCTGGAACTTTACTCGGTACCAAGGCCCCTCCTTTCTATTTGTCTAGGAGAAAGCTAAAAATATTTAGGTTTCATAATTCTATATGTTGTTTTCCATCAGAGGTAAACAACGTAGATCACAGCAGAGCTGAATTGGAATTTTATTGCTGAGAAATTGATCAATGACTCTCGTTCAATTAACCGGAAAATTTATGCTTTGAGTGCGAATCGTTCACTTCACTTAGAGCACCTAAAATTCGTCAATAACAAGTGGCTTTCTGCATTACGAAACTGAATTGTCCATTTGGTTTTGGATATCATTCGAGCATCATTCATCAGGGGATACTTGTCATCAGCGGTGAGTACATTTATGTCGTAAAGAACAAAACTTTTACAGGCTTCTTAAATTTCATCAAAAGTATGACAAAAATGAATTAATAGAACGGAAAATCCTGTTGCGGAACATCAATGATAGTACATTGGATTTCTTTCTCATCTTTAAATCGCTTTTTTTCTAGCGCTGACCTTCTGTTACATCGTGGTTGTGTTTGTGCATTATTTGGTAAATAGATGTTCAATTTCCACTTTGTTCTTCGGGCAAAACTACCAGTTGTGGCGTACAATAGTGTGTGGATTGAATGTCTGTCTCACTTTTTACGTTAATTCCTGCCGATTTATTAACAAAGGGTAACACTTAAGACCTTTTTCGGCGATGAAAATGAAATTTCATCAATCGGCGCGAACTTCCTGTTTAAATATAAGAAAATGGATTTATTACAAGATCTGGTGTACATGGTTCTTCGAACCATTCAGCTGTGGCCGATGAATCGAAAGACCCAGCTAATGAATTAGTTTGTAGTTGGTAGAATGACCACGTAGATATATAATCGGCTTTATAACTCGCATAAAAACAACTAACGTCACAATTCGGTACACTTTGTAACAATACTTTGACGGGGATGGAGCTCAATTTTGAATGACAAATTATGTTTTAAATTCTAGTCTTCTCGGATAAGGACGATAAACCGTGGGCCCCATCTATTGTCTGTTCTCTGTACTGGTTAGCAAGGGACGTTAAAGAACCTGCTCACTTCTCGTAAAGATTAGGGGAAGTAGCTCTCATTGTTATGGTCTGGCCTTGTCATTGTTTATACAGGCTCCCATTTAAACCAGCCTCGAGCTGAACTGGGCCAGCCTGTCTAAATATCGCAAGAATATCGCAAATACATACACTTTACCGTTACTAGCAAGTTTCATTACCGGGCCTATAGTCGATACTTTCATTTGGAGTATCTTATCATTGTGACAAATATAAATATGATCTAAGGCTAGTTTTACATGACGTATATAACCTTCTGTTTTATTTACTTCAATGAAATATCAAACGTTATTCCAAACATTCGCAATATTCCAACCATCCAATAGTCATAGCGACTGCCTTTTTCATGAAGTTTCTTGTTCATTACCCTTCATGATATTGAAGAAGGGTTATTTACCACTTTAGAGCTTCAAGAAGACTTTTTACGACTTTCGGTGTCATATGCTAATGATATATCGAAAATAAACTCGAAACTGCTGTGAATTTCTAATTATATTAGTGATGGCAGCGTTGGGTCAATCGACTTCCTCTTAATTGGGGTTTTTAAGAGACTTGTCTTCAGACGAAACCAGCGGGATAATGAGAGAAATTTTTATAAAGAAATCGTTTCTTTTAAGGCTGCATACCAAACAGGTTTTTAATTTTAATTTTACTAATTAGCAATCGAAACGATATTCTAAACCTGATGCTTCGAGCTTTAACACTCCTTAGAGCAAATCCAACATGGCGGGATACTCCCAAGTTCAATAGATTATCAAATGATCTAAGAAACGATTTGTAAAGATTAAAATTCGGCCAGAAATTTCAATATTATTGCTTACAACTCATTTAAGCCTTCCTCATTCTGAAAAATCTTCTTTTCTTTCTAGTTGATTCTTGCCATCCTGGTCACGTGTTTCCTACATAACCGGCCTTATCGGGGTATTCCCCCGTTTTGTACTGTTAGCTTCATAAAGTCTTCGTTGTAGATGGCAAAAGTTGTTGAACCATATGCTAACATTTCGGCTCAGGAATTACTCAGCACTGGTGCCAGCTGCTCCGGCTGGGTCATGAAAGAGAGCACTTCAGGCTTACGAACGATGATCAAAGCCCTCGGTTGTAAGTATCATTTTAATCAAAGAAGGTTGGGGAAGAGTTAAGTAAATTCCCGCTGTGGTGACGAATATTTACCCTGCTTTGTGGGCCAATCATTTTTTAAGCGAAAGAGAAATCCTTTAGCCTAGTAGATAAGTTCAAGATGGCTGCATGTTGACCATCCTTTATTTTGTGTTTTTCTGGACTTCGAGTGCTTCCGTCAACATTCATTCATTTTCACTTTACTCTCGCTTAATAACTTTTATTAATCACAACCACTCTGAACTAAATTTGCACAAGGCGAAAAGTGTAAACGAACTACATTACACACTTTATACTGTCTTACTGGATGATAATTTTTTATCCTGGCAGGGCCATGGTATTACATGATCTTGAATTCTGGATGCCTTTATCTGTACAAGCATTCTGGTGACGACAACTATGCTGAGGTGTTCCCGTTGACGAATTACAGGTACACTATGTATCTTAAAGCCTATTGAGTACTGTGAAGCAGAACCAGATTCGTCTACGCCGAATCTGGCATGGAGCGTTAATGGAGGCAACTGCCATAGTAGAAGACTCGTTTCCTGCTCGTTCCGAAATCTATGACATGGTTTTCCATGTCTTTCATTCGTTCTGTTTCTTCTTTATCTTTTCGTTTCTTCTTGTTCAATCAAAGGTGTAGTCAAGGTAAATGTGCAGCTCTGGGCTGATGAAGAATTAAGACTGTGTCATGAATTATGGTCAAACTAACCTACTCTTTTTGTTTTATGCAGCGTATGTGATGCACAGGAGGTTACGAAATATACTTGGGCATTTAAACTGATCAATGAATCATATTCAATGAAAACGCTTTTCTTTGCTGTGGATTCTGAGTTTGATCTTAATGTAAGTCAATGCTATTTTCACTTCAAAGTGAGTGCTGCACGGAAATTCTGTCGTATTATGTGGTAATAGGGCGGAGTTCATACAACATTCAACCATGTTATTTGATAAACAAAGTCATCATGTGAGAAGAACACAACTGGGGAATCAAAACGTGATGATTGGATACAATAGCCGGCTGATCGAGCCCTTTAAATCATAATTAAGCAAATGCGGTTGAATTGAACTTCATTGAAGAAACAAGTGATAATTTCTTGGTGTCAATACATGGTTTCCTCTATGTTTGGAATTAGGTCCAGGCATCCTAAGGAACTTTCTTTACGCGGCCCGCTTGCTCAAAGTCCCTTGTTTCTGTACTTTTTGCCGCTATCGAACCGTTTTCTAATTGAAAGCCCATAAAAGGTAGAGTTATGAAATTCAGTTTCCCTTTCTGTATTTCTTGAGCTTTGATTTACAATTTTGCTGAGAAAAAATATGGGGAAAATTTTATATTAAATATACAAGGAAACCTTAGTATGGTTTAATTTCTTTTCTGTGTTCAGCGTTGGCAAGAAGCGATAACGGAGGACAAGAAAATTTATTGCTGCCCTGTCTCAGAGTAAGATTTTAAATATAGTTTTATCAAGCTAGCTACTTCAAGTAAGAAGTTATTCAACAGAAAATATTAGTAGGATTTCAATATAATTAAGTGTGCGGTCTGGTTTCAAACCAGAGCTCGGAACGCGTGAAGCACCATAAGTAAGAGAATATGGCAACCATTAAGGCGGCAGCATTTAGTTATAATGTAACCTTTTTACGACACGTCTGCGGTTGTTTTGTTTAGTGCGAATCAAATTAACTGTCTTACATTACGTACTTATGATTAGACGATGCAAGCCAGAAAAAAAATAATTGTTCTAATATGTTCACACAATATTTACTCCTGCCTGACGACGCTGTTTATTAGGAGCTAACTTCTTTGAACGGACGTTAGAAAAAATTTCCATAAGATCTTTGCCTTTTGGCTCGTCTGCCTTGGTAGGAGACCGTGACCGTAGCCAAACGGTGAACGCGCTGGACTCCAGGGCACTAGTCTAAGGCAAGGAAAATGACAGTCACAATACCAAGGAGTATGAAAGGTAAACTGTCTGGGGAGTTAGACGAATGTCTGAGGGAGCGGACAGTGCATACTGTTATTTTGTTTTCATTTTAGGGTAGATCCAGCACAGGAGCACCGCTCTATCAACATTAATCGAACTGGTCCATCTTGCTCACCGCCAGCTCTCGCTCGCAGACCTAATGCAAGAACAATACCTCACAATTTAGAGCTATCGCGTAATGATCCTACGGATGTCCCTGCAGGACAAGCTTCAGTCTCTAACGAGACAACAAAAGTGCACAGCAAGCCACATGCTAAAGTAACTCAGCAGGTCACATGGTACATCCCACCTCCTCATTCAGAAACCAACGTAACAACGAAGCAGCGTCCTTTTTCCGTCCTTGCGGGACCATCCCAGGAAAATAGGCTAACGCAGTCAAACGTGCCACCTTGGTTTGGAACACAACAGGAAGCAAGAATAAGACCATTACCCAAACGATCCCAGCAAAAGAAAAATGAACCTGTACAATTCTTCCAAAGGTCACTCCAAGAAGTGGAGGCTCACAGTCCATCAGGTCAGTCTCGCCCACTTCCTGGAATCACACAGATTCACGAAAGGTCATGAAAGACCCCAATAAGCAAAAAAAAAGCTTTGAACAACTCCTCACATACCAATCATGACCCTTTCAGGCTTCGATCAAGTGCCAGGGAAAATCACTGCAGGAAGAGATTCCCTTCAGATAATCTTTAGCTGCATTCTGAGTTTCTAGTTTACTAAGCTGTGACTATATGAGGCACACTTTTGTTACATAAAAATTGGGACTTTTTTGTATTGATACTACTCTAGGAAATTTCATGCTTGATTTTACTGCATAATAGGGTATAATTTATGTCACAAGGAAGCTTTCTTCACATTTTCCATAAACCTCCATGCCCGTGTAACATAATGGACGATGACGGGAGTGTCACCCCCACTAACAGTTCCATTTTCGAGTAATCAGCTTACCGTATGGCACTTTCCTAGAATTTCCAAGTTCGTCCAGATCACCATTGACCGCAAGTAGCTCCACTCCAATGAAATCTGAAGCACTCGAAAGGTACGCATCAGTTAAATGGCAATATAATGGCGCATACATTTCAAATCTTTGTGAAGAAGATGAAAAGCTTGGTTTAAATTAAATATTCTTTTCATACATGCACGTGTTTGTATGGTATGAAATTGACATTAAAAATAGAAGACCTGAACCATTTAATGTCTCGGTATAAATTATAGACATAACATATATTCTACGACGCAGTCATATGTGTTCTGATGGTTTCATATATATTTACCTAATAAAAAATGGTTCCCGATGTGGCCTTAGTAGAGCTGACCTATTTTTGTTTTACTGTTTATCCTCACAGAGGTGCCCCGGATGGACAAAGTGTCAAAAGTGGACAAAGAGAGGTGAGCTACGGACTCGAGGTATTTAAATTAGTCGGATTTCTCTGAATACAGGGAACAAATGCGAGACAAAAGCAATTCATCCTATTCAGAAGACTATTCAGGCATTTAAAGTGAAGGGTACTTGTTGTTTCGGAATCCTCGCTTAATGTGTTATCAAATTTTGACATAAACTGGCCGAAAAAATCTGTTTTCATTTTGTATTTTATGATAACTTTGGAGTACTTTGAGAGTGACTTATTTAAGGTATCGTGTATATGCGTGCTCAAAATTGGTAACCAAAGTGCTTTCTTCTAGCAGGATAAATCTTCACTGACTTTGATTCATGACATGGACAGCTCACAAGCTACTAAGTAAGCAACTATAATAATTTTGGTTGTCGCTTTATCTTTAAAATGTTATCCACATTTGTCCTGATTTATATATTAAGGAAGTATTCCATTTCTCCTATTGTAGGTTGCTGAAGGACAGGCCCGGAGTTTATATTTTACGCAAAAGTAAAACCAAACAATCGACAATGGTGAGAAATCAGTCCTTAGACACGTTCGATAGAAAACTAACCCACAAGAAACCCTCTCCCCGACAGCGGAAAAAAAACACAAGCAAGAAAAAAGAATCGCCGGTTTTTTTTAACCAGCCTTTTCTCGCCAGCTTTCGCCTTGCCTTTTCTACGATCGAGATGGACATAGCCGAAAGGAACCTTACTTCGAATTTAAGGGACAGATGATTCTATTCATCATAGCCATCGAGTGTTAAATCCCCTTGAGCAGTCAAACTTGTTGGGTAGTATTAACAGTTCAAACAGGAGTCTCTCACTACATTTTTGTTTTGCCATTGTGTAGGTTTTGTCGGTTGGTACAGGGGATAAAGTCGTGCACTTTCGGATATCTTATGACGAGGTACGGAAGCTTGTAATAGGCAACGATTGGAATAGGTTGAGTGCGATATCAGGAATAGTCAATACCGAGGTTTGAGTTGTCTGTCGAAAATGAAGGCTGAGGCAGATAACACAAACTCAAAGTTTGATAATTCATGGTATCCTACAAAAAAAACTGATATATTTTTTAAGTTTGCAAAGTTTGAGAACACGACACGGACGGAGGCTAAGCAAACTTCGAACTCGATCTGATTACCCAATATCTGCTGTAGATATGTAGTGGGTTATCATTTCAACTTCGAATTCACACGCTATGGTAAATTGGCTGTATGCCCTCGACCAATCATAGATTTCATTTTAAGTCTAATGTAAAACAATGTTGTTTGTCATCGTCAGCTCTTGATATTTTTCTTATTATTTCTTTCACCTTTACAGGGACAAGGATATTCTCTCAAAGAACAAGGAACCCCAAGATTTCCCGAAATAAAAGACTTGTTAAGTCATTACTCCTCGTTTGATCTCCCCACCCATGATTTGAAACTGACCGTGGCAGCCACTTACAGATAGAAATTGACAATTTTTTTTTCCGAGCATAAAATAAAATATCTCTATGTGTGGCTTGTATGAAGTTTTAACGTTCCAGCCCTGGCTACTCAATCTCAAGCATTCATGATCGTCATTATGGGGCGCTTATCAATGGATATGAAGTCTAAAGAGAGCTAAATAACTGATAACTACACAAACATTACAGGATGAAATGACTAAATTAAGTCTCCTTAAAGGTAACTTAAAGGTTAACATTAGAAGTATTTAAGGCATCTTTAGGTGACATACGAAAGTTCTGAAATGAATCTTTAATTGAACTTTCAGAAGTCAATTAAAGTCTCCTTATGAACCATTTCGTGAACACTTTAGGATCACATGAAAGTAAACCTAAATAACCATTTAATTGACTTTAAGAATCCTCCTAATTCTCGTAAATTCGTCTTTAATTGCCAAAACTTCTACTTGTAAAGGCAACTTAAAGGTTTCTTTAATCTTTTGTTTCCCTTTAAGTACTACTTAAAGTTGCAGGTTTTGTTGTAATTCATCTTTAGTTGTACTTTCAGGTCCTCTTAAATTTCAAGTTTTGTTAAAATTCATCATTTAGTGACCTTTAAGTGCCTCTAAAAGCTGTAGGTTTCACCTTAAATTGACTTTTGATTTGCTTAATCACACCCACATTTATATTATGATAACTTATAATATTTTGGGAAACTTCTAAATTGTTAGAAAAAGAGACATCACACATACAAGTAATTACAGAATGTTTGAAATTGCAGTGATGAAATAGTTTCGTTCAAAACTCACTTCTTCCCCTGAGATAAAGTAAACCCACAATAAAGCTGAGGATATCTCATTTGAGGCACATACATAATTAAAAAAGAGACATCCAAATGTTTGAATTACTAATTGTCATACTTTATTAAGATTGTTTCTCTTTCATTAATGTATAATTCATATAATCTCAGTCATCTATATAGAATAGAATAGAATAGAATCTTTATCACTATAAAAATATAAGAACTACAGAATATAACTAGCTGTAGCAACACACTACACAAAAAGCTATTAATTCACAAATTTCACTCTCAAATCCAGCCACTAAGAAATGCAATTTGAACTGATACTAACAATAAAAAACAAGTTCAACCTATCAATCTAAAAAATCAGTATATTTTTCTAAATCAATTTAAATTTGTGATAGCTATCAATTATTTGCCGACCTGTACATCAATATGGAAAAAAGTATCTCATATGGAGGAAATTAAATATAAAATTGAAGAATTCACAATTACTTACTTTAGATAATGAGACCATTAAAATTGCTAATTAACATATTCAATGAAAAAGAAGTCTCATGCAGGCATGTAAAAGACCTTCATTCTAGACATTGCTGATTAATACTTTTTTCAACAATCAATTTGTCACCTTAAATTGATAAAACAATTTTTTTTACTGCCTTATTGCCCACCCTGGAAAATTTTCAGTTGGTGGGCATCTCAGGGAAGGTTGCCCATCAACTCTGGGTAGGATTCTCTCCTTAGCTCTTGAAGTGAGTTTTTTCTTATAGGCCTTATCAAGTTTTTTTTTTATTTTTTTCATTCTTCTACTCTCCCATTGAAGGCGATGGACAGAGTATTTTGTTAATTTTGAGTTATTTATATTATCATCCTCGTAACAGCTTTCTTCACTGCTCATCGCCTCCATCACAAGAACCTCCGCCACTCTCCCCTTTTCATGCTGGTCAGCCCAGTTGACCAGCTCCATGGCTGTAGTTCGTCTCATTAACTTCTGAAAAAACAAAAATATACAACAAGCATGAGAAGGGTATTATAAGACCTCAAATGGAAAATATGATCCAAATTACTAATTTCTCTTGATATGCATGTGCACACAGTGTAAGAATGGAATTCCTAAGCATGTTATACTATAGAGTCTCCTTGTCCTTTATTTTTCATCAAATGGTCCATACAAGCTATCATTGATCTCAAATCACATCTTTATATTTTTCATTCTTTTCCTCAACTACAGATCCATCTTTAAAATAATATTATACAATTATCAAATTTACTTTACAAAGATTTTCTTTGTAAGGAAGGCTCTAGATACAGACTAGAATACATAATTCATTTAACAATTGCTCTCATAGGCACAAAACAATTTTGACAGGACACAGTCCCTTAAAAGTGTCTATACGCTAAGCCATCCAATTTTGAAGTGGCAAAAAAAATGCATTCAATGGGAAACAGCAGGGTATATGAAAATAAAATGTTAAAATAGTATCCCAATAAATACCTCTCTTTGGCGACCACTCTTTCTTGTTTTTTGTTTATGTGCCTCATAGCGATTACTGCTCTTCAGCTTATGTGTTTCTAGGCACGTTTTAAAATATCTTTGTAAAGCAGCTGTTCAAAGAAATAATTATCAAAATGCCATGAGAAGTTGATTATAAAAAGATTCCCATATAAATAAATGACAATGTTCAAATTTATAATCATTCATGGCTGGCCGCATAGGAATGTTTGCCAAGTTATATAAATTTGCAGTATGTCCTTGGTGATTCATTGCTAAGGTGTGAAGTAAGCTTTGTTGAGGATTTACACTGAATTTAATGTTTCAGAGACAAGAAATTAACCTGAAAGTTCTAGTTTGCAACATATTTAAATTTCTGCAACATTTGAGAAAGTTATTATGTAAATTAGGAAAAAATTAAAAATATACCCTTCCTCTTGTCCTAAATTTGAAACATATAATGAGGGTGCTCATTAGAAGTTGCATGATATCTAACTGTGTTACTGAATGCTAGTTCTATGATGAAATTTTTGTTGAGGGAAAAGTGGTTAAAGACACTAACTGATGGTACAGACTAAAAGCAGGGGTATCTTTAAGGACTGGGCTCTAGACAAATTGACCAACTGTGAGCGCGATTTTGTCTGGATGTTTTTAAGCCAAGGCCTTCAGTGAAACTCAACTTGTTATAAAAGAGATATACATCAATACGCTTAAGTGCCAAATTCTTATGCCCACCTGCAAAAAATCATAATGACACCCCAATGAAAGTGAAATGCATGTGCTATGATTATTGATAGCTACCTTCAATGATATCCTTTGTCCAGGGACACTTTTCAGGTCCTCCCTGTTGATGTACAACCTGCTCTACTGTGCGCTCAAAAATTCCATAGTTGTTATCAGAATTTACTCTGAGACAAGAACAAACACCGTGATTAAGCCACGTATTCTGTTTTAACAGTATTAACACTTAGACAAAAGCAACAACAATAAGGTATTCACATAACATCTCAATATTTCTAGCAGCAGCTTAGACTCTGATTTCACGGTTTAATCAATATAAAGTAAAATATCTTTGAATATAATAACATGTTACTCACTCTTCGTCAAGATAAAATCCACCAAAGTCGTCTTTTTTTAAAAGAAGTTTATATATCCTTCTCACAGCTCTCTAAAAGATTGAAATAATTTCAACAATCAATTTGTCACCTTTCCCCTATTTCTACTTCCACTCTTTTTACACAAGTACAATTAACCTTACCCATCTGTGTGATTAAAACAGGGAAAGTCAAAAGGGTTCAAGAGAAAAGATAATAACATGAATTTTCGTACTGGATTATTCTCGTTGAAAGAACAGGGAGGAAAAAACCTTTCTGGTAGACCTGTTTATGGTAAAGGGGATTATCAAGTAAATGTAACCACACATAATTATGCCAAATGATTACCGCCTAAATAATTGAGTTATGCATATAATTTGCGCGCCAAACACGTACTCAACATAAAAGCAAATCTTCCACGAAACAGAACTGAATTCAGCAAATCATGAACATATATATGCTCATCAGTTAAGTTTTTCTACTCACTCGACAAGCTGGTGGAACTACTATCGTCCTTAGCTTCTGTCTATTTTGGCGCCGACGGACTTTGGCTCCATTATCACCAGTTTCAAGACGGTTCTCAATCCGCTGAAGAGCCTCTAAGTTTGATTTGTTGCTGCACTCTTGCTGCTGCCGCAGCTTTTCATTTTCGCTCGCCAGAGCCCGGTTGCTGCGGATCAATTCCTCCAGCAGTACGATGCATTCTTCGGACATGTTACTCTTTCTAATTGCCGCTGGAACCGCATTATCATCTTGATTTTGTCCACGATCGTTTACTCGTCTTTCTGCCATTTCCTTCGCTTACTTTCCCTAACCCTGAATTAACTGTAAAATAAACAGACAACAATCGCTTCGTTCGGATGCTTTGTTAACAGAGTCGTCAACGGAATTGAGATTCAAAAAAGCGCGCGATTATCCTATACCAAACCTGGAAGGACCTCCTGTTGATATTGTGCCTCGTTGTGATATACACTGTACCGAGTGTACTGGGCCTAGCTAACGCTGGCGAGTACGAATGAAGACTCAAGTGTAATTGGAAGCAAGGAAACACGGAGGCCTTTTGTGGCGGGAAAACTTCTACTACACGTTCGATCTTCACTTGTTCAAGCAAACAGCTTTGTACCGATACCTAAATTTCATCAAGGTAAGTTGTTCATATATCTGAAAATCTAGCCGTGTGAAGGTAAAGGATATCTTGTAACAAAGGAAATTTATCTAAGCGGCAAGTCACGGCATCGACGTTAATTAATTCGATGATATTTCTTGTGCAAGAAAGTGATTTTGTTGTGTAATGATATGTGATCGACGCTTTATACAATTGTGAATTGTTTTCTTTTAAGTGTGATCAGAACAATTACGATAGCAAGCTTGTGATAAAAAAAAGCTTGTATGTATGGCATGCAAACAGAACTCAGTCGAGAACAAATAAGTAGGGGCAGGGGTGGGAGGTAATAGACTTTTTTGAAATAGCGGGTTACTTTTCAACAGTGGAGGATATATACATTTTTATTTTGACTAGAAAGGAATGAATAACAAGATAAGCTCAATTTAATACAGTCAAATCAATAACAATACAACCAATACTGTAGAATTTTTCTTTCGTGGGAGGAGAGAGGAGTGGGCTTATTAGGGTAAAGACATTTTAGTCAGGAGGCCTTGATAGATATGGGGTACCTAAAGAGCAGTTGTGGCATTGAGCTCGCATGAATACTGGAGTATGGTCATTAAAAACCTCATGTCAGTGCCATTTAAGGAATGTAAGCTTCATTCCTTGATTGTATTTTGAATTTAAAACTTTTAAGTAATCATACATGATACTTGTTATGAACATAAACATCAAGGACACTTTTGAAAGTTTGGCAATGGGAAAAATTTGCATTGCAATTAGGGATTAAAGTATGTCTTAATTCTTAACTGATTGTCATCTCCCTAATAATAGCTGGTCTGGTTGACCATTTTTTTAGGTTGTGATGAGTAATATCAATCAAATATGCTGAATCTGCCTGGTGTTGCAAAATGGTGACTAGTTTCAGAGTTTCAGGCAACATTGTTTTGGGGGGGGGGGGGGGAGGTGGGACTTGCAAGAAACTTATTAAGGAGTTTATTTCAAGATTTAATTTTTACTTTGTTAAGTGTAAGGTTGTCAACCACCAAGTAAGGGGAGAGCAGGGTGCTGAGTACTTTGGCCATGAGTTTTAGCTTCTTGAATGTCAGGTTTTTTTCCAAATTGTGGAAATTCCGTACAAGTTGCAGGTTACAAGTGAGAGGTTTTTAGTCATCTTAATGCTCCTGGATCATTGTGAGTGACCACATTATTTTTACTAAGCATTTTTTGGCTTTCTGATAAACATTTACTCAGTCCAAAGTAAAATAAGATATGCTTAAGGATATAGGTCAAAGTTCATATATTGCCAGGCCTCAGGAAGATGTGGATAGGTTATGACCACATTCATTTCTCTAAACCTAGATATTTTGTTCCAATTTATTTTGTTTAGTATTGTTTTTGGAGTTCGGTACAGACTGCAATTGACAACTTTCTGAGTAATTTTTTTGAGACAGTCTTAATCTCTGGTCAATTTAGGTTCTTTCCTATAATTGTTCTTTTAATACACTGTATGTATGAAGTCTTTTGTTAAAGGCTCTTTGTCGCAATGCTCATTCATTTTATTTATCAAGGCTTTGAAGTACATGTAACAGAATCTGAAATTTGGAACGTTGAATGATGCTGTGTAATATTTAGGTTAATGCATGCATACACAGACTCTCTGGAGTCGCAGTCTTTTAATCTGAAGAATATTTCATTTGTTATAATGAATCTACCTGTTCACAGATGAATTTCAGAAAACAATATTTTAACTTGTATACTATGTGCCCCTATTTACCCATTTCACCCCCTAAGATCTCAATATTATTTTTCTAAATGCCTTTCATACAGTTTTTTTGATATATTTGTGAGAATATTGATGTATTGCTAGTGTGTTAGGGAGAGTTGCTTATTGACCAGTCCATGAAGTAAAAGGGTTGGGAACTCCACGTGTTGGGTTTCCAACTGAAACAAAGGCCTCATTTCACTTTATTGTAATAGAATGTAATTATAAACTGACTATACCTTGCCAAGGTCACATTTTGTTCAATTTTGTACTGGAAAGTATACTACTCACTTGTACTGGAAAGCATACTAAAGAATCTACTTGTTCATAAAAGATGGAAGCTGGAACCTTAAGTGGAATCTTTTGAGGAAAGAGATCACAGTTAATCTAAAAGCAATCTTAACTGTATGAAATTATTGGATATTTACTTAGTAACCAGCTGAAGTTTAGAAATACAGTCGAATATTCTTATTACCACAAACTTTTAAAAGCAATTAGGACTTTCCTCTGTGTAAAGATACTTACTATTTCTAATACGATGCTCCCTTTACTTGAAATTTCTTGAAACAAATCACGGGAATTTGAAGTCGACCCGAAAGTATCTGTCAAGTTCGACTTGTTACGTTTTCGCTCATGCCTTTCGAAAGTTGAACGTGACACGAAGTCATTACAATGAGCGCAGTAAATATATCCTTTCTTGTCATCGCACTCCATGCGTTCTATAAAGGAGATGCGAAAATGAAAACCCGTTGCTTTCAATTCAGATATTTTGACAAAATTTGCTGCTGCACATGGAACAAAATTTGCTGTTCCTGTCCGACGCAAGTACTGGCTAATTTGTGATGCATTTCCTATTGACAGTTCAGATTACAATTAGACTATCTTTAGTGCGTCAATTAAAGATGTCAAAACAGCGAGACTCGTTTAATTCTCACCTCAAAGGTTAACTAAATGTATATTAATTAAAAACCTTCTTTTGTGCCAAAAAAGAGACCACTTAAAGGATGCTAAAAGATTTACGTTATTAAAGTTCACCTTATGTTCAATTAAAGATTCATGAAAGGTAACTGTTAGCTTTTGGATATTTCGGTTTACAATTAAAGACGCCTAAAGCTTAAGTCAACCTTTAGGGATGCTTTCGGTTTTGCCTAAAGGCACTGAAATAAGAGCATTCGTCCTGCATTCTTGTAAGTTCAAAGTAACCATATACAATCATAAAAGGTGGCAGCAATCTTGAATAATAGGTACGCAATGCGTAAATGTGTCGATTGTTGAGGTCACATCGTGTTGAAGTGATATTTCGTCGAGAATTTCGCAGGGCTTTTTAATATTTAATTTTACAAGGCTCGCACCTTCGACGAAATTCACTAACCTTACAATTTCTTTCCCTTGCCCTTGCTGCTATTTTTTTAAGACTATTGGTCGGAACGTCTACGCTATCCAAACGTTTCAATATTACACATACCTACACCGTGAGTTTCTTCAAATGAAGAATTCGTCAACTCCAACTTCATCTCCAAAACTCAGAGGAGAGGGTAGAATAATTTAAATAGCAAAACAAATTACAAAATTTCTGAAGATTTCAGTTACTAATCGGCCCACGAACTATACTATTGTAATATGTATGACTGTGGGTTGCCCTATTGTCCTCTAAAGCTTAGATATTGACTAAGGGCACCGTTTCAAGATCCGCTATCGACAACGTGAAAAACGTTCAAACACCTCGGACAAACACTTTTAAGGTCTAGTGTGGTGTCTGCTTGCGCAAGCATAGATGACACAGTAAAAGCATTGACATTATCTATCCACTGAAACCACCACGACCCACCAAACTAAAATAAATAACTTTCATTTTCACTAGCTAAGGTCTTTTCTCAGGCCTTCTTTACCGAAAAAAACTTTCTCTGACTCGTTGTAGATTGTACTCCCCAACACAATTACTCTGATGCTCTCGATTTTTCCATTCGTTTTATTTCCCTTCATGTATACATAGCAAATAGGTTGTTTATCATTATTGCAGAAATTGTATTCATGAGAGAATAGAACAAATACCTCCATGATGACTTGGTTTCTGGAAGTGGAAAAAGGCAAAGATGGCAAAAATTATTTATGCAACCATTCTCCTTTTGTAGGTACTATATATCAATTTTAAAAAAAGTGAGGTGACCGTTGCACGGTGTTGCCAGCCCCCACCGACATTGTCACCTCCATAGTGTCCGGTTTTTCTTTGCGCGTGTTCTAGATTGCCCACGTTCGATTTTATTTTCTCGAGGCTTTATCATTGTTGAAATTATCAAAAGCTAATAAAACAATAACAAACAACAAGCAGAAACAAACACTAGTAAACATAGGAGGCTTTGCGTCATTAGTTAACATTGTTGTTTGGTTTTCATTTTCTTTTTATAATTCATACAGAGAGTTTCTCTTCTTTTTAAATCTTGTAAAAGGCAGCAAATCTCCACCAAGCAAGGAAAGCAACCGAGACAAAATGAAACAAAATGAAACAAAAAGAAAAAAAAGGCATACATGTCTCTTATCCAATCTAACCTACATGCATGTGATCCACTTTTCAGCGCAGCCATGAATTAGTTTTGAAAATCCTTCGCACTCTATACAGTTAGATGATTTTAACCTTTACAAACAGTACCTAAATGACAGAAAGAGCCTCTTATTGAGCAAAGCCGACGTGAAAAAACTTTACCTGTTTTGGGCTCATGTGAAATACTCACCAAAATGTAAAGATGTTTTTAACCAGCATGTGGTGGAAGGGTTGTTTTCTCCGCTTTGTAATTACGATCAAGGCTTTGTGCTGAAGGCGATGGGCAAATTTTGCTGTCGACGGTACTGCCAGAAGAGAGTGAACCCTTCTCGTAACTAGAGGGGTCACCATTCGTGCGTTTTATCGCAAAAATCTGTCAAATAATCAAATAAGTTACCTAAATATAACCTGAACCTATTTCTACTTATAGTCACTCTCTATGAGACAATTCAAAGTTCTGAGTTATTTTGAACCAGTCAGAGCAAGTTTTCTTCGAAACCTTAGGAGGTGCCAGCCTCTCGTGGAAAACTAATTTTGCCTGAAGTTAGAGTTGCTTAACCGTGGTGATGGAGATAATTTATCATCATGCAGTGAAAGAAAAGTACTTAATTTTATTCACCCTGCATATGCTTCGAATTCTTCCTTCTTGTCAGATCTCTGAGAAAAGGCACAGCAAAGTGTTCAACAAGTACACTGCATCACAGTGACTCCTCAGTAGGTTCAGTGTAGGAATGATAATGACACAAGGAATGAACACATTGTACACAGCAAAGCCGATCTGCTTGGAATCGTTTAGCGCTGGCATGTGGACTTTGCGAGTTTCCCATGCCAGGTAGGTGCAGAATAGCAGAAAGAAGCCTTTGTAACCATATAGCAAACCTGTCCATAAGTTTTCATATTTTGAAGTGCAGAAGGTCTGGTATGGGTAAATGGCAATGTCAGCGTCTTGGTCAATCGGAAATATTTGATAATTACGCCCATTACGTTTGTCATCTGTAATAATTCTTTTTGCTGTAATTATATTACTCTGAATAAAGCAAAATTACGAACTCCTTTAAAAGGTAAAGTATTGGCTTAAACTGGACTACTAGTTGTCTCTGTTCCACATGGACAAGAAGAACAAAGCAGATGTATTGCATTGTACATATGTAAAAAGGATTTATGGAAAACGTATGAAAATCATCTTAAAACATCTTAATAAAGTATTCAGATAACAACCTTTTACTTTGGGCGCAATGTCAATGCTAAAAATATATGGAGCATTCAATTAGACTTTTCAGTTTTTCTCAAACTTGAGATCATGACGTGAAAAAAATGTCCCATCAAAATAAAAAACGGCTCATAATGAAGTCGTACGGATAGAAATAGACCAAGCTTACCCGCCTTGGGAAGGTCTTAGAAGTGGTATATATAGGGTCCAGTATTTGCCAGGTGGAAAGGACGCAGGCGTCGATCATTAGGAGAAGAATTACCACAATGAGAAGCTGGTAGTCTAGGATCACCTAAAGCAAGGAATTGAATAAAATGATAAATGTTGCTCAATATAAGCCGTGCTCTCCTTTGAAATTTGTGTTCTTTTTTAAAATAGGTTGATTGCATTCATCTTTAAGGTACAGTTATCTTAGGCTTGTGGTCATCAGAAGTATGGGGGCAAGGAAATGATTTTTTAAACCCCCCCCCTTCCTCATAGAATTCGGAACAATACCTGGTTTTGTAATCATCGTCAGCGTCACTCATTGTTATTGTTCAGCTGGAAGAGGCTTTTTGCACTCCAAGATGACCCCTTCGCTTGTTAGCTTCAAAATTTCTTAATCGTGGTCGTCTCGTTACTTTGGGAGAAAAATAGATGATCTGATTGATTGATACTCAATAACTTACCGTTTTTTTAAGTTTGTTCATAAAAATGCGATGAACCCTCCATGTCTTAGAGAATAAGGCACCAAAAGCCATGGTAAATCCAAATGATGCCGTCCATGCACTAGTCTACATAATTTGAAAGAGTAAATAGGATATCAATAACTCATTTAAACGAGAACTGCCTAATGCTTCACAAAAACCTAGACCATCACTCTTTACTTGGTATTTCGAAATCTTTAAACTACTGTTTTCCTTCTTTTCCAGTTTTGCCTTTGCATGCAGACCACTTCAAAACTGTGTAGCTTTCTGTCTCAATAACGTTACACTTGTGAATTCTTCCTTCATCCACGAAATTTCTAAATGTCTACACGATTGTCGAAAGTAGTCCGGGATTGCACTGTTTTTGCTTTACTCATCCCGGTTTCCGATTGGTCCAAAAAAGCTTGTACCACATCATTAACCAATCACACGATTGTGATTTAGGCATTTGCCCTTTACCGTGCATTAGACTGTTCATGTACTTTTACTAATTCCTCACTTCCCTTTAGTTCAATTTGCAACGTCATACCTGACACACTCTCTCGTGGGTCTTCTTTGAGACAATTTCAGCGTCAATGCCGAAAAGGATTCCAGAAATGTAGATCAAAACACATCCCAGAATAATAATGTTATTCATATTCGGGCTGGACATTCGAATATACCTGGAGGCAGAGATAAGCATTTAATAACTGATTATGAACGATTGTTTCGGTGTTTTATGTGTGTCTAAATATATGATTAAAGTAAGGTTGATTTAAGAGAATTCCCGATCTCCCAGGCGACTTCAGAAAAATCCAATAGCCAGTTTTAAACTGAGAATGAGAGCAAAGTAGTGGTGAGAATTTTCTCAACAATTTTTAAACGCTTGCAAATGTCCCTGAACAGACCTACTCACTCAATAAACCTAGCAATGTGCAATAATCACCGAAACGAGGAGAACAAAGATGTTGCTTTCTCCACCCTATCACTAAGGACTAAATTTACCTTCCTTCTTATCGTGATTTGCAAAATGCAGAACCGTGAATATTTAAGTCTCTTGCCGTTGGTATTGCAGTTAGTACTATTTCAGTCTTTCAACCAGAGATAATTCAACGAAACCTCATTCTTTTTATAAAATTTGGTTTTCTAGTTATCAAAAGACATAAACAATGAGACATTGGCTGAGCTAGGATCTGTCCTGGCCACTTGAGTTATGACAGTTTTAGGTGGAGGCAAAAATTTATTTCCCACGACATCTGCACTGTGAATAACAGCTAAATAAATACTTTTTTATTTTCCTTCCGAAATCTTTTAAGCCCACACAACCAGGAAAAGGCTTCTATTCCTAAGACCTATATATGAATACTTCTGATGGAAGTGACGGGCCTGGATTAGAAGCCTTCCTTTCTGCACCAGATTTCATTTCACCTGGTCTCCTTCTGTATTCTGATACTTTCTTGACACATTAAGTTTAGCTGGTTAGTTTATATCATTTGGCAGAGCCAATAGGGCCTCAGTGGATTAATTCAATTTTGTGAATAAGTTTTTCTCTGAACTATTAAATTTAGAGAGATAACATAGCAGAAGTGAATAAATAAGAAAATAGTGCAATGGAGAGTTTCTACCTGACATTTCGGTACTTAAAGTTGAAAAAGAAGAACCCTGCCGCAAAGAGGATCGCGAGCACGCACAATCCATCCATGGTAAATACCATACTCTTGGGAAGGTACCGTGGCTCAAGGATTTTTTGGATCGTGCAGGCTGGAACCTTTTTATCTGGTTAACATAAATATGCGAAAAACGCAATTCACAGTCAGTTTCCCTGTGATATTATTTATATTATATTTATATTCATAAACTCTTTGTTGCATAGTTATTTGCTCAGTTGAGGAGTTTTAAAAAGTTTTTGACCACGCTTTTTGTTTTATAAAAGAAGACTGTATTGTTGACATCATTTGCTCAAGAGTTTTTTGTTAAAAGAAATCTACCAAAGTCTAGAAGACATCTGAGCAGTACCTTCCCACTGCGCTGTTTGGCTCTTATCGACTACGATGACTTTCCTTTTCATGTCATAAGTTCCAATTCGTTTCATTTCGCCACCTGTAGAGGGGAATAATACGGTAATTAAAAAAAAGCATCATTTCGTTTTAGTTATGAACATCATAAGGAGTACATACGTTGACGCTGATCAATGTTAAGCAAGCTTAGCCTATCAGAGTTCTTGTAAAATTGTACCAAGCCCTGCAGAGTGAAAAAAAATATAGAAATTACGCTTTACATTCTTCAGAAAGACAAGAATGGCCGCAAAGTATCATGACTGAGATTTGTGATGAATTCCTTGAATAGTAAACAGGATACTTGTTACTGTATATGCTGCCATCTATCGCAGTAACGGAGGCCAGTTTTTCTCACAACAGCAAAACACATGTATTTCTACGAAGAAAATAAAAGGTAATGGAGCGAAATTCGACTCAAAGAGTGAAGTCAACCTCTCTATAGAATGCCTTAGTAGAACACTTTTTGCATTCTTCGAGATAAGATCGGAAACTTCAAAGCAGTCAGCTACTCTGCCAATTAAGATACAGAAAACTTGCTGGGGAACTAAGACATATTCGGAGTTCAGCGACAAGCCAATTGCACATGACTAGAAGAAGAAATGAACAACCACCTCTCCTTCTCATCATGAAAGTCAGTCATCGAGAGTGCCGGAAGGAAAAATGTAATGAGTCCGTTATGAGGAATTGAACCTCCAACCTGCTCGGACAGTTTATTAATCGATCAAAAATAACATAGTAGTCCATAAATAATTTCATGCAGAGCTTATGATAAGAATCCTTAATACTGAAATAATTAACAAGGTCAAAACGCGTATGTGCGTGTCGATTGTCAGTTGCACTCCGTTCAATTTTTTTCGTTTTTTGTTGCATGGATCGTTAAAGAAACAATTACTTATGCGTTTATGTTGTATCGCCTTTGTTTTCTAACGATAACTATACCTAACAAAGGAGTTTGACCTTCAAGAAAACAAGATGCTGGGAATCACAGTGATAGATATAATGGGGCACTTACAGACATTCCCTGAAATGATACCCCTTTTGCAACCTTCATGAATGTCTTCCTCATAGCAGTATTATTGTAGTCAAAGTCTTCCAATGACATGTTTCTGGTTTCGTTTTGCTGTTGAAGTGCTGAGATAGACTTGTGCAAAGTAAGGGCTATGGTCCAAACAGCGTCATAAGCAAAGGCGGCGTGACGGCTGGTCTCTTTGTAAGGAGTCTTGGACAGCTCTGCCCTGTACTCAGCTCTGAGTTCTTCTGTGGTCTTCAGATAAAGATACATGAATAAAACGTGAAATAAATTTACTTGTTACTCAGTCAAACATGCAGATTCTTAATGTAATAAGCTGATCAAATTTACTTGATACAGCTTCATAGAAGGCTCCTCCATCAAAAGTTATGCGAAAAGGTTCGCGGACATCTCAGAGGTGATAAAATATAAGCTTGGAATCACATAGTTCTCGTAAATTGTTGGAACCAAATTTTATCTTTGAAATCGGAACCTTGGCTACCATTGACAAATTAAGAAAAGTTGTATTAATTAATCTATTAGTAAGCAGTAACTTGCTTATGCACGATTCGTTAGCATGCATTCATAGCATGATTCTATAGTTTAGTAAAAAAAAACACAAATTACAACTCATAGAATTCTGACGTTTGAGAAGTTTGAGTCTGGCAGAGGTAGCCAAGCGAGCTATTTCAACTTCTAAATTGCCTTTGTTGGACATTATAGATCTAAATTTCAGACCGCATTGATTAAAAACGAAATACTTCCTATATGAGTCTGTCTTTTCTACCCGTGAACTGTGGTAGTAGATAAGATATATCGTACCTTTCTGGCGATCGTATCCTGATTATCTTTTCCAATCATCAACGCCTCGGTACTAAGGTAGTTCCCGAGCGCCTTGCAAAGTTCCTCTTCGGTGCAATTCACATCATTGTAGCCCCACCATTGTTCTCTGTACCCACCCGCCATCAGAATCCAGACGACTTTAGGACCATAGAACCCCTTCTGAAAAGCCTAAAATTTTTTTAATATAATTGAAGTTACTTCCAGACAATAAATACATGTATTCCTCGAGCGAGTGTTGGACATGAGTTAGCTGTGGTCACTTCTTGAGTATTAGAGACTGCCGGCGGTGAAATAGCTGTTTTATTAAAAAACCAACGACTACGTATACGGATAAAATATGTCGTAAGAGGTCAACATCGACCCTATGATAATATATGGGTGACTTGTGCTCCATCTGTAGTGAAATACATCTTTTAAAGGTGCATGGCCAAGCCAATCAAAACCATCATTTTGCAAACTGGAAGTCACAAGTGTTTTTAATACGTGTTGTTGTCATATACAGCCGCTGGTGACTAGTGTCGCGCACATAAAACCAAAATCAAGGAAAACATGTAAGATGAATTTTGCATGAGGTAAAGTTTCTCAATTAAAAAAAGCTAAACCTTTGCTCTATAAAGCATTTTGATTATTTCTTGATTTTCAAGCTCCGATACGTTAACAAAGCTACCCTACTTACCGTGCAAATAACTTTTCTTCTTTCTCTGAAAACATGCCAAAAAAAGGGGAAAGAAAGAGTTAGTTAGTGGGAAAAAAGTTCTCAAACACCCACTGCTGATGGTGCCGACAGAAAACACTGTTAACGTTTCTTCATCGTCTTGGAATTTAGCAATTCAGGTATGAAATATCGAAATGGTAATTCCATACGCCTACAACATACTTTTGCTGTGTGTATTACAAGACGCTTTTGTACAAAAATCTCGGCATGAACAGTAACACCAACAGGACATCTCCTTTAGCAGACTCAAACATTACTGATGTAGGGAATTTGGTAATAATCAAGAAAGTTGGCAAGGGTTCAAGCCTGAAAGTCATCAAATTTCAAGATAAATGGAGGAAATTATGGCCAAGCTTTGGCGGTAGGGTTTTGAATAAGTGCTTAACTAACACAAGCCATCGCGGCTTAACTGATACAGGCCGCGTCAAAGTTATTCTTATCAAACCGGTGTGTCTTCGATCTGCAATTCAGCGTTGCCGGTAAAAGTCTATAACCCAGTCTTTTTCAACCTTTTGACCAAATCGTTGGAAAGTCCTTGGTAAGTGTCCATATTCTCTCGCAGTATGGCCACCCTTCTCCATTTGAAATGTTTCACGATCGCCACTCTTCCCTGGTTTTGAAAATGCTCGGGTGGTATGGTGTGCATGAACGTTGAAAAGATCTTCGCGCATGATAGAGCTGGGTTTGCTCCCGCCATAGCCACCTTGTAGTAGCATAAAATATTGATGAAGATTAACATTTATCGCTAATTGGCTGAGTGATTGGTTGTCTTTTGTGTTAGATGAGTTTAACGTAATTTCTAGCTATAAGATTACTGCCATTTCATTGCCAGTGAAATGTGTTGTCTTGGAACAAAGCAACAAATACCGAAAGGAAGAGTTCAGCATCATGAGAACAGTTTGACAAAACTATACGGATAAACCAGAGAAAGCAAAGATAGCAATATTTGAGATAATTTGCTCCCAAGAATAATGACTTTGATCGAGAATTTTTGACCCAGTGGAAAACTGGAAGTTGTAAATATGTATTGTTTTAATTTTTTAAATTTAAAATAATACATATTATACTTAAAAGTATTTTCGAAGATCTGATATGGTTAAAACTCACTTGAAACAAGTTGTAGAAAGGAGTAGCCTTAGCAAATGGTTTGTTCTGCTGATTTGGAACAACCAGGTCCTAAGATCATGATTTTCTTCTTCTCCTCTCGAATGAACTCAGTGAACGCGTGGATTGCATCGGGGTCTTGACACTGAATGAAATACAGACACAATAAAATGTTTGACAAATAAGAAATATAACATTATGGTACTTAATTTATAAATTGCCTGAGGATGTGAAAAGAAGTTATTTTCTATACGAATTATTTTTGAAACGAGATGCTCTAAAATTAACGAGAATCTACATAAGTTTCTTTCATGATCAAGTTGAATTAACGATTTGAACAATTTGGAATATAACTATAAAATCTTACTCTGCAACAAGGCTGCGACTTGACATGTTCTACTATTGGCATGGCAACCTATCACCATTATCTCTTCATCAACTCTTGTCGAGAAAGTATAACTGCCGCAAGAATCCTTAAGATTGATCGTGTTTCCTACCTTGACGTCTTTGACTTCCATTTGCAGTTCATAGTTCACCAGTGTTTTGGGACATGTATTCACATGTTTTATTGCCATGCGCACTATTGGGATCATACTTGCAGAGTTTTCATCTCCAGGCTTTGTGTCGATGTCAAACACTCAGCCGATGACCAGCGGAATTTTTCTAGAAGATGCATGTGTGAAACATATGAGCGGTATAAGAGCAGCGAGGAATTTAAGACTCATTCTGGAAATCAGAAAAACAAGGAAACTGAAAGAAACTGATAGCCTAATTTCATGAGTAATGGTAATTTTTTCATTTGTATGTAAATTGCTGAGCATAAGACAGGTGAAAATGGGCTCAAGAAATAAGCTCTTTTCTTCTCTTTTGCCGCTTGCTTGGTCTTAAAGAAAATTACCACTAATTTTCGTGAGTTGTTCCATGCAGGTAGTGTGTTTTCATTTGGTGATTTTTACTTTTTTCACTCTATAACGTTACATATTTAATTTAAATACAGACTAGGCACTCTTCACAGTTCTGGCATTCCACGGAAAGAGTTAATTTTACTGTGCTTTCGAGAGAGTCGAGTTCATCAATTGTTAATGAAATTTTTCTATGGTCTTTTGCTTTGAATGGAAATACGTATGACACAATCACTATGCGCATAACGACTTCCATATGCATCTTCCATTAGTAGTATTGTTATTATTATTCCTAAGGTGCTGAAAGGGTATCACGTCGGTTGAAGGATTTGCAAAATCAGAGCAATTTGGTCGTGAATACTGTAGAAATCGCACCACATCTAAAAAGATGAAAAAACTTGCCGGCCTCCCCTTAATCTTTCAGAATTCAAAGTGGTGCATCAGAAGATATCGGACATTGTTTTCGCAAATGAGTTCTTAGTGCTTTCTGCGCACTGGTTTGCCACCTCGAAATTGTACGAAAAGTGCTTAGCATTGTGCAAACTTTTTCCTTACATCTATTGAGCGTAAACCTTCACATAACCGCCATTTTTTAAAGCTTCTGAGGAGGACTAATTGAAGCTCGCACGGAAGTTTTTATGTTGAAAGGGACCGCATTTCCATGATGTGTCGCTTAAAATCAATTTTACTTTCAGAAAAAAAAGGAAGAAAAAAACCGTGGCAAGGCGACTTAAGCACGTTTTGGGGAGGAAGAAATCCCTGTCAGCTGATTATTTATTTAGAGATAACACTTGTCATATCAGACATAAATCTTAAGAGTAATGAACTTTGCAAACGCAAACGGATCCTTTTCTAACGCTACTCTATCATATCTGATAATGATGATCATTTTTATTCAAACCGCCTTCAGTTTTCCATTCGTTGCTCAAAACCTAAGATAGAGGCTTACCCGAATAACTTACATTAAGTACATTTTAACAGCAATAGGTTCATGATTCTGTTCAGGAGTGGAGAGTTGAGATTTCAAGGTTTTATATGGTGTTACTGTATGTGTATTTTAACACATATTTATTTCTGACTTATTATCTTGTAGTCTCTTGGAATGTAAACTCGGAGTGTACATACTGCGTACAAGTCAGAACGCACAGTGAGAGCGGGTAAACCCAAGTTAACAAAATGATTTTTACTCATACAAAACTCAAGTACATCAGAGTCTGAAAATCGTAAATTGTTGACCTCAACTTTCCATGTTTCGTATAATTGCTTTTCACACTTCACGAAGCAGTATTTCAAGCTCGAGGGAATGTTTTTCTTTTTGATTTACTCGTTAAGTTTTTCTTCAAGTTCATGCAGGCTCTGTCCGTGTGGACAGAAGATCGAGTACGACATTACGGGGTGTTTCAGAATGAAGTATGTGGTTCATTACTTGTCTTCTAGTTTTTTTACGCTTGTTTCCATATAAATTCTTAACCGTATGACAGTTTGGATTTACAATCCACAATGACACCCTTACCTGATTTGGGTAGTTTTTATTTTGCAGAAAGGCTACTCCCTCGATCCTGGTGTGGTGCGATGCAAAACAATCGTGAAGCTAATAAAACACTTTTACGACTTCACTTTACCAAGATGTGACGTGAAACTTACAGCGCTTATAAATATATTTATATGGACTTGAGGCTGACATCAGATAGAGGACCGTGGATTAACCAATCAGAGTCAGCCAAATCTTTCATCTTTAAAATTCATCACGATAGTTGTTGGTGTTGCTATTTAATCTTGTGGGGTGTTATCAAACGGGTGATATTTTGCCTAGGTTGGACCATAATTTCTTACAAAAATTACTGCAAATTCAGTCTTAAGCGATTCGAGTCTTTGGACAAAATCCCCGAACTGGGGATGTACTCCTTAAGCCTCATTATGTTGTCAATTCCTTTACCTAGCATTTTAAAATGAAATATTTGGGAAATGTGCGACTCGCTGAATCGTCTTGTGTAATTTTGTTTATTTTAAAGCGGAATACTCCTTAACATACATTTACATCAAGATAGGGGCCTTCTACTGCCAAGGAATTAAGAGAAGTATTTCCCCTGTGATCTCCCTAGATCTTCTTACTGTTTCGGTATTGAACGTATTGAACTTATTGTTTTGCATGGACAGTTTATGCTACTCGTAGCAAGTATATAGTTTTAACTTTATATTTAGAAATCAGACAAATGTAGTAGAAGGATTATGATGTTAATAGAATCTCACAAATTGAGAGAAAGATCTGCTGACAACTTTTGAAACATAGGACTTTGATGTAGAAAGATTTTATTTTAGTGGATGGGCTGGTCCCAATTTTCCTGCACATGAAACACCAATGACAACATCGAACCAATAGGCAGTGCATGTTGTTGGAAATGAGACTCTATGGCTATATTTTATTGTATTTTCGTCAACATGTTGCTCGTTATGTGGATAGTAATTTTTATTGTATTTCTTTTGTTACTAACTTGATGCATACAGATGTTTGATACCAACAGATGATTTAACTTGAAACAGTTTTCCTTGAAATTTAACCGCGTCAAATAAAATCTCACATCTGTTATTTTTTGATCATTTGTTTTTTGTTTTCATAACGTGTTCGATGATCATTCTCCTGAACTGCTTTAAGAATATGAATTCGTAACAAATACATAATTACTTTACGTAATCAGAGAAATGTGTTTTAAGTTATTTAATATTTTAATAATCAGCCCTATTTTAAATCTTTTTTGACGTATTGAAATAACGCCATATTTTCGTTTTGATATCTCCTCCATGTCCCTCTGTTACCTGTAATGTGGGCTGATATAAATGTCTAGTAAATGCATTCTCATTTACAATCGTATTTTCGGATATGAGGGAAAAGTAAGAGTAAAATGTGTCAAAAACTGACCATGTGGTGTTATTTTTGTTCAGTTTTCTCTAAAGACCTGTGGTTATTGGGAGAGTGTACGACCGTGAGCTTTACTTTCGACTGTAATGCTTTCAAAGTGAAGTTAAGGAAGAATGTCAAACACTCTTCCAGAGCCGGCGGGGAAAAACAAAATGAATGGCACTCAAATGACAATTGAATAATTATGCGATAAACTTGTAATGCCAAGATCAAAAGCTACTAAACTGGAGCCTCAGACCCACGCATCAGATAAGCGAGAAGGGCGGACGGAAAAAAAAAGGAAATATGTCGATGACTTTTCGAAAAAGAAAACGAACAATTCATCAATTTACAACATTTAGTTTTCTCTCCCACCCAAGTTGTTATTAGAACTGCTACGTCTCTTCCAAAAGCCTTCACTAAAACACTTATGCACCTGTTACTACTGAGCGAGTTTGGTGATCTCTGCTTATTATTTGCGCATTAAATCTTATAAATTTTATTTACGATGACTTAATTTCAATCTATCAACGTGCGTGGCGCAAAAGTACGTATCCATTTCGTATTATATATCAAGAAATACGACAAGAACTACAACGTTCCTCCGCCAAATAATGTATAATGCTGCTTTCCTTCTGTCCACACAGGTGGGTAATGTTGAGGAATCGAAAAAAGCATAGAGAAGTTGATTCATAGACGTGTTTTCGGCCAAAATGTATGTCATTGAACCCGATACAAATTTCAAGTGTTACGACCCGATGGAAACCTCTGAAAGCAGAGGCGAGGTAAGGAAGAGGGTGGACTCCGAAAAATCGTTATCTCAAATACTTCAACTAAAATCGTAGATTTTGCATCATCATCATTGCAAGGTAATAATTAACTTGCCCACAAGGAAACGCTGAGATTCGGTGTGAATCTTTTCTCCCACCGGCATTTTCAATTCCATCCTTGCCGTTTTGACAGAAACATACTCTTCAAAAATCTTGCACCTCGCTGTGCCGTGGACTGTTCTGCTATGTCAGTCTAGGAGAAAATCAAAGAGACAACGTAGGCGTCAATGTAATTAGATCATCGTCCCTTAGGAGTGGACACAACGCCACCTTCAATGGTCACGCAGAAAACGTATTGATACAACGGCGAAGGAAAAGCCTTAGACTTGAATTAGCAACCTCTGACCTCCTCTCTTCCTTGGGCCGCTATTTATATCCAGCCCCACTCCTCTTCTTGTTAATTTGGTTGTCTCATTACCAGTCCCCCAGTCGGCTGTTTATAGATTGATAAGCATTCAGATTAGGGAAAACGCATTTGTGAAAGCGGAAGAGTACACAGCAAACAATGGAGGTAGGAATATTCGATTTTAATGGTTGTAGATATTTTCTACTTCTTTTAAGTAGACTTTGTCTGACGAAAGTGTCGAAATCTTTTCCGATTTGCCCCCTTGTCATGATTTGAAAATGTTTTGGATGTATGCATCACTGACTTGTACTTGGGCTTAGGCTGTCTATCAATATCTGTCAGTGTCGAATTTTTTAGTTGGAACCGTTTTTTAACCCATTCCATGGAGAAATTACCAGTGAAAGTTGCGAAAGAAAGCTTTACAACAATCTGCAACTGGACTTCGTTAACTATTTGTGTGCCTTTCCGTGTTGATCTGTGCCTGAACAGAACCCGACTAGAACTCGTTTTTAATCAAGTGTGACGAAGTGACGACCGAAGCCGAATCACCAATTCGAACACTCATGGCTTGATACATAGTTTAAGGATGGTTGCAGGGCCCGTGTCATTTGGATCTGACCTAGATAATGCTTAAACCGACCTGTGTGACAAAACAACCAGAAAGGCGGTCATGTTAGATTACTGTTTCTTTCTTGCCAAGAATTTATAATCTCTTGTTTTTTTTTAATGGGCTTTTTTAAATCGTGTTATGGATGCACGCAGGAAGTTTGGCGAGAACATTGCGTAGGTTTTGATAAAAGTTCTGAAATTGTTCAATTTTAGAATTAAATTCTGCTGCTGAACAATACATTTAGGACATATCGACAATTAAACTCTTAATAATACTATATTTACCAGTGAAGCTTTACCACAATCTGCCGTCAGGCTTCGTTAACTCTTTGTTCGTCTTTTCGTGTTGCTATGTCTGAACAGAACTCATGATTGATCAAGTGTGACGAAGTGACGGCCCAAGCCAAACTGACTTATTCGAAAACTCATGGCTTGATACCTGATTTAAGGAATTGTTGCAGGGGCCCGTGTCATTTGAATCTGATCTAGATAATGCTTCAGAGACTGACCTGTGTAACAAAAAGTTTTCGGTTTCTCTCGTTCGCATGTGAGAAGATTGGTTTTTCCTAGGACCTCTCAAACGTTCTGCGACATTCAGAGTCATGCAAAGTTAATTAAAGAATTGGTTCTTGCCAAGAGTTTATAAGATCTTGTTCCTTTTTTAATGTGCGTAAATCGAGTTAAGAATGCAAGCGGGAAGTTTACAGAGCACGAGAGAAGCGTACGGCGCAGCCTCCAGCAACTCTAGCTTTTTGAGAAACAATTCTTTTACAACATAGCGGACACAACTTGAGCTTGAAGAAAGAGTTTTATCATTATTGCGTCGGGTTTACAAGGTCATCGTGATCTATCCGAAAGCTATGACTAAGCGACTGAGGAAAAAACGATTAAAAACTATTTTGAGACCAAAGCTTTATTCAAAGAATTGAAATTTGTACGAATTTCTCACATGTACCATACCACGTAGTATATTAAGCATGCTAAAATTAACGGCCAGAACATTGCGAAGTTATTTGATGAAAATTTTGAAATCGTTTAATGTTAGATTTAAAATCTGCTGTTGAACGATACGCTTGGGACATATCGACTATTAAAAATAATAGTCACCGTTCGAAAAACGAAGCGAAAAATGTAAGAATTTCTCGAGTTTACGGGACCTGCGCGGTTGATTCACCAACGTTTACTACAATTTACGAGCAGAAAAGTGCAAATTGAGATTTCTAGTAATGTATTTACGCAGTGCATGTTAAAATAACTGCTTGTTAAACAACTGCTTTGCCCTCTAAGTCTTATAAAGAAGACATCCTTTAAAATCAGGCCCCCTAACATTAAAGAGGTCCTGTGAAATATTTTAAACAGCTTTTATTCTATTTTAAGGAGGAAAACAATGACAGCAGACAGCACCCATCATCAAGAAGTCTTAGAGTTACTTTCCTGGCATCTGAATGGGGATCAAGCAAAGGAGGCCTCTCCACGTTAAACAGGGAATTAGCAATGAACATTGCAAAGAACCCAAGAGTTAAGGTCAGTTACTTTGTTCTAAGTTGCAATGACGAGGACAAGAAAGCAGCTCAAAGTCACAAAATAGAACTTATAAAGGCGGCAAAGTGGCCCGGCTTCGATGAAATGGACTGGCTCAGCTTTCCACCAAAGGATTTGCAAATCGACGTTGTGGTTGGACATGGCGTTAAACTTGGCCATCAGGCACAAATCATAAGGAAGTACCACAAATGTAAATGGATTCATGTTGTCCATACAGACCCTGAGGAACTAGGGATATATAAAGAATATACTAATCCAATTTCGAATGCTCAGAAAAAGCATGAAACAGAGGTAGAACTTTGCGAACTAGCTGACCTCGTTGTACCAGTTGGCCCCAAATTGTACAAAGCGTTTCATTCTTATCTCGCCTCGTGTAAGGAAGAGCAATATTTCTTCAAATTTACTCCTGGAATTCTGGCAGAATTCTCTGAATTAAAACAAGGTCTAGACAAACGAGAAGTTTGTAAAGTCTTGTGTTTTGGTCGTGGAGATTCGGAGGACTTTAAATTAAAAGGTTTCGACATTGCAGCTCGAGCTGTGGCTAAGTCGAGTCATTGTATTCTGTTATTTGTTGGTGCTGCTAAGGGAAAACTTGAGGAGACACAAACACGTTTCCTCGATTTTGATATCCTTCCCAGCCAGCTGAGGGTGCGTCCGTTTTTGGATTGCCGGGAAGATTTGAAAAAGGTATTTTGCGAAGCAGACCTTGTGGTTATGCCGTCGAGAACTGAAGGCTTCGGGTTAACGGGTCTTGAAGCCTTGTCAGCTGGTCTGCCTATTCTTGTGAGTCGAAAATCAGGATTTGGAGAAGCTTTGATGAAAGTACCATTTGGCCGGAATTTTGTGATTGATTCAGATGATCCAGATCAGTGGGCCAAAGCAATTGAGGAATTCTGCAACAACGACAGAAGCAGTCGACTTGAAGAGTGTGAAAAACTGCGAGACTTCTACCAGAAAAAGTACAGTTGGAAAAAACAGTGTGAATCTCTCATTGACATAATGATCAGCATCACTCCTAACGGTATGGAAGTAAGCTTAGCAGAGATCATCCAATGCTATACCAATAGGCATTCCGTCGCACCGTGGTCACAAGCCTCCCAATTAGTTTAGCCAAAATAGTCAGGAATATTTTTTTAGTTAACTTTCAGGCATCCTTCTCCTTTCCCTAGAAATTCCCCTTCACCATTTATACTCTTAGCCATCGCCAGGGTTAATTTTCCCACACAAACGTAACTCACTGCAATGCGAAATATTGATTCGTGGCATCGGGAGATGTATCAAACCTTTATGGGCTCGTTTAGCAAATTATGTAACAGCGGCTACTTAAACCCCAAACCTATAAAACACTACATAACTAATTAAATAAATAACGTCATTAATTAATGTCACATGTTCTTCACATAGACAAGTCTGAAGATTGTGGGGGTGCAACAGAAAAGTCCACATTGTCTCACCAGAAGGAAGTCAGTTACAGCCTTTGTTCAGGTACCATACTCTCTAAGCACTCCGTTTTAAAAAATGTAAATAACTAATAATAATCATAATAATGATAAAAATTATTGTAATAACTCGTATTCTGGAGACTAGTATTTAGTATTAAATTCTGACTTACCAGATTGAAGCATTGAAGTATCTAAGAGAGCGATTGGGGAAATTGATGAACTTTTGGTTCGAAGAGTGGCATTGAAATTTTTACTCCAAACTCGTACCACTGATATACTAGCAAAGTCCTTATTCATCCAAATAATTATAGGCCAATTTCACGTACATGGCTGTTATACAATACCTTCAGTTCGCCGTGTATTCCATGAAATATCAAGATTAAATCTCAGGATTTTCCATGAGAATGCCCAGTGGCTCTAATTTATCCTATGAAACATTTTACCAGAGATTATCGAAGGATCTCGATCGTTCTTTGAAGTGATCAAGCACAAGGTAACAAATAAAACCGATGTGCTCAAACTTACCAAAGCACAACCGTTTGGTTGTTAAATTCTCGCAATTTCTTTCTTTGCCTTTACCTTTCATTTATTTTCATGTCGCCTTTAAACTTACTTCGCAGAAAAAGCAGTCTTAACTAAATACATCTGAGAACACTTCTTTTTTAGACCCAATTAAAGGTCTTTTGTTAGTCAACCCAGGTAAAATGTCAGGCGGGATATAGGCAGGATCCTGGCAATCCCACCCAGGATCCCAGGTGGGAATGGCGGGATCCCACCTTAGGTGGTGGATCCCACCTTTCCCACCTGGGATGAAAATTTGATCCCACCTGGGATCCCGCATTCAATGCGGGATTCCTGCATCTCACCATCTTAGGTGGGACTTATGCATTCTACCCGGGATCCTGGTTGGGATTTACAAATCCCACCTACGAAAATATTATTTTGCTGTTTTTATTCTTACAAAACGTTTTTGTGAGAGTTCCAATACTTATGGATCATCCACACACTCCGCAAATATTTGGCACATTTTAATGATCTTTAGCCTACCGTGAGTTATTTGCTGTGCATCTGCAATCATTTGAGCGGCCATTGTCTATTAAAGTTTTGCTTTCCTATGTGAATCTTGTTGTTGGATCCACGCAATGAAAAATAGCTGTGGTAAGTCAGTTAGTACAATGAATCAGCTCCTGTGCGTAAGTCACAAGTTCGCCATGTTCCTCGACTTATTTCACTACCAGTCTCTTGCTAGTTAAGATCAAATAGTGAACATCCGAGCTTTAAGTTTGGCTAGGTTTACCGCCGCTAATTTAATTAGTGATCAAGTGTAACCCTCCATGTCCAAGGAGTTTGCCAACGAGAAATTGATAAGTTTCGTGGTTGAATTTTGCTTATATCACGCTATAATCACGTGCATAATGAGTCTTTGACTTTGTTTCTAAATGTTTTAGCATTCAACCGCATTGAGTGCTTTCATCTCTTGATAAAAATTAAATAAAGAACGGATCTATCGTTTTCACCACAAGATTAATTGGAAATCATACCATTTATTGAACTTGTTTTAAGTTAGCAGAGCAGATTTGTTTGAAGAGAAAATTTCCAGTCTCCGGCTTCATATCATTACGTATACAGAGAGAGTAGTTGTTTTGTCCCCGTGAGAACCAAAGCAGCCGAGTCAATTCTCGCACGGCTGCCTCTTCAACCAGCTCTATGTTATGAAGTAACGCGTTTACCTTAACTACTGAGAATGGATGGAGGATTTGTGAAATGACGATAACAACTCAAGCTTCCCTTTGGAAATCTGGAGACCAAAACAACTGACAAGGTTTACAGAAGAAGAACACTACGTCATCACGCCACGTTTTCTAAAAATAGGGTTTGGATGTTTGGCAATATATTGCGGCCACTTTTATGACCTGACGTATGAAATGAAAATATTAACAGTCCAAATGCAAAACCCAGAGAAAGGGAAAAAAAGAACAGATAAAGAAGAATATACTAATGAATACGTAATGTCGTTGATGCTTGAGGTGCTGATTTTACAAGTTTCGTATGTTGATACATAAAGAACGTACTTGTCACTTGCCATTATCTTTTGAGTTAAAAGCTAACCATGTCGAAAGTTTCCCAAAGACACAACGCAAGCAGATTTCGGAGTGTTGTTGTTTTATGACGGGTATCTTTCAATGTCTTTCAATATCTTTATTGGATGACTGACACACACCGTTTCAGCTCCAGTCAATCGAGCGTATCATATTTTGTTTACTGATATCAACCAGATTAGACTTCTTTGACGAGTGACCTTAATTAATGTCATGAGTAAATGTTTTTTGAAGGAACGATTGTGCGGAGTGATATCGCGTTACTTTTGGACGCTTTCTTTTATTCCTAGTGATAATGACTTTGCCTAAGACAGACAATATACGCTAATTTATGACGGCAACGCTTCCACTGATTACGAAACGATTGGCGCGCGTTTGATAATGCAAAAACTTTTTGAACTTTTTTTCGCCATATTGAATGCACATAGTAATATGTGTACACAAGGAAATATTGTTCAGTTTTTACTCAAGAGAGTGCGCACTATCGGCTGTTAGTCGTTTAAATCGATCAAACTTCCTGGTTAAATGATGAATCGACGCCATTTTGAATACGTTCGCACTTGGTCAGTTTCTTCCTCCGGCGATGGCGGTTGAAGCCGTTGGATAAATGTTAGGCGCTTTTCAAACTAACACCTTGCAGAGATGTACAATATGTTGGGAGCAGAATTTTTAAAATTTGCCGTGTACAGCGTGTCTAGTTTCCAGAATCTATAGAGATGTTTCCCAGAATTGCAAACTCATTCATGCACTAAGTTCGCGTGACAGATTGAGTGACATGTGTTGACAAAGCTCTCTATAATTTGAACCAACCGTGCGCAATTTATTTCTTCATTACTTTCAGTGCACTTTGTTGGCGGCTTTGGTGTGAAAAAGAAAGAAAGTTTTTTGATTACAGCACCAGGACGTGTTCTTCTCTTTACCTGATCTCATGAGGGGACGCAAATCGTCTGCACTGTAAGTACATATCAAGCTCCGTAGGTGATTTAATACCATTAAATATGAGATATTTATGTCAGCGTTTGCATGGTTAGTATCGTTAGCGCCTCTTCCGGTTGGATCTGGACAATGTTTGGTTTTTTTTCCCAGATTGCTTTTCAGTGCATGTAGTTTCCGATGTGCATGAAGATTTTCCAGATATTCCCCTCAAAATGGCGCCGAGGAAAGGTTTTTCGACCTTCTCTCGCGTGGTCAGTTAGGGATTAAGCGATCAGAGTTACTGGTACGTGCTCACAACTGAAATTTGTGGAATAATTCCCTTACAATATTTAAAGCGATCGCCGATCGTGAAAACTTTTCCTGAAGATTTCTGCAGAGTTGAAAGGGGCAAACTTCGGCTTCTTGATGGGCGCCCTTTCGTCAACAAGAAAAGTTCAAGTGCATTCGAAGTTGTTTGCTCGTCTTTTGGGCTTGTATCGGCTATTCTGAGGAAGAAAACAAGTTCTGAAGAACGAGGATCCGCCGCGATTTATAAAGTGAAAGAATTTCTGAATGGCTTGGCTTTTAGTTCCCTTAAAGGAGACGGCGACGACGTGGACGTGAATTGCGAGCGACCACGTGCAGCTCGGCGCCTTTCAATGCCTCCTCAATTCAACACTCCTAAGACGAAAGAAACGCCTGTCCCGGTTCATTTGACTCCTCCAAGCAGTGGCAGTCTTAGTTCCCCAAATCTTAAGGAGATTTGTGAAAGAAATGATTTGGAGACCCCAGAAAAGACTTTCCTTATTAAAAAGAGGGGGAGCCGCGTTCTCCAAGATGTACAAGGCATCTGTGAAAGGAGCCGGGAAAATTTGTCAACGGTGCTTTCCAGCATGTGTGCTTTTGGTGATCCTGAGGCGAAAGCTATCGTAAATGAGATTGTGGAGGATGTGGCCCTGAAGAAAGGAGTTAAAAGGACGGTGGAAGAGCTTGTTGGTGATGAAACGTTTTCTTTATACGTGGAAAGCCTGCGAGTTCCAGATTGGGTGTTACTATATTTCAAGACCAAGGCAAGGATATCTGGTAATACTTGGCAAGCCGTAATCAATATCACCAAACTTGGAAGGACAGGGGTAAGGTTTATTCTTAGTAATCAATGTTACAAGGCTAAATGTTTTGCCTACTTTATGGCGACCGCTATCACAAATCAATAACCAGCCTCAAGGGAAGTTCCCAACAGTCACATTCGCTCTTTTCAAAAAGCCTTTTTTTTTTTTGACAAATTGTCATTATTTGCTTGCAGTTTAGTCGCTCATGAAAATTTCCGTTTTTAAGATACAGTAGGATCGGTGGTAAAAAGGCTTTAAAAGTTTTAGAATTTTGGCTTCTCTGCCTCTAAGATGTAGAAAGACCATTGACACCGAAAACTGCCCTGAAGAGTTTTTGAGACTGAGAAATTGTTGCCAGCTTAGCACAACTTTAGGATGGCGTCTATCATTAATTTCAAGGGTGGAGGGGCAGCATTGCATAGTGTTGATCTCTCAGAAGGGCTCCTTCTTTTGTAAAGGACATGTCTGCACTCAGATTTATCCCAACTTGGAAGCAGTGCTATAGTAACAAATTAAATGCTTGAAAGTGATTCAAGAAGTGAAAGTCTTATTATTATTTATTATTACAATGATAATGGCTGATTTTTTAACCCTCAGTTATCAATGTGTTTTCCATGTTAATTTTGTTGTTTTTAATTTTTGTTTTGCTCTCTTTCTTTGGTATCCATTTTAGAAATCCTCTGACACACCAATATTGTTAAATCTTAATCAAATGAAGGCTGCCAAAAAAGTGATCTTTGGAGTTTGTAAAGAATACATGGATGTGAAAAAGGTGCCAACTCCTTTACAAGGTTATCAGGTGGATTTGTATCCTGTTTTGGAGCTGATTGTTTGTGAGCAAAGACTGCATAAGGTGTGCTCACCAACTCTCAAACTTCTGATCAAGATAGATGGAAGACCCTTTTGTGGTAAATACAGACTGTCAGGTTTAAGTATGCTGTTATAAACTATAGAACAAACTCAGAGTAAATGTGTAGCTGTGTATAATTTTGGTCCCATGAATGTGAATGAATAACTGTTTCTATTATTATTTTTTTATGATCAGGGAGAAATCAGGTGTTGGTAGGTCTGGTTGCCCGTCTTAATCCTGTATACAGCATACAGAGTGCAAAGTCTGTTTACCCACTGGCCATTGCCAATTGTAAAGAAAACAGGTTCATCATCAATTTCTATTCTATGTTACCAAAATACTTTTTCTCCTTTGCTTGGCATGGTTATGAACTGTTTACCACCCACAGTATAGACACTTTTCCATTTAAGCTTTCCTTACTGAAAGCCTGTAGTTTTGTAGACTATATATGACAGTTTTCATTGTTGTAAAGTTGGCTTTCCAGTGGCTCCAAGATCTGACAAATGTAACACACACACACAACAAAAAAATACCCACACATAATTAGACAGAAAGAAAAAAAAAACTACAAACCCTTTTGCAATATAAGAACCTTACCCCAACACAAGCTCAATAAATAATAAGTTTCATTGATTGTCTTTATGCCTAATGTTATTTTGATAGGGAAAGCCTGAAGGTACTTTTAAAGGATGTAAATGATCAAAAGAGAATTATCAAGAACCAAGGAATTTTTGTTGATGGCATTAAGTTCAATGTAGAATTTGATGGTAAGATGTTTCTGCCAGTTTATCGCATAAAGGTTGTTTGCAAGAACAACCCTGATCTTTTAAGGGAGGGGGGGATGCTGACTTTCTTTTTTTGAAACTTGAGGGTTTTTTTTCCATTATCAGTGTAGCTGACCAATATTTTAAACAATAAGTTATTTTTCTACATGTATGTCATCATAATTCTTTATTATTGTTGTTTTTTGTCATATCTTAGTTTCATTGGACTACAAAGCACTGATCCTTCTTTTGGTAAAGAAAGGGGATCTTGATTTTCAACTTGGTGGTCGTGGGGTAAATGTGGAATTTTGCTTTATATGCAATGCAATCAGGTTTAGTATTTGTGTTGGTGTACATGTGGATGTATAAGGATTTTTTTAGTTGTTGAAGTTCATCAGTTGCAATACACAAGCTGCAGTCTTCACTAACAATGCAACCACAAAATTTTGTAAGATAATATTAATTTAATTTGAGATAATTCCATTCCCCATTAGGGTTGCAAATGTCATGATGTAGCCCCAGATGAAACCTGCCTGGAATGCCTACGAAGCAAGTGTAACATAGGCAGGTATATTTTTAGTTTAGCCTTTCATGATCATTACTTAATGAACAGGCTTACTTAGAAAGTGCTTGTGGCCTTTTGGGTATCAGAGTTGATGCATTGGTGAGAGCAGCCACCTTCCACCAATCTGGATCTGTTCCTAGACAAAGCACAGTATGATTTGTTGGCTCTCTAATCTCCTCTGAGAGATTTTTTATCCAGGCACTCTAGTTTTTCCCTTTAATGGAAAACCAACATTTGGCTTCATTGATTTTGGGTTGTCTCTTTTTGTTTAATTATTAGTCAAGAGCACTTGTGCTTGGCTAAATACCCTTGAGACTTGAAAATCATCATTGTCATTTTTATTTAACATTGTTTCTTGAGTTTAAGATTCATTGAGTTATTCCCATTTATTTATTGCCATGGTCTTCATGAGACTATTAATTTTTTATTTATAAATACATTGTAAATGCATCATTGTTATTCATGTATTTGCAGATCAACTGGAATTCGGGATGATCTCCTTTTTCTCCTTGATGAAGAGCTTACTAGCATTCAGTTGTGTGCTCTCCATATGGAGATGCGCAATACTGAGCAGTTGCTTGCGTCCATTGGTCTGATTGCCTACAAGATTGGTTCACTTCCAGAAGCCAATCAAGCCCTGAAGTGCTTTGGCCCAGAGTCTTTTCATGGTGATAGAATTTCTGTTAAGAAGAAGAGTGGTCAGGAGTCTGCCATTTCAAAACAGAACATTCATGTGAGCTCTATGTCAGGTGCGTGAGTGGTTGAATTACTGGCTTTGTGTGTATTTTAAAATTGATTTGCTTTGTGGGTATCTATTATTTTTCTCATTGTGATAAACACATTTCAGGTCCAACAGAATTTGAAATTCTTCAAAACCTTGAAGAGATTGTGGGACTCTCCCTTCCACTGGACAAGTTAAAGCTCTCCTACATGGATGTAAACACTGCCAAGAATTTCATTCTTAACCGTGTTACATTTTGTCAGTCCCGTATTGATGTAAGTCTTTGATAGCAGATGTGGCATTGGCAAGTACCTTCACTTGTGGTTCAACAGTTCATGTTTATTGTTCTTTAAGTTTAGAGGTGTGGTTTATGTTGTGCAGCACCCAGATGTTTCGTCGGAGAGCGCTATCAAAATGGGCACCATTTGTAAGTACTTGCTTCCTTTTCAATTTCACACTATGCACTAGTTACCTTTCCTAGGAGATCCATGAACTTAGAGTTTCTTTCTTGCAAAAGGTCTTTCAAAGATCTTATTTAGTAGGCTGTACTTTAAGGTGGCACACCCAAAAGTGCAGTATAACCCAGCATTTTTGTATTTTTACACTCTTTCAATGATCTTATTTAGTAGGCTGTACTTTAAGGTGGCACACCCAGAAGTGCAGTATAACCCAGCATTTTTGTATTTTTACACTCTTTCAAAGATCTTATTTAGTAGGCTGTACTTTAAGGTGGCACACCCAAAAGTGCAGTATAACCCAGCATTTTTGTATTTTTACACTCTTTCAATGATCTTATTTAGTAGGCTGTACTTTAAGGTGGCATACCCAAAAGTGCAGTATAACCCAGCATTTTTGTATTTTTACACTCTTTCAATGATCTTATTTAGTAGGCTGGACTTTAAGGTGGCACACCCAAAAGTGCAGTATAACCCAGCATTTTTGTATTTTTACACTCTTTCAATGATCTTATTTAGTAGGCTGCACTTTAAGGTGGCACACCCAAAAGTGCAGTATAACCCAGCATTTTTGTATTTTTACACTCTTTCAATGATCTTATTTAGTAGGCTGCACTTTTAGGTGGCACACCCAAAAGTGCAGTATAACCCAGCATTTTTGTATTTTTACACTCTTTCAATGATCTTATTTAGTAGGCTGCACTTTAAGGTGGCACACCCAAAAGTGCAGTATAACCCAGCATTTTTGTATTTTTACACTCTTTCAATGATCTTATTTAGTAGGCTGTACTTTAAGGTGGCACACCCAAAAGTGCAGTATAACCCAGCATTTTTGTATTTTTACACTCTTTCAATGATCTTATTTAGTAGGCTGCACTTTTACATTTCGAGCATGTCTAATCAGCACGACTTATCTAATATGAGAGGAACTGTGAGAAATGTTAACTTGTAGAGGTGAGTCAGTGGAGTTATGGTTATCCTCCCACCTTTAGATTTTTAGCGCGAACATAGCTTACATACACGGATACACAGGATAGGTACGAGATGAGAGATGAATATACAAAAATGTTTCAGGGATGAGGCCTTCTGTGCCACTTGGCGCGAAGAAGTTAGGTGAAGGTGAAGTTGCCACAATGAAATTTAATAATTGAAAGAAAATATAACTAACATACCTTGGTTTTTCAATCATTAATTTTAAGAGAAGGCTTTGGCTTTGGCTTGTGAAAATGCTTGCAAATAGATCATAAATTTTAGAAAAAGGGAAAAGTCTCTGCTTAAACTCAAAGCCTAAATGCTGACTCTTAGGTTCCAGCAGGCAGTGTCCTAATACAAAGTTTTTTGAGCCACAGCATCCTTGTTTTATTCCTAAGTTAATTTTTGGCCTTTGCCAGTGGACTGCAAGAGTTATTGTTACAATAGCAAACAGAAACTGGCAAAAAGATGAGTCATCTTGGCAGTCCTGTTGATAAAAGATGTGACATCTTCACAACAGGAATACTGATTTGCTAAAGTAACAATGGAAACAGAATTTTATCTTGCATATGCCTAATTCTTCTATTCTTGATTATTTTCTTCTTCCTTTCTTTCCCAATATTTCAACTACAAGAAGGCTTAGGCTCAAATAATTTATTATACCATTTTTGCCTACATTTATGTCATTCTAGATCTCACAGTGAACACTAATGTAATAGGGAACACAGTTGTGTGGCAGATGATAATGATCAAATGAATAAGTCTACTGAATTCATTTAAAAGTACTATGTTTACAGACTAGATGGACAGTACCATTGACATGGATAAGTCTCAAACCAGGTCAAAGCCTATCATTTGGTCAGATAGAAACACACCCAAACTACTGTGTCATGCACCAGGTCTGTTAGTAAGGGCTATTCTTCAGGGTTCTGTTATTCAAAATTACACCAGAGTTAAGATAGTGTGCACTTATTTCTAAGAACTCAGAAAACAACACACCAGAACAGATGTGTTCTCAAGGCAACCCACCCAGTTTTAACTTTGTTTATTTACTTTTAGATATGCAAACAAGTTATACTTGGTTTTACTTCCAATTGGTCAAGAAATTGGCATTAATGTCTAACAATGGAAAGCCAATATGATGATAATTAGTTATCATTACAGAAAACTATACCATAAAATTTGACACTGAGTTACTGAAAACAACTCGTACTTCATCATATGGGATTAACACAGACATGCTGGTACACATTTTGCAATTTATTTTCCAATTGTATACCTGGCCATCCATCCAACATTGTGGCCTTTCTGTGCTGCTGGAACTGTTTTTGTGATAATTTTTTTTGTTTTTACTTTACTGTAGTGTGACTTTCCCTAATCCAATGCAATAAAATAGTATACTGACTGTTGCGGATGTATTTTCTTCCCCTTTGAACTCCATCACTAGAGATATAGGCTCTCTTTCAAGCTGGATTCCTATTATTGCAGGAATGTTTTTGTGTGTGAGAGTCTACATGATTTGTGCCTCCTTTACCATCTCTTTAGTGCTTTGCATCAGACATTGCTTTTCTACCACAAGAACGTTTAATCTTTTGAGAGATTTTAAAATGCACCAGCCATATGAACCCTGTCCTAGTATTAGTTCCTTTTCACTGATCGGTTGAAGCTCAGATGGGTCAATTAAAATTAACAGTGGCAAATTTGCTACTGGGTGGTCCTGATTTTGTATTCCTGTCTCTAATCTGGAATAAAGTAATAAACAGAAGAAAAGTGAAGCTGGTCAGCTAGATTGTGTAATAAGTGGTAATAGGACTGAGTAGTCTTTGGTCTGTAATCATATGAGTGATAACAAAATCAGACGACTGCATAGTGGGAGTACAATTTGTTTATCACGAGTGTGATTACAGACCGAAACGAATGACACAAAGTCCTTTTACCAATTAATCATAAAAATTACAATTTCCAAATTAAAAAGAACACTTAAATATTGTCTTTGCTCAAGGGAAACCAATTCTCTGTTTTGTAGAAAGCCCCAATTTAGGAATCTGTACACTGTTTCTATGGTGATTGAAACCAAGGTTGTGATCGATTGATTTAAACCACAACTTTGAATGTGATTGGTTGACTTAAATTACAACTTTGAATGTATTTGGCTTATTGAACTGTCCAACAACAACTTGGCAAGTGAATTAGTGGAAAATAGGAGTTTTTAAAACTAATCACAATCGAGGAAATTGTAATTCCTATGTTAATAGATTTATTGATAAACTTTATCCCTTTCATATAATACAAACAGAACTTTCCAAAATTCCCTGACTATTAAGGTACTGACCTATCCATGATAAAAATAAAATTTCCCTGATGAAACGGATACAAAATGTCCAGTCTCCTCTTCATTAAAACATTGCTAAGATCATCTGAAATATTTCTTCCAGCATGGTATGAAACTCAGTGGTGTAAAAACTTTAATTTCCCTGACTTTTCCCTGACCTTGAAATTTCTATCCCTGGCCATTTTTTGATCTGTGGTAACCTTGGTAGGGCAAGATCAACACTACATGGCAAGATGGAAGGGAAAATGCTCAAAGCTCAATGACTGTCCTTTTCAGACGAAAGTTTAGCCTGTCTGCTTGGCAAACAGAAATGAATGAATTCCCGCTAAATCATTTCAGAATGAGGCAATTTCAAATGGGGATTCCTTGCCTTATTTTATGAAAATGATTGTAGTTTTTTTTTCATTTCATCATAAAAAGGAGAAGAATTTTGAGGGCTACACTCTCCCCTCCCCCTATGAGTTTATGTTGAAGTCAACCCCAGGACGTTTTGTACAATGCAAGACAATGCTAGTTTGATTACGTTCAGCGTCAGTTCGGTGATATCGTTTTTTGTAACCAACTGCTCATTTTCTGATATCTATTTTATTCTATTTTGACGCTAACCGAGTACCTACCTTGGTTTTGTCCAGGGTCTTTTTATTCTGTTCGACTAATGCTTTCCATTTGCTATAATACATTCGCGCCAAGAATATGCATCTCTTTCCTTTTGTGTTCTCATTTCTCTGTTCTCCCTTTCCCTAGCTGTCCTTGACAATCGTTCACGTTTCCTCCTTTGATTTCGCATGCTGCGTTTTTTTTCGATTGTACTTTCCCGAGATCGTCGTGGCATGATTACTTTGCCAAGCACGCGCCAAGCGCGCGCTTTTTGTTGGCGATCGTCTTCGGTACTCGATTCCCTGTGGCTGAGTTTGTGCCCGCGTTTCCATACTGATATAATGTTGTAGAAAATTCTAGTGGACAGCGGCCTATCTCAACGGGATAAAACGATAAAAATTAACCGGAAAGCTTTGTTCGCAGTGAATGTACAACTACGAAGAATTAATGTGGATGAAACAGGGTACAAGGTTTATGCAAGGACTACCAGAAAAAAAAAAGCAGTTGAAATCCTCCAAGTATAAAGTTTTTTTCAATGTAAAATGCATTTTCCACGCGTTTCAATATCACCCGACCTGCCACAGACTTCTGATCAGATTTATTTATTATTCCCTCATCGGTAGTAGTATATCCTGTGCCAATTACGTAAGTGAAAGTCATGTTTACTGACAAAGTTTGACAAGCGATGACGTGTCATTGATGCCTAACATTCCCTCATCGGAAAATTGAGACATGTATAGGTCTGTTGGTGTTCTGGTTCACTTTCAGTTAAACGACATTTCTGTCACAAAGTGACGAGATTATGACGCCTTGCGGTAAGCATATTGAAGCAACCTGGAGCGCTACCAGATACTCCAGAAAAAAAGCCCATACAAAGCCTTAGAAAAGTTTTCTAAGGCTTTGTATGGGACAACGGGAGGTACTTACAGTGCACGCGTTTTCCGTCCTGTCATGTTTCTGATATATTTTGCATTCTCCCAAGATTACAAGTGTTCAGAATTCAAATGACCTAAACGCCCATTTTCAGGTTTGTCACGCTTTAAAGCCGTTTTCTCTGTAAACAGGAAGTCGTGCCATTCGAAACTCTAGAAAGTACGAACAGCCCCTGCGTGACTTTACAAGTTTCACAGCCGTGACACCGTGAAATAAGTTTTATAGAAAAGAGACAAGAGGCTAATCAGCCTATTGCGAAAAAGTAAATAGCTGATAAATAACTGTTGGCTGAAACGACACCGGAAATAGGGTTGCTTACAGACGTAATTTATTAGAGTTCCGCTTTTGCTACCATCCCGCTCGTAGCTAGCTGCTGCAAATTTCAGCTAAACACGCTTACAATCTACAAGAATATAGAATTTGTCACAGCGTGCTTTCAAAAATAACGTATTAATGATATACATGCCTTTTTGGCCAAGACCTCTGAGGTCTGGATGGATCAATAAGGAGTGTCCAAACGTTCTGACAATAACGTACTTGGAATCTCTGGGAGATTTTCATCTTACTTACTGCCTAATTCTTCAGTTCAAGATCCTTGAAATCTCTCAAAAATCTCTTGGAGGATCTTATCGGGATCTTCATTTATATTTTCTTGTCAGGATCTTCGAGCAAATGTTCTCAAGCATCAAGATAATGATAAGGATCGAGATGATGATAATGATCCTTAAAAAGTTTACATAACATTTTGAAAGATGCTGATTAACGCTATCTAGATCCGCATTGATCTTGTAATTCCTTAAGATTGTGGGAGGCGCAGTGGCCTAATGATCAGTGTACTGTAGTGGACTCCGTGTCGAGAGGCTCGGGTTCGAGACCTGGCTGAGACAATGTGTTTTGTTCTTGGGCAAGATACTTTACTCTTAAGGGCAAACTTGCCTTGAAGCCTCGCTCTGTTATGTGTCCTGCACCTTCATGATGAAAGCGATCAAAAACAAATGAAAGCATTCAGCATCTTTAATTAAACGAAGAATGATGCAAACCTCGATCAGATGTCCTGGTTGAATGCTCTACCTACTGAGCCGCAGGTAACTCATTGGCGAGCTGGACCATGGACTAAGTTCATATCTGACGGGCTTACTGCATACTGCAATATTTATCCGTTTGAGCTGATATAGCTAATATGAAATAACTGTGTTTATTATAGGCAACCAATTGGTAGCAAACATGACACATTCCACCCTAGTTGTCGAACCATTTGCTAACATTTCAGCGCAAGAGTTGCTAAGAAATACCCACGGGTTGTTCGGATGGGTTAGAAAGGAGGAGACAGGGATACGATCGATGGTGAAAGCACTTGACTGTAAGTACTGGAAGTCACAAACATTTTAAAAAATAGAACAAAAATGCAAAAAAAGAAAAAAACCAACGTACAAACAAACAGAAAAACAAACTAATAAAATGAAAGCATAACCTGAGAAAGTCTCAAAACTAGAATAGAAACGTCACAAGAAACTCCATCATCCTTATGAATAATGGCATAAAAATACAGCGAGGAAATGCTTGAAGGAAAAGAGTTTTCCATCGGCTCATGTTTTTTATTGTAAGATTGAGCTGAATTATGCACGTGTTTTGATTGGTTCTTACAAACGATGATGGAGGACAGACGCACTGATGAAATCATTAACAAATTTTCTTCTTTACCATGCAAAACAGATAGATTTCATGTTTCCGTGGGTTTCTTCGCTAATAGATCACAGAAAACGTCAAGATGCGTCAGAAAATTAGTGACACACTCGGTTGCGCTTCATGTGCCACTTTTTTCCTCTTACCACATTTTGACGCCATCGGTGATCTATTACTGAACAGACGCAATCAATGAATCAATCAGGTTATTTATTAAAGTTAATGCGTGAGATCAGGTAGTCCTGTGTATCAAAGCTAGAGGGTCATGTATAAGACGCATGACAGTAATCAAAAAAAGAGTAAGCCGACAAAAATACTACGACAATTCAAGTAAAAATATCAGGCTAGAACAAATTAAAAAATTCCAGTAATACAGTAGTTACATTTGCTGCAAGGTAACTTGGAATCTATTATTTAATATAGCGACTTCCACTACGAAGAAAACATATAAACATTGTTTTTCGTTTTAGGGCCCTGGCGTTATATGATCCTCAGTAAAGGATGTCTGTACTTATTTAGACATTCCGACGACCAAAACTTTTGTGAGGCAGTCCCTCTCAGCAGCTTCAGGTACAGTACAACTTTGATGTAACGAACCTCTTTTACACCAAGTCCTCGGTATAACTAACGACACTCTTTGGCCCGGCTAAAGATATAGTAAAATGTATGGGACAGAACCTCGATATAACGTAATCTTCTTATAAAGAACACAACCCAGAAGCTCAAACGTATAATATACACCGAAATAACGGACAAATGTCAAAACGTGACAAAAGAAAAATGCGAAACAGACCAACAAGAATCAAAATCATTCAATCTGTAGCAATAGAACAGCTTCAAAGTTAACTGCTCATTATGAATGCCGGCACCAACACCATCGACACATCTACAGATCCGCTTTATCCTCCTTGTCTTTCTCCGCTTGCCAGTGACTTCCACGGAGATTTGTCCTTCGTGCTTTAAAAACAAGGTGCTGTAGCTATGTGCAGACCTGTACAGTGTACTGCACCTTCATACAGACATTAAAGCGCAAATGTTATATATTTACGGTAATCGGTGATCTTAAAGTCGGTGATCTTAAAATGCTGGGTAGCGCGATGTCACACCAAAAAACAAAACAAACGAACAAACAAACAAACAAACAAAAAAGCAAAACAACAAGTATTAACCATCCCTCGATATAACAAAACATTTTGTTGTTTTTCCGCAACTTTGTGAAACGAGCTTTTTGATATAACGAACCCTCTATATAACGAACTAATTTCCGCAGTCCCTTGGTACTTCGTTAAAACGAGGTTCCACTGTACCTATACGAGAATTTAATGATGTAGGGGTTAAGAATCAAATTGGGTATTTCCATTGCTTGAAGTTCGCAAAAAGTCAACTGTCTTTATATTCTTTCAGAGTGTGTAATGCCCCTAAGAAATCTAAGTACTCGTGGGTTTTCAAACTGATTCATACATTTGACGTCAAGACGTTGGTGTTCGCCGTGGATACAGATTTTGATTTGAAGGCAAGTGTTAAGTTGCCATCACAACTGTCTCAACACATGACAACTTGAAAAATTTAAACTTGTTATAGCTAAATGTACTTTTATACCAAAAAATTACCATTGAGCGGCTGGAATTACGATAAACTTACAAAGAACAACGACAACTTAATAATGAAACGTTGCCGCAACTCGATGGAAACCTGGACAAGCCACGCAGGCAGGAATTTCCACAGCTGTAAAACAGTAGGTTGAAACTACCAATTTAAGGAATACAATGCGATGCAATCAAAAGCCAACCCACACATTCTGGCCCGTTTCAGACTCCAAATTAGTTTTCATATGTCGAAATTTCGATTCGAGTTCAGACCGAGTCAATTTAATAAAACCACGATAGCTCATTTAGACATCAAATTGAATTAGCCGTCCGTGATACTGCCTGTATGCCTTGAGGAATAAATTTGTTAATGTAATTCAATTTAGCTTTGGCAATTCTTCTTATGGGTGAAAATTACAACTGTTTGATTTTTGACAGAAATGGCAAGACGCTATTGCAAGAGACATGGAAAAGTATTGCGGTGATTCATCGTGGTAGGTGACGGAGGCGACGTTGAAGTAAAAGAGTAAAATGCTTCAGTTGTGTATGTTAAGTTATCAAGAACTGACGATAAATGAACGATGCACTATCGAGTCCATGTTGACTGCGCTAGAGATCTGTAAAATCCTAGTCAAAATAAACTATTCAAACATGATATATTTTTTCTTCATATTCTGCGTCGCGCTCCCTCACATGTTCCTTTATAAATCATCTGTAAGTAAACTAATCGAGACTGATTTTCTTGACACATCTTGAAGTCTTCTGTGAAATGTATATTGCTTTACAGGGCAGAAGACGCCGACAGATACTGTTCTATCGACGATGACATATCATCCAAACGACTAAGTCGTGTCCAAACATTCCAACCGAGAGAACGACGGCCTGCGCCTCTTCAGGGGACTAGATGCCCTCATTCTTGTTCATTTTCCCCTCCTGATCTACGGCAAAAGCCACTGCCTCCCCCTCCTGATACATCGCAAAAGCCATTGCCTTCCCCTTCTGATATATCGCAAAAGCCATTGCCTCCCCCTCCAGAACAGGAGAAACCAAAATTTGCAAGAAGACCCACTTCTGATCCGATGCCCGCAACACTGCCTCTCCCACCTGTGCCGCCTAGACAATCAAGCCCAGCAACAAGGGGGAGATTTCCAGGACTTTCATCAGATTCACCAGGTCTAACAACTCAGAGACTTGAGGGCGTAATTAATCAACTTCAAAAAGCCGTGGTAAATCCTACAGGTAAAAGAGGTAACATATTCCTCTTACGTTGAAAGGAAAAGGCAAACTGGAAATTCGATAGCAATCTCTTTAACTCAAGGATTTTGAATGTAACTACGGCTATATTGCTTTTAAGGGATTCTAAGCATTAGTCTATTAGAAATCGGAGGTAAAAGAGGCTGCTTCACCTTTTTTCTTGTAAATAGGCTGATACTTTCCAAGCCAGTCATTTGCATCGCCCAACTCTTGCCATCCCCTTTTTCTTGGCGTATTTTCATGTGAAGCTAAATTTCGTAACCTTCTATGAGCGGGAGGAAGGCTATTTTTTTTTTATTTAGTCTCCATGGGTGTTTTTGTTTGATCCTTTTAATAAAAGTATTTTTCAGTGTTGTTATGGATGTTACTCGGTGTGTTGGGGCCATAAGGGAGGATGCAGTCTTTGTTTGTAATTATGCACCCAAGTAAAATTAAGTGTATATTAATTTTGTTACTGTTGCTGCGTACGCAGCGCCAAAAGATACTTAAAAATTCTTGACCCAGGCCCTTTAAACCTTTGTAATGACAAATAGTTCAGGAGAGAGCGAGTTTTCACTAATTCTAAAAAATTTTGCTTTTCAGGCTCTGCGTCCGCTTTACCATCCCCTCCTAAAGCTGGCCCAGCAGCTCTTCTCAAACCAATGAAGCTCGGAAGGTAAGCAAATGCCAAAAGAGATATCCAGGGTAAACTTCCTAATCGATGATATGTGCATTGATGGTGTCTTTGTCTGTAACAGAGGTGACCCTGATGGACAAAGCTTTAAAGTCAAACACAAGGAAGTGAGTTTCTAAAATGTCATTTTGTGTTTTTAGATAGGCTTGTGTTTCCATAGGCACTCTGAACGAGCTGTTTGATCGGAAAATTTAAAAGAAAGTGCATGCTTGTAAAGATGAGAAATGAGCACGGTTTAGCTCGCATTTATTAGGGTAAATATTTCGCTTTCTACGTTTATTTTCTGGTACTTTCATTTTCCATAATTAATTCAATGGTATGTTCTGTGCCGCGAAATAAAAATGCTCCCTAATACTACAAATCAAAATCTACTTTTTTAGAGCACAACGTTCAAAAGGCTAATATTATTTTGCAGTTAAAATTGATTTACATCACAAACAACGCATTAGAACCGAGTTTCTTATAGTTTAACGATGGTCGTCTTGGTGGGTCTCATTTCTATCATTGTTAAGAAGTGGAACTCTCGATATTTTAACGATTTATTTCTTCCCCATTTTTTTTGTTAATTTTCGTTTCATCTTTGGTAACTGCGATCGTGCACAGACTAAACTTTTTACGGCTGGGCATATCTCATGATAAGAAAGCAAAATATCGACACCTGTAGCCTTATGACCTATTTTGTCTCGTTGAAGAAAGACATTTGAGTAGAAGATTAGCTTTCGCTGTTGATCAAGAGCCCCCCGAACGTGAGAACTTCAATCCTTCAGTTCTATCTACTGTATCTAATAAACAGTCGAGAGATTTGGCTAAAAATTTAGCTCTAGCTGAACTTCCAAGTGTTACCTGAGTAACGAACTTGTAAAAGATGGGGGAGGTATTCTTTCTGTTAAGGATGTGAACTCCATCTGAAGCGAAAAGCCTCTCCTGGAGTGTATGTAGTAGATTCCCTCTTTATGCATCGTTTAAGGATATAGCTTCCTCACTTGTAGGGAGTCTTTCCAACTTCAGCATTGCTACGTGACGTAGACAAGCCGGAGGCCAGTTCGTGAGTAAAATTCGCTTCTCTTTTTTTTATGTAGAGGTTCAAATTTTTGAGAACTGCTTGCGATAGTGATCTGAATTCACTTACAAGAAGCATCGTTTTTTGTTTTTCTTGTTCTCGCTGCAGCCTTCTTAAGAACAAACATGGCGTTTATATTCTGCGTAAAAGCCAAACTACACGGTCAAAGATGGTAAGAACATATATAATTCTTCAATATTTCTTTTGGTCTTCGTGTAAGCGCGACCTCCCCCCGCAAGATGAAACGGAGGCGTGAGGAGGGTGGGGGGGGGGGGGTTACGGCTACACGTAGGTTATCTTTATTTATGCTCTCCCTAGCCTCAAAGGTGACTCACTTTGAAACTTTATTAGAAAAGAACAGCTTTGGCTGAGTGTCTCATGATGTAAGATAATAAAAAACAACAAATTCTTATACTAAACATTGCTCATTTTGGTAATAATAGGCCAGTTTTCAGAATGGTACAGTTCAATTTGAGGCGACCTTTTATAACTCACGGACTCACGTAGTGTTGATTACCTTTCTGCCATTTGTACACACTGCCCTTTGCTACCAAAGCTCACGTATTGTAGTGGCTAACATTCTCAGTAGACTGATGGTTTCATGCCTTGTATTATCAACCCGCTCTTAACGTAATTAAATTTTGTTTTTTTTCTAAAAATTTGACTCAAATGTTCTAGTTTTTTGCAAGTCACAGCAGAGAAACTGGATTCGGAAAGGCAGAGGGACAATCGGGTCGAGTTTAACGGGAGAATCAATCACCATTAATCACCATTAATTACCATCTTCCCAAACCACTCACGCATACCACTACCTTTAAGAATACATAATGTATCAAGCTCAAAAATAAACGAAACAGGATACTTTCCTTATAAGCAGTTATTTCTTTTATGCAGGCGTTGTCGGTGTGTACTGGTGACCAAATTCGTCATTATGTGATATTCCATGATCAGGTATGAGAGAACAACCGAGGAAATCTTAGAATTACATCGTTTTTTTCTTCTTTTCACAAAATCGTTAAACTTGACGTTTCTCGTTCACAGAATCAAGGGTACGCTCTGCAACCTGAAGGGCCAAGATTTGATAAACTAGAGGAAATGATAGAGCATTACTACGACTTCAATCTGCCTAAGTGTGACGCAAAACTCACGAGGCCTCACCGATCATGATCAGTGCAGACGACGTGACTGGAGAAGATTTTTAAATTGACAAAAAAAAAAGAAAAAAAAAGCCTATAAGTAAATCGAGTGCTTGTTTGGATTGCAAGCAATGACAATTCTTGTTTATGCTCTTCTCTTGTACAAAGGAAAACTGAAGGCGCAGTGCAGCCTTCGAAATATTTACTTTATAGCTATAACTCACTTTCTTATCCAGGTCTTTCATAATTATGGACCTGCTCCTCTGTCCACGGAGTGGACGACCAATTAAGTTGACTACTAAAGAGGAGCATGCAGAAAGCCCGTACGCGTGTAGGTTTAGATTTTTAAGAAATATGACATAACTGCACAGAAATATTAATCCAACTCAAGAAATTTAAATTATCAAGTTTACAATTAATTATGTTTACATAATTATGGACCTGCTCCTCTGTCCACGGAGTGGACAGACGACCAATTAAGTAGACTACAATAGAGGAGCATTCAGAAAGCCCGTACGAGTGTAGGTTTAGATTTTTTAGAAATATGATATAAGTGTACAGCAATATTAATCCAACTCAAGAAATGTTCATTATCAAGTTTACAGTTCCTATATCGTGCGTTCGTTGAGGAACCCTTATCCAGGGCACTCTGTGCACATATGGGAGTGTCCGCTCGAAGGGCGTTCCCCAAACGAAGTTCGCATTATGGGGGCAGTGCTAGGAGCACCAGCCCTCCACTGCCGTTTTTCGAGTTTGGTTCTTTGGACTTGGCGGCATCGTGCACATCAGAATGGAGTGCAGCGTAAATTAATTCTCTACTCAATTTCTTCATGTGTTTCTTTTCTCCATCACACAATGGTCCCCTAAATTTTTTGGTCTTGGCTAGATTGTACAACAACTATCTGCGATAGACTAAAGGACTTCTTCACTCCATTTCTGCCTCGTAATTATTTTATGGCTGGTCGAGAAATTACCACAGGTTTTATCTCTTGGCCTAACATATTGCCAACAAAGGTTCTGGGACACGTGACTACGGAAAACAAGTTTCAAACTTTGCACTCAATGCATGACGAGCCAGACATTCTTAGCAACCGAAAAAAGAGCTTTAGATCCTGCTGAGATCGAGGAGTTTTACTCCACGATCTCAGCTTGACGTCCAGCAGCTTGCAACATTCCATTGTAACAATATCCCTGCTACTGATCATTTATGTTACGCTGAAAGTGCGAACTTTCGCGCGAGCGTGTTATAATCCTGAAATGAGAGTGTGCGTTTATAATTAAAATTTCTATTTTGGTAATTAAAAACGTGTCAGTGAATGTATGCCACGTTTGGAGTGAATGACGTATTTTGGCTCTTTGATTTTTATCAATAGGCCGGGAACAAAAGCGAAAGCGGACGAGCCGACTTTATTTGCTGACTTTCCAAGTCAGCTTTCCTTTTCTGAAACCGCTCTATTTTCTGGACCGTAAACCGCCAGACAAATACGTACGTGCCAGCAAATCGATACTAAGAAAGAGTATAATAGACCCTTTTTGTTGAACGAATCTCGGATTTCGTCATTTTGGGTCATTTTTAACACTCACGCGAAATTCCCCCTTTTTTAAGTCTGCCTGAAATGAACAAGGGACGAACCGGACGCCACGACTTTTGCCTTCGATTAATGCACGCAACACGCTCACGCTACGACTACAAACGAAACGCGTATGTCGATCAAAATGAGAACGTTGCGGAGTTTGACGGCGAAATTTAGCCGTTTAAACCGTGAAGTAGTGCGAATTCAGCATGTTAAATTTTTGATACTGTAAAATTTCGGTTATAAGCCCTTGGCTAATACTAACTACTTAATAACCGGGCGCGAGGGCTTAACTGTAAAATTCCAGACTGAGGGATGAAATTTTTGCTTTATGAACCGAGCCTCTGGGCGAGGTCCATAAATCAAAATTTCAGCCCGAAATTATGGAATTTTACAGTAAAGCCCGAGCAAACAAGGTTATTAAGTTTTTTTATAATATGGCTTCAAATAGGTAAAGCGCGTGAAATAGAGTGAACTTATACATTGCCTTCATTTTCCGTCACAATTTCGTCAGGATAATAAAATTCAGAAAAGAAATGTTTTTCAGAACGCATAGTTAAAGAAGAGATACGTTTTTTGTTCAATTTCTTGCTTTTTTAACGAAGTTCCTTTCAGCGAAAGTCACTAAGTTCGCTAGGTTTTGTAAACCAAAACCGTGGCGGAAAAAATCTGCTATGCCCGTGGGCGTTTACCGGGGGATTACGGACCGCTAATTAACCAATCTGAGCGCGCGTACTATCACAGCCATATAATAAAACTTTGTAAAGGGTTTTGGGTAGGTTTAGCGGATTGAAAAGCGTTTGGAAACAAGCCATGGTAATGTTGATCTAAATTCGTTTTTAATTTAAAGTCATATTAAAGCAAAATTTCCAGTTAGCACTGTCATCCAGCAGAGGGGGGAAGCGGGGTTATCGGGGGGCCTATAACCGGATTGTTTTGTCTGCAGGTAGATAATCTAACCAGAATTTTACAGTATACACTTCGGGTCGTTTTACACGGTACGAAATTATCGCAGTGTATTCAACAATTTCCCAGGCTGAAGTCGCAACACTTTATATTTTAAAAGCCAGCCGTCTATCATACTGCATTTTCTTTTATTTCAACCAGTACACGACTGAAATAGGACACATCCAAAGCCCGCTCTCTCCCACCCACTATATGATGCTAAAGTTCCCACTGAGGCAAGCTTTCACACGCGAAGTGAAAACACTTGGTAACGTTATCGATCAGTAGGAATGCCTGCGAGTGTGTTAATCGACCGAACTACATAAGTTGAATAAGTACGCTACGGTTTTTTTTTTTTTTTTTGAATCATTGGTTCTCGCCCCCTTTTGCTTTTTGTTTTCGGCACCACGTTTCCGTATTACAATTCCATATTATTTGAAATGATCCCCCCCCCCCCGAAAAAAAAAAAGAAAAATTGGATGATGAATAAATTTGGAACTTATTGAACAATTATTTGTTTGTTCATTCAAAGAGGGTATTCTTACGTTAAAAAAATAGCCGAATAGCCGCTATGATGGAAAGGGTATTCTGATAATAGTAATGAAAGGTAGCATCGTGAGGGAATAACATCATTTTCCAGGTTCTCCCATACCATAATCTAACAGAAATACTTAACAATTATTCCACGAGTACGCATTGGATATGAGCTGGTAGATAGCCAACCAGAGGATTGAAGTTGGCTATAACCATGTCTTACCCAACACACGCGAACCAAAATACTTATTATGCTATATATCCCAGAAGCACTCAGGCATACAACTATGCCAGGACTTCAACTTGGGTGAACCAAAGAGGATATATAACACTTGCTAGAACTTCAAAACCATGTGCGAACCAAAGTACTTATTATGTTATATATCCCAGAAGCACTCAGGCATACAATTATGCCAGGACTTCAACCTGGGTGAACCAAAGAGGATATATAACACTTGCTAGAACTTCAATATCTTGTGCGAACCAAAATACTTATTATGTTATATATCCCAGAAGCACTCAGGCATACAACTATGCCAGGACTTCAACCTGGGTGAACCAAAGAGGATATATTACACTTGCTAGAACTTCAAAACCATGTGCGAACCAAAGTACTTATTATGTTATATATCCCAGAAGCACTCAGGCATACAATTATGCCAGGACTTCAACCTGGGTGAACCAGAGAGGATATATAACACTTGCTAGAACTTCGATACCATGTGCGAACCAAAAGTACTGCTCATGTTATATATCCCAGAAGCACTCAGGCATACAATTATACCAGGACTTCAACCTGGGTGAACCAAAGAGGATATATAACACTCACTAGAACTTCGATTTACCATGTGCGAACCAAAATACTTATTATGTTATATATCCCAGAAGCACTCAGGCATACAACTATGCCAGGACTTCAACCTGGTTGAACCAGAGAGGACATATAGCATTTGAGTGTCTCTACTGGTATTCTGAAGAAATCAAAAATTTATGCTGAAAAAGGAAGATCTCGTAACTGAAGCTTAGGCTTAAAAGTTTATGTAACGCAATGATTTCAATCCAGATAATGAACTAGTAGATCTGCTGAAAAAATGAAAAGTGAACCAGACTTTTCTTACTCGTGCATTGTTCTTTGGTAACATTCCTTAGTTACTTTTCATGTGCAACAATATTGTTTACTTTCCTTATCACACTAAGTCAGTCAATTGCTTCCAGGGCTTGCTTCGGGTCTTTTTTTCTCAGCAGCTGTTCTGCGATATCGCTCATCACTTTAGCCACTTCAACATTCTGGTCCACCTGATCGGCGAATAAAGATGCAAGAGGCACCTGGAACTTATCGCAAACATCGCCGATCAAGGTCCACATATCGCTTGTACTGTACTGTCCGGGTTGTCCTTTGCCGGGTCCTGTGTGCCTGAGCTCAGCGTCGATTGACCGCCGTTTTTCACCTCATCTCGAAGGGCCTCTAACTGGGAAAGCACAACTTCAAGTTCAGCCTTAAGCTTAAGATTTTCATCTTGACTCTTCTCGATATCCTCTATGGATATGGCTGACCTTGAATCGACTCCAAATACTGTTTGTACAGGGTCATGAATTTTGTCCTTGTTGTTGTCACGTGTGTCAGTCGCTGTTTGGCAATCTTCATTATCTTGGCCAATATTTAGGCTGTTGATGCCATCAACCAACCAACTGTACTTTTCTTCTTCGCCCGCTTTTAGTTTTTGCCGAAGTATCGCGGAAACAACGCCGAAAGAAGAGGCTATGAATACCTCTTCTTTGTGAACTAGTCGTCGATCCAAGTGCCCGCCATTTTTAAGATTCGAGAGTTGCACTGTGTTAAATTCTTTTGGAAAGCTTGACACCAAAGGGCTACTCGACATGAATTTTCCTACAGGAATGCCGCATATTTTGGAATTCAGGAGATACCAGTCCCTCGAATCGCTCGTGGAGTGCAGCAATTCAGCTCTTCGAATATCGAAGGCATCCATGCCGCACAGCACCTGATCGAAATGAGAACAAATTTCCCGCTCTTGCTAGTAATGTCTGAAATTCAACCTCAAGAAAAGTCAAAAGAAAAATCCAGCCCCTCAAAATAAACAGGATTGACGCCATTGGAGGTTGTACACAACGGTGTTAAGGTAATCACCGAACGCCCCCCTGTTGAAACCACAAATCGAAAGCGATGATAGCTACTGAGCCGGATCATGACGTCACACCATAGCAACCAAACCCCACGAATTTTTTAACATCCGGTTTGCTCTGGCTCGTCATGATGATAACGGACCGTACGAAATTTTCAAATAATATATTTTTAATACCGTTTGTTTCTATTGTACTTTCTGTCTTAATTGGTTGTTTTATGAGCTGCACACGATTGCCAGTTAGTTGGCAATAGTCTGTAGCTTTTGTTTCTCTTTTGATTGATTGATCTTTGGGATCATGAGCTAAAGTAAACGATATGGATCACGGCAGTGCTGAACTGGAATTTTATTCCTGAGTAATTGACCAATGACTCTCGTTCAGTTAACTGGAAAATTTATGCTTTGAGTGCGAATCGTTGACTTCACTTAGAGCACCTAAAATTCGTCACTGACAACTAGGAATAGTGATATATCGAAAATAAACTCGAAACTACCGTGAATTTCTAATTACATTAGTAATGAAAGCGTTGGGTCAATCGACTTCCTGTTAATTGGGTTTTTAACAGACTTGACTTCGAACGAAACTAGTGGGACAATGAGAGAAATTCTTCTAAAGAAACCGTTTCTTTAAGGCTGTGGTGCTGGGTCTTTGCGGGATATTTCGGGATAATTTGCTTTGTCGACTGATTTGATTATAAAAATTATAGCCCACCATTAATTTTCGGGTGATTCTATTGCCTCAAATACGTCACTTGGTGCAAAATTACCGGACAGTTGTCCGGCTCACATTAACCCTCAGTCACATCGATATTTGACTTCCGATTATTTCCGTCGAAAAGAACAAAGCTAACGGGAAGAGCCATATCAATAGTTTCACTTTTTCATCTTTGTTACCTTACATTGAAGGAAGAGTCTTGTGCTAGTGACATTAAAAACTGATCTCAAATACTGCTCTGAAAATTACAAAAACGTAAACAAAATGTGCTGTCAACGCGCGATACGGCTATTAGTGGAACAATTAGAGTAGATTATAAAATTATTTAACTCCCTTTGACTCGCTGATTTGTCGACTGATAATGTCCTTGGCAGAAATATTTGCTCAAAATCTTACATTTGCCTTCGAAGCTCCGCCAAATATTCCATTCTCGGCCGACATACCAACCGGTTGGTGGGGTTTATTGTACAAATTAGCAATCGAAACGATATTCTAAATCTGATGTTTCGAGCTTTAACTCTCCTTGAGAGCAAATCAAACATGGCGAGATATTCCCAAGTTCAATAGATTATTAAATGATCTGAGGAAAGATTTGTAAAGATTAAAATTTGGCCATAAATTTCAATGTTATTGCTTACAACTCATTTAAGTCTTCCTCATTCTGAAAAACCTTCGTTTCTTTCTAGTTGATTCTTACCATCTCGTTCACGTGTTTCCTGCATTACCGGCCTTATCGGGGTATTCCCCCATTTTGTACTGCTGGCTTCATAAAGTCTTCGTTGTAGATGGCAAGAGCTGTTGAACCATATGCTAACATCTCGGCTCAGGAATAACTCAGCACTGGTGCCAGCTGCTCTGGCTGGGTCATGAGAGACAGCACTTCAGGCTTACGATTGATGATCAAAGCCCTCGGTTGTAAGTATCATTTTAATCAAAGGAGGTTGGGGAAGAGTTAAGTAAATTCCCGCTGTGGTGACGAATATTTATCCTGCTTTGTAGGTCTATCATTTTATAAGCAAAAGACAAATCCTTTAGCCTAGCAGATAAGTTCAAAATGGCTGCATGTTGACCATCCTTTAGTTTGTGTTCTTCTGGACTTTGAATGCTTCCGTCAACATTCATTCATCTTCACTTTACACTCGCTTAATAACTTGTATTAATCACAATCACTCTGAACTAAATTTGCGCAATTCGTCTCCGCCGAATCTGGTATGGAACGTTGACGGAGGCAACTGCCATAGTAGAAAACTCGTTTCCTGCTCGTTCCGAAATCTATGACATGTTTTTCCATGTCTTTCTTTCGTTCTGTTTGTTTCTTTTCTTTTCGTTTTTATAGTTATAATGTAACCTTTTTACTACGCGTCTGCGCGTGTTTTTTTATAGTGCGAACTCCAGATTAACTGTCTTACATCACGTACTTATGATTAGACGATGCAAGCCAGACAAAAAAAATAATTGTTGTAATAAGGTTTTAGTTTGTCTTCCCAATAGCTGTCGAAATGTTCACACAATATTTACTTCTGGCTGACGACACTGTTTATTAGGACCTAACTTCATTGATCGGACGTTAGAAAAAATTGCCATATGATCTTTGCCTTTTGGCTCGGTTATCTTGGTAGGAGACCGTGACCGTGGCCAAACGGTGAACGCGCTGGACTCCAGGACACTAGTCGAAGGCAAGGAACATGACAGTCACAATACCTAGGAGTATGAAAGGTAAACTGTCTGGGGAGTTAGACGAATGTCTGAGGGAGCGGATAGTGCATACTGTTATTTTATTTTCATTTTAGGGTAGATCCAGCACAGGAGCACCGCTCTATCAACATTAACCGAACTGATCCATCTTGCTCACCGCCAGCTCTCGCTCGCAGACCTAATGCAAGAATAATACCTCACAATTTAGAGCTATCGCGTAATGATCCTACGGATGTCCCTGCAGGACAAGCTTCAGTCTCTAACGAGACAACAAAAGTGCACAGCAGGCCACATGCTAAAGTAACTCAGCAGGTCACATGGTACATCCCATCTCCTCATTCAGAAACCAACGTAACAACGAAGCAGCGTCCTTTTTCCGTCCTTACGACCATCCCAGGTAAATGGACTAACGCAGTCAAACGTGCCACCTTGGTTTGGAACACAACAGGAAGCAAGAATAAGACCATTACCCAAACGATCCCAGCAAAAGAAAAATGAACCTGTACAATTCTTCCAAAGGTCACTCCAAGAAGTGGAGGCTCACGGTCCCTCAGGTCAGTCTCGCCCACTTCCTGGAATCACACAGATTCACGAAAGGTCAAGAAAGACACCACTAAGCACCACTACTTTCCTAGAATTGCCAAGTTCGTCCAGATCACCATTAACCGCAAGTAGCTCCACTCCAATGAAATCTAAAGCACTCGAAAGGTACGCATCAGTTAAATGGCAATATAATGGCGCCGCATACATTTCAAATCTTTGTGAAGAAGATGAAAAGCTTGGTTTAAATTAAATATTCTTTTCATACATGCACGTGTTCGTATGGTATGAAATTGACTTTAAAAATAGAAGACCTGAAGCATTTAATGTCTCGGTATAAATTATAGACATAATATATATTCTACGACGCAGTCATATGTGTTCTGATGGTTTCATATATATTTACCTGATAAAAAATGGTTCCTGATGTGGCCTTAGTATAGCTGACCTATTTTTGTTTTATTGTTTATCCTCACAGAGGTGCCCCGGATGGACAAAGTGTCAAGAGTGGACAAAGAGAGGTGAGCTACGGACTCGAGGTTTTTAATTTAGTCGGATTTCTCTGAATACAGAGAACAAATGCGAGACAAAAGCAATTCATCCTATTCAGTAGACTATTCAGGCATTTAAAGTGAAGGGTACTTGTTGTTTGGGAATCCTCGCTTAATGTGTTATCAAATTTTGTCATAAACTGACCGAAAAAATCTGTTTTCATTTTGTATTTTATGATAACTTTGGAGTACTTTGAGAGTGACTTATTTAAGGTATCGTGTATATGCGTGCTCAAAATTGGTAACCAAAGTGCTTTCTTCTAGCAGGATAAATCTTCACTGACTTTGATTCATGACATGGACAGCTCACAAGCTACTATGTAAGCAACTATAATTAACCCCCACGGATTACCCAACATCTGCTGCAGATATGTAGTGGGTTATCATTTCAACTTCGAATTCACACGCTATGGTAAATTGGCTGTATGCCCACGACCAATCCGAAATTTCATTTTAAGTCTTATGTAAAACAATGTCGTATGTCATCGTTAGCTCTAAATATTTCTCTTATTATTTCTTTCACCTTTGCAGGAACAAGGATATTCTCTCAAAGAACAAGGAACCCCAAGATTTCCCGAAATAAAATACTTGTTAAGTCATTACTCCTCGTTTGATCTCCCTACCCATGATTTGAAACTGACCGTGGCAGCCACTTACAGATAGAAATTGACAATTTTTTTCTCCGAGCATAAAATAAAATATCTGTATGCGTGGCTTGTATAAAATTTTAACGTTTTAGTTCTAGCTACTCAATCTCAAGCAGCCATTTTCGTTATTACCGGGCGCTTATCAGTGGATATGAAGTCTAAAGAAAGCTAAATAACTTATAACTACACAAACATTCTTGTAAGTTCAAAGTAACCATATACAATCATAAGAGATGGCGGCAATCTTGAATAATAGGTACACAATGCGTGTATGTGTCTATTGTTGAGGTCACATCGTGTGGAAGTGATATTTCGTCGAGAATTTCGCAGGAATTTTTAATATTTAATTTTAGATGGTTCGCACCTTCGACGAAATTCACCAACTTTATAATTTATTTCCCTCGCCCTTGCTGCTGTTTCTCTAAGGAGCGTCTACGTTATTCAAACGTTTCAATATCACACATACCTACACTGAGTTTCTTCAAATGAAGATTTCGTCAACTCAGTGAACTTCGTATTCTATATACAAGGCTAAAAGGTTAAAAAAAAATTAAAATGTTTAAACCAAACGTTTTCGGCTGTTTGCCATCATCAGGGTTAAAAAGGCGACCGTCCACACATACATATATATCTCATGTAATTCCCGATGGGAAAAGTTTGGAGACATAAGAAATAACTTGTTTGTTCAAACTGGGGCGGAATTGCTGGATCATTAGTCCCTCGACGATCCTACGCTTGTGGAATGTTTGTGCTGAAACACAATTACTCAGACGCTCTCTATTTTTCCATTCATTTTATTTCCCATCCGGTATACAAAGCAATTAGGTTGTTTATTATTATTGCTGAAACTGTATTCATGAGAAGATAGAGCAAGTACCTCCATGGTGACGGGGTTCCTGGAAGTGGAAAAGAGTCAAAGATGGCAAAAATTTTTTATGCGACTATTCTCCTTTTTTAGGTTGAGATATCAACGAAATATATATCAATTTCAAAAAAGTGAGGTGACCGTTGCACGGTGTTGCCATCTCCCACCGACATTTTCACCTCCATAGTGTTTCGAAGTGTCCGATGTTTCTTTACGCGTGTTCTAGATTGCCCACGTTCGATTTTATTATCTCGAGGCTTCATCATTGTTGAAATTATCAAAAGCTAATAAAACAAGAACAACAACAAACAAAAACAAACGCCGACCGGCAAATAAAGGAGGCTTTGCGTCACTAGTTAACACTTTTGTTTTGTTTTCATTTTCTTTTTATAATTCATACAGAGAGTTTTTCTTCTTTTGCAATTAAACCTTGTAAAAAGCAAAAAATCTCCACCAAGCAAGGAAAGCAACCGAGACAAAATGAAACAAAATAAAAAATAAAAAAAAGGCATACATGTCTCTCATCCAATCTAACCTGCATGCATATGATCAACTTTTCAGCGCAGCCATGAATTAGTTTTGAAAAATCCTCCACACTCTATATAGTTAGATGACTTTAACCTTTATAAACAGTACTTAAACGACAGAAAAAGCCTCTTATTGAGCAAAGCCGACTTGCAAAAACATTATCTGTTTTGGGCTCATATGAAATACTCACCAAAATGTAAAGATGTTTTAACCAGCATGTGGTGGAAAGGTTGTTTTCTCCGCTTTGTAATTAAGATCAAGGCTTTTTGCTGAAGATGATGGGCAAATTTTGCTGTCGACGGTACTGCCAGAAGAGAGTGAACCCTTCTCGTAACTAGACGGGTCGCCATTTGTGCGTTTCATCGCAAAAATCTGTCAAATAATCAAATAAGTTACCTAAATTAGCCTGAACCTGTTTATATTTATGGTAACTCTCTACAAGGCAATTTGAAGTTCTGAGCTATTTTGACCCAGTCAGAGCAAGTTTTCTTCGAAACCTGAGGAGGTGCTTAGCCTCTCGTGGAAAACTAATTTTGCCTGAAATTAGAGTTGCTTAACCGCGGTGATGGTGATAATTCATCATCATGCAGTGCAAGAAAAGTACTTAATTTTATACACCCTGCATATACTTCGAATTCTTCATTCTTGTCAGATCTCTGAGACTTAGTATGTAACGCCAACGCATAATACTTGCTAGACTCTGTTGCTATCCTCGACACTCACAGAAAGCGACATTGGAATAATTTCACAAAAAGTAGACTTGGTGAAAAGTCCCAACTGGTTTAAAACGGTAGCGTATGACCTCCTGAAGGTAAAGAACGTGCCACGCTCCGTCTCCAGACTTTTCTGTTGACGGTACAGTGTACCTTAACATGCCGCTCGAAATGAGATTATTTAACCATTTGAAGTGTATCCAATCCCTCCATAATATAAATTCACTATAATTGGAAACTTTTTTTTACAATTTTGGTTTTGCCTCCTGCCTTCGATTGCGAAAACTAGGTAGCTCCTTGTAGTTACCTTTGGAACAAAGATCAGGCACTGAGTGATGGTGGTACAGAAAAGGCACAGCAAAGTGCTTAACAAGTACACTGCATCGCTGTGACTCCCCAGTAGGTTCAGTATAGGAATGATAATGACACAAGGAATGAACACATTGTACACAGCAAAGCCGATCTGCTTGGAATCGTTTAGCGCTGGCATATGGACTTTGCGAGTTTCCCATGCCAGGTAGGTGCAGAATAGCAGAAGGAAGCCTTTGTAACCATATAGCAAACCTGTCCATAAGTTTTCATGTTTTGAAGTGCAGAAGGTCTGGTATGGGTAAATGGCAATGTCACCGTCTTGGTCAATCTGAAATATTTGATAATTACGCCCATTACGTATGTCATCTGTGATACTTCTATTTGCTATAATTATATTACTCTGAATGAAGCAAAATTACGAACTCCTTCAAAAGGTAAAGTATTGGCTTAAACTGGACTACTAGTTGTCTCTGTTCCACATGGACAAGAAGAACAAAGCAGATGTATTGCATTGTACATATGTAAAAAGGATTTATGGAAAACGTATTAAAATCATCTTGAAACATCAGAATTAATTATTCAGGTAACAACCTTTTACTTTGGGCGCAATGTCAATGCTTTAAATGTATGGAGCATTCAATTATACTTTTAAGTTTTGCTCAAACTTGAATTCAATGACGTGAAAAAAGTGTCCCATTAAAATAAAAAAAGACTCATAATGAAGTCGTACGGAAAGAAATAGACGAGGCTTACCCTCCTTGGGAAGGTCTTAGAAGTGGTATATATGGGGTCCAGTATTTGCCAGGTGGAAAGGACGCAGGCGTCAATCATCAGGAGAAGAATTACCACAATGATTAGCTGGTAGTCTTGGATCACCTAAAGCAGGGGATTGAATAAATCATAAATGTTGCTCAAAATAAGCCGTGCTCTCCTATGAAATTCGTATTATTTTTAACCTGGGCTGATTGCATTCATCTTTAAGGTACATTTATCTTAGGCTTATGCTCATCAGAATTATGGAGGCAAGGAAATGATTTTTTAAACCCCCCCTCCCCCCTCATAGAATTCGGAAGGATACCTGGTTTTGTAATCATCGTCATCGTCATTCATTATATATTTTTCATCCGGAAGAGGCTAAATGCACTCCAAGATGACCCCTCCGCTTCTTAGCTTAAAAATTTCTTAATCGTGGTCGTCTCGTGACTTTGAGAGAAAAATAAATGATCCGATTGATTGATATTCAATAACTTACCGTTTTTTTAAGTTTGTTCATAAAAATGCGATGAACCCTCCATGTCTTAGAGAATAAGGCACCGAAAGCCATGGTAAAACCAAATGATGCCGTCCATGCACTGGTCTACATAATTTGAAAGAGTAAATAGGTAATAAATAACTCATTTGAACGAGAACTGCCCAATGCTCCACAAAAACCTACACCCTCACTCTTTACTTGGTATTTCGAAATCTTTAAACTACTGTTTTCCTTCTTTTCTAGTTTTGGCTTTGCATGCAGACCACTTCAAAACTGTGTAGCTTTCTGTCTCAATAACGTTACACTTGTGAATTCTTCCTTCATCCACGAAATTTCCAAATATCTTAACGATTGTCCAAAGTAGTCCGGTATTGCATTGTTTTTGCTTTACTCATCCCGGTTTCCCATTGGTCCAAAAAAGTTTGTACCACATCATTAACCAATCACACGATTGTGATTTAGGCATTCGCCTTTACCGTGCATTAGACTGTTAATGTACTTCTACTCATTCCTCACTTCCCTTTAGTTCAATTTGCAACGTCATACCTGACACACTTTCTCGTGGGTCTTCTTTGAGACAATTTCAGCGTCAATGCCGAAAAGGATTCCAGAAATGTAGATCAAAACACATCCCAGAATAATAATGTTATTCATATTCGGGCTGGACATTCGAATATACCTGGAGGCAGAGATAAGCATTTAATAACTGATTATGAACGATTGTTACGGTGTTTTATGTTTGTCTAAATATATGATTAAAGTAAGGTTGATTTAAGAGAATTCCCGATCTCCCAGGCGACTTCAGAAAAATCCAATAGCCAGTTTTAAACTGAGAATGAGAGCAAAGTAGTGGTAAGAATTTTCTCAACAATTTTTAAACCCTTGCAAATGTCCCTGAACAGACCTACTCACTCAATAAACCTAGCAATGTGCAATAATCACCGAAACAAGGAGAACAAAGATGTTACTTTCTCCATCCTATCACTGAGGACTAAATTTACCTTCCTTCTTATCGTGATTTGCAAAATGCAGAACCGTGAATATTTAAGTCTCTTGCCGTTGGTATTGCAGTTAGTACTATTTCAGTCTTTCAACCAGAGATAATTCAACGAAACCTTATTCTTTTTATAAAATTTGGTTTTCTAGTTCTCAAAAGACATAAAAAATTAGACATTGGCTGAGCTAGGATTTGTCCTGGCCACTTGAGTTATGACAGTTTTAGGTGGAGGCAAAAATTTATTTCCCACGACATCTGCACTGTGAATAACCGCTAAATAAATACTTTTTATTTTCCTTCCGAAATCTTTTAAGCCCACACAACCAGGAAAAGGCTTCTATTCTTAAGACCTATATATGAATATATCTGATGGAAGTGACGGGCCTGGATTAGAAGCCTTCCTTTCTGCGCCAGATTTCATTTCACCTGGTCTCCTTCTGTATTCTGATGCTCTCTTGACACATTTAGTTTAGCTGGTTAGTTTATATCATTTGGCAGAGCCAAGAGGGCCTATCAGTGGATTAATTCAATTTTGTGAATAAGTTTTTCTCTGAACTATTAAATTTAGAGAGATAACGTAGCATAAGTGAATAAATAAGAAAATAGTGCAATGGAGAGTTTCTACCTGACATTTCGATACTTAAAGTTGAAAAAGAAGAGCCCTGCCGCAAAGAGGATCCCGAGCACGCACAATCCATCCATGGTAAATACCATACTCTTGGGAAGGTACCGTGGCTCAAGGATTTTTTTGATCGTGCAGGCTGGAACCTTTTTATCTGGTTAACATAAATATGCGAAAAACGCAATTCTCATTCAGTTTCCCTGTGATATTATTTCTATTATACGCAATCATAAACTCTTTGTTGCATAATTATTTGCTCAATTGAGGAGTTCTAAAAAGTTTTTGACCACGCTTTTTGTTTTATAAAAGAAGATTGTATCGTTGAAATTTGCTCAAGAGTTTTTTGTTAAAAGAAATCTACCAAAGTCTAGAAGACATCTGAGCAGTACCTTCCCACTGCGCTGTTTGGCTCTTATCGACTACGATAACTTTCCTTTTCATATCATAAGTTCCAATTCGTTTCATTTCGCCACCTGTAGAGAGGAATAATACGGTAATTAAAAAAAAGCATCATTTCGTTTTGTTATCAACATCATTAAAGGAGTACATACGTTGACGCTGATCAATGTTAAGCAAGCTTAGCCTGTCAGAGTTCTTGTAGAATTGTACCAAGCCCTGAAGAGTGAAAAAAAATATAGAAATTACGCTTTACATTCTTCAGAAAGAAAAGAATGACCACAAAGTATCATGACCGAGATTTGTGATGAATTCCTGGAATAGTAAACAGGATACTTGTTACTGTATATGCTGCCATCTATCGCAGTAACGGAGGTCAGTTTTTCTCCTAACGGCAAAACCCATGTATTTCCACGAAGAACATAAAAGGCAATGGAGCGAAATTCGACTCGAAGAGTGAAGCCAACCTCTCTATAGAATGCCTTGGAAGAACACTTTTTGCATTCTTTGAGATAAGATCGGAAACTTCAAAGCAGTCAGCTGCTCTGCCAACTAAGATAAAGAAAACTTGTTGGGGAACTAAGACATATTCGGAGTTCAATGACAAGCCAATTGCACATGACTAGAAAAGGAAATGAACAACTACCTCTCCTTCTCATCATGGAAGTCAGTTATCGAGAGTGCCGGAAGGAAAAAAGTAATAAGAGTCCATTATGAGGACTAGAACCTCCAACCTGCTCGGACAGTTTATTAATTGGTCAAAAATAACATAGCGGTCCATAAATAATTTCATGCAGAGCTTATGATAAGAATCCTTACTAATACTGATATAATTAACAAGGTCAAAACGCGTATATGCGTGTCGATTGTCAGTTGCGCTCCGTTCAATTTTTTTCGTTTTTTGTTGCATGGATCGTTAAAGAAACAATTACTTATGCGTTTATGGTGTATCGCCTTTGTTTTCTAATGATAACTATACCTAACAAAGGAGTTTGACCTTCAAGAAAACAAAATGCTGGGAATCACAGTGATACATATAATAGGGCACTTACAGACATTCCCTGAAATGATACCCCTTTTGCAACCTTCATGAATGTCTTCCTCATAGCAGTATTATTATAGTCAAAGTCTTCCAATGACATGTTTCTGGTTTCGTTTTGCTGTTGAAGTGCTGAGATAGACTTGTGCAAAGTAAGGGCTATAGTCCACACAGCGTCATAAGCAAAGGCGGCGCGACGGCTGGGCTCTTTGTAAGGAGTCTTGGACAGCTCTGCCTTGTACTCAGCTCTGAGTTCTTCTATGGTCTTCAGATAAAGATGTATGAATAAAACGTGAAATAAGTTTATTTGTTACTCAGTCAAACATGCAGATTCTTAATGTAATCAACTGATCAAATTTATTTGATACAGCTTCATAGAAGGCTCTTCCATCAAAAATTATGCGAAAAGGTTCGCAGAGGTGATAAAATATAAGCTTGGAATCACATAGTTCTCGTTAATTGTTGAAACCAAATTTTATCTTTGAAATCGGAACCTTGGCTACCATTGGAATTATCAAACGCGTCTAAATTGACAAATTAAGAAGAATTGTATTAATTAATCTAGTAGTAAGCAGTAAATTGCTTATGCACAATTCGTTAGCATGCATTCATAGCATAATTCTATAGTTTAGTAAAGAAAAACACAAATTACAACTCATAGAATTCTGACGTTCGAGAAGTTTGAGTTTGGTAGAGGTAGCCAAACGAGCTATTTCAACTTCTAAATTGCCTTTGTTGGACATTATAGATCTAAATTTCAGACCGCATTGATTAAAAACGAAATATTTCCTATATGAGTCTGTCTTTTCTACCCGTGAACTGTGATAGTAGATAAGATATATCGTACCTTTCTGGCAATCGTATCCTGATTATCTTTTCCAATCATCAACGCCTCGGTACTAAGGTAGTTCCCGAGTGCCTTGCAAAGTTCCTCTTTGGTGCAATTCACATCATTGTAGCCCCACCATTGTTCTCTGTACCCACCCGCCATCAGAATCCAGACGACTTTAGGACCATAAAACCCCTTCTGAAAAGCCTAAAATTTTTTGAATATAATTGAAATTACCTCCAGACAATAACTTCATGTATTCCTCGAGCGAGTGTTTGACATGAGTTTGCTGTGGTTACTTCTTGAGTATCAGAGACTGCCGGCGGTGAAATAGCTATTTTATTGAAAAACCAACGACTACGTATACAGATAAAGTATGTTGTAAGAGGTTAACATCAACCCTATGATAATATATGGGTGACTTTTGCTCCATCCGTAGTGAAATACTTCTTTTAAGATGCATGGCTAAGCCAATCAAAACTATCATTTTGCAAATTGCGAAGTCACAAGGGTTTTTAATATGTGTTGTTGTCATATGCAGCCGCTGGCGATTAGTGTCGCGCACATAAAACCAAAATCAAGGAAAACTTGTTAGATGAATTTTGCATGAGGTAAAGTTTCTAAGTTTAAAAAAAAGCTTAAACCTTTGCTCTATAAAGCATTTTATTGTGACCAGAATGAACTTCCTATTTATTGCCTCTCTAAATTCATTATTTCTTGATTTTCAAGCTCTGATACGTTAACAAAGCTACCCTACTTACCGTGCAAATAACTTTTCTTGCGGCTTTCTCTGAAAACATGCCAAAAATTATTCGCAAGTCGTTTTTCTACGATAAAAAGGGGAACTAAAGAGTTAGTTAGTGAGGAAAAAAGTTCTCAAACACCCACTGCTGATGGCGCCGACAAAAAACACTGTTAACGTTTCTTCATCGTCTTGGAATTTAACAATTCAGGTATGAAATATCGAATGGTAATTCCATACGCCTATAACATACTTTTGCTGTGTGTGTTAGAAGACGCTTTTGTACAAAAATCTCGGCATGAACAGTATCACCAACAGGATATCTCCTTTAGCAGACTCAAACATTACTGATGCAGGGAATTTGGTAATAATCAAGAAAGTCGGCAAGGGCTCAAGCCTGAAAGTCATCAAATTTCAAGATAAGGTAGGGTTTTGAATTAGTGCTCAACTAACACAGGCCATCGCGGCTTAACTGATACAGGCCGCGTTAAAGTTACTCTTATCAAACCTGTATGTTTTCAATCTGCAACTCAGCGTTGCCGGTGAAAGTCTGATAACTGGCCAACTGTATCCCAGCCTTTTTCAACCTTTTGACCAAATCGTTGGAAAGTCCTTGGTAAGTGTCCATATTCTCTCGCAGTATGGCCACTCTTCTCCATTTGAAATGTTTCACGATCGCCACTCTTCCCTGGTTTTGAAAATGCTCCGGTGGTATGGTGCGCATGAACGTTGGAAAGATCTTCGCGCATGATAGAGCCGGGTTTGCTCCCGCCATAGCCACCTTGTAGTAGCATAAAATATTGATGAAGATTAACATTTATCGCTTATTGGCTGAGTGATTGGTTGTCTTTTGTGCTAGATGAGTTTACCGTAATTTCTAGTTCTGGGATTACCGCAATTTCATTGCCAGTGAAATGTGTTGTCTTGGAACAAAGCAACAAACACCGAAAAGAAGAGTCCAGCATCACGAGAGCAGTTTCACAAAACTATACGGATAAACTGGAGAAAGCAAAGATTTCAATTTGTGAGATACTTTGCTCCAATGAATAATGACTTTGATCGAGAATTTTTGACCCAATGGAAAACTGGAAGTTGCAAATATGTATTATTTTAAATTTAAGTATTTTCGAAGATCTGATATGGTTAGCACTCACTTGAACCAAGTTGTAGAAAGGAGTAGCCTTGGCAAACGGTTCTGCTGATTTGGAACAACCAGGTCCTAAGATCATGATTTTCTTCTTCTCCTCTCGAATGAACTCAGTGAACGCGTGGATTGCATCGGAGTCTTGACACTGAATGAGATACAGACACAATAAGATGTTTGACAAATAAGAAACATAACATTATGGTACTTAGTTCATAAGTTGTCTGAGGATGTGATAAGAGGTCATTTGCTTTCCAAATATTTTTAAACCGAGATGCTTTAAAATTGACGAGAATTTACATATGTTTCCTTCATGATCAAGTTGAAGTAACGATTTGAACAATTTGGAATATAACTATAAAATCTTACTCTGCAACAAGGCTGCGACTTGACATGTTTTACTATTGGCATGGTAACCTATCACCATTATCTCTTCATTAACTCTTGTCGAGAAAGTAATACCGTTTCCTTCAAGTTAAAGTGCTTTAACTGCAGCGAGAATCCTTAAGATTGATCGTGTTTCCTACCTTGACGTCTTTGACTTCCATTTGCAGTTCATAGTTCACCAGTGTTTTGGGACATTCATTCACATGTTTTATCGCCATGCGCACTATTGGGATCATACTTGCAGAGTTTTCATCTCCAAGCTTTGTGTCGATGTCAAACACTCCGCCGATGACCAGCGGAATTTTTTTAGAAGATGCATGTGTTAAACATATGAGCGGTATAAGAGCAGCGAGGAATTTAAGACTCATTCTGGAAATCAGAAAAACAAGGAAACTGAAAGAAAGTAATAGCCTAATTTCAGGAATAACTGAATGCAAATGGTAATTGTTTCATTTGTATGTAAATTGCTGAGCATACGACAGGTGAAAAGGGGCTCAAGAAATAAGCTCTTTTCTTCTCTTCTGCCGCTTGCTTGGTCTAAAAGAAAATTGTCACTAATTTTCGTGAGTTTTTCCATGCAGATAGTGTGTTTTCATTTGGTGATTTTTACTTTTTTCACTCTATAACGTTACATATTTAATGAAGAGTTAATTTCACTGTGCGAAAAAAAATTGGGGATTCGTCGGCTTGAATGCTTTCAAGAGAGTCGAGTTCATCAATTGTTAATGAAATTTTTCTATGGTCTTTTACTTTGAATGGAAATACGTATGACACAATCAATATGCGCATAATGACTTCCATATACGTCTTCCATTAGTAGCATTGTTATTATTATTCCTTAGGTGCTGAAAGGGTATCACGTCGGTTGAAGGATTTGCGAAATAAGAGCAATTTGGTGGTGAATTCTGTAGAAATCGCTTCACATCTAAAAAGATGAAAAAACTTGCCGGCCTCCCTTAATCTTTCAGAATTCAAAGTGGTGCATCAGAGTATATTGGACATTGTTTTCGCAAATGAGTTCCTAGTGCTTTCCGCGCACTGGTTTGCCACATTGAAGTTGTACAGAAATTGCTTAATAATCACCGTTTACTGAGCAAAAAAAGAATTGAATTTTTGAGATAGTTTTTACCAAAGCAGTTTGTATCAATAAACAAAGACAAATTCTTTAAATGGGAAAAGAATCGAAACGCTATGGAATAAGAGAACGCCAGGTAAAGATTTTCCAACTTTCAGAGCTGAAACCCTCCCATGACTTTCATTGTGAAACGATCGATTTTACCTTATTACAAGTGCACTCATCACCATGAATAACCAACACCTTTTCAACGATTTTCTCCCCTAATAAGTTATTTAAAGAGTTTGTGAGACTTTTGGATATTTAGTCGATCAATTAAAATTGCAACTGAAACAGTTTATATTAAACTTCCTCGCGTAGACGTGAACGTTTAATCTTCCCAAACCTTGGCCTTACCGTTAATTTAAAGTGATTCCTCAGAAAAAAAAAATATATCGAACAATTTCTTTTAGACTTACCTTAAATACTCTCTAGCAATGTCTGTTTCGAAAAATACAATACAGAAGCTAGATCATCATGCTGGTTTAAGAGATATGACGAGTCAAACTTACCCCTCTTATGTCTGCACTGGCTCTTATAACGCTCGTCATTTCATCGGTTCACTGACTACGTTTTGCTGCAGCTGGAAGCATGGGCTTTTAAAGTAACACTCGAAAAAAACTTGATAGGTAGAAAGTCTCGAGCGCATGGAACAATTTGGTATATTATTTGTGGAAAAATTGCGCAATTTTAAAACGACATCGACTCAAAACATTCCTCGAGTCGTTGCTTTCAAGATCATAATTTGCATCATCGAGGTACAGGATTCTTGCACGCTTTTTCTTTTTTTTTTTTTCCTTCAATGATTTTTTCAAAAAAATATCTTTAATTTAAAGGGGACAATTTATAAACCAAAATTATGCATTAAAAAGTATAGGTCACCGTGCTCGTTCAACAACTAAAGACCATCTTACCTCTTTATCTGGTCCATTGATTGAAAAAAAATTCCGAGTTTACGCGCTTAATCGCCTGCTAACGTAATTTTTACGCGGAGTACAGGATGCACACGCAATACAGTACTGAGGAATCACCTTAAATGTAATTATAAGTAGGGTGAGTTTTCGAAGGAAAACTGCAACTGCATTTCCATTCTAGTACCTTCCTAAATTTTGGATCTCTGCCTCTTTGAAAGAATTTTACAAGAGAGGGTAAAACAAACCATAAATTACTTTGGGCAAATAATGAGCTCGCGAAGTGAAGTCTTTTTTTTTTTAAATATTTTTTCTATACTTTTGTAAATCGTTACCTATGATTGGGTGCTTTATGTCGCACACTGAAGCATTAAGAACCAGAAATTTATAATCCTTTTGAAGCGGTATGCATGTCAAGTTAACTCATTTTAGAAGCTCTGCGAATTTTATATCTTTGTAGGCACGTTAATTTCCCAATCGCATCTCACCTAAATAGGCTCTTAAAGTTAGTACTATGGACAATCTTTAATCCATTACTTTGGCAGAGTGATAGAACATTGGTCAGCCTGTGGAGAATAATTTACTATATTCATTCAACTAGCTAGATTTCATTAGGATCCAAATCTAAATTTCCTAAGTAAAGGGAGTAAGTTTCTAAAGATACTGTGGTGCTGCGTTGGTGGGAGAGTATATCAGGTAATTTAGTGTTAACAACTGAGTTGAAAACATAAATTGGCCACCGTAAAGAGTAAAATTTGGAAGATCTCACCTGCCTAGCGCCGATGACTTCAAGAGGAGAATGACTGATTTGGGGCCTCGCCAGTGGATAAAACCAACCTACAATGTCAAATCAAGCTCTCGGCACCTTATCTATCACTGTTAATTTTGCCTCCGTTAAGCAATCACACCGCAGAACTGTATCTATTGTTTTCATCTGCATTAAATGCTCTCTAGGGTTTATAAGATAATCCAACTACGGCGAGGGAAAACAAAGGTTTTAATGGCATCATGCAAACTTTTTTCCAACATCTATTGAGCATAAACCTTCACACAACCGCCATTTTTTTGAAAGCTTTTGAGGAGGACTGAAAGTCCGCACGGAAGTTTACGTGTTGAAAGGGACCGCTTTTCATGATATGTCGCTTAAAATCGATTTTATTTTCAGAAAAAAAAAAAAAGGAACAAAAAAACTGTGGCAAGGGGACATGAACACGTTTTGAGGAGGGGGCAATCCGTATCAGCTGGTTATCTATTCAAAGATAACACTTGTCATATCAGACCTTAATCTTAAGAGTAATTAACTTGGCAAATGCAAACGGATCCTTTTCTAACGCTACTCTGCGTTATCTGATAATGATGATTATTTTCATTCAAACCGCCTTTAGTTTTCCATTCGTCACTCAAAATCTGAGATAGAGGCTTACCCAAATAAATTAAAATTAAAGTTTTCATTAATTTTTTTAGCAATTTCCTGCCTCCAATTTGAAATCTGGTCAGTTATCGTGAAATACTCAGCCTATTTCATTAACTTCCCCTAGCAAAATCTTTTGAATAAATAATTTACTTCTAAGCATTTGGTGTCTAAAAATAGTACTGATATCAAAAGAGGAAAATTAGGAAGTTGTGAATTTTTAAGGCAAGGATTTAAAAGCATTAGATTGGGGTCTGAATTTTTTTTTTTAATGAGCAAATGTTTTTAGTGAGACTATGAAACAGAGTCTATAGCCAACAAGAATAAATGTTTTAAACAATTTCCACCAATTGTTTTTTTGTTTGTTTAGCTAGTGGCCCGTCAGTAGACCTCTTATTTGTGTGATAATAGGTCTGGCATAATTGCGAACGATTCCCCAGGAACTTATATTCAAGATATTCCTTGGAAATTGCATTAAATTGAAAGATGACAGAGTTTTCCATCTACACGTTCCAGACCCTTCACCTAGGGCCTCGCCAAAATCGGTTTCCTAGCTAATGTCATAAGTTTTTTTCAAAACTGCTAAGTTACACGCTGTATAAAGAAAATGTCACCCTCGATTTTTGAATTGATTTGAAAATGAAAATTTGTCTTTCTCGTCTCCGTGCTATATCGTCAAGAGCTCAATTAAGAGCATTCTCTCTTTTTTTTTTTGCAAACGAATTCAATGGTTTATAGCTTGTTGGTGAACGGATTGCCGACAGGTGCAATTTTCGTATGTTTAAAAGGAAATTCTTTTGTTTTTTACCAGCACTTTCCAGCATGTGCCAAATTTTTTCTCCAGAACAAAATTATCCTTAAAACAAACGTAATTCAAAAGTACAATAGGAACACCAACCAATTATGAACTGAAGAATGATTTCAAAGAATTTAATTAGGAAGAAATGGAAAATCTTTTTCTTTTTTTATAATTTTATCTCTATACTACAAATTGAAAATGCTTTTGCCTTTCCCTGAAAAATTTTTTATAACGTTGGTTCAAAGCCTGAGCAAAGAAATTTGTCTAGTCTATTTCCTTAAACTCGATAAAACTCATTAAATTTTTTTCGAGCAATTATAGTGAAAAGCTAAGGCAAATGTGAGTCAGGCTGAATTTTCTTAAACCTTTTTTGAACAACGTTAACTATCTTATTGTAAGTTCTGCTCTCAGATCGTTCACCTCAAACAGCAAAAATACTTGTAGAGTTTTCAGGGTAAAATTTTATATTTTTTTCAAATGCAATCTAGATGAGAACTAAAAGATGCCCATCCAAACATAAAATGGTCTTGAAAACGACGCATATATTTCGAAATTATGACAAACGAGGCATCCGTTTGAAGTCTCTTTTATCAAAGGATATGTCATTTCATAATTTATCCGAGTATTATTAGTTTTGTTTTTGACTGAGAGCTTAAATAACTCAGGGAAAAGCATTTTAATTTTGTTCCTTTTCAAACTGTAAAATGGAAATCGTTTTTTGCTTTTCGTGGGAATTGTGAGTTCCGTAAGTTCAAACATCAAACCAACTCAGTCCTAACAAATAACAACAAAAAGGAACTGAGATCGAAAGAGAAACAAAACAAATATTTTTAAAATAATGGAAGTCGTATTAAGATATTTAAAAGCAAATGGTCTGCGAGTTTTGGATGCAGGTGGGTTAAATTTCTTAACAAACAAATGGATTGCATGTACACTGCAAAAAATCGACGAGCACATGTTTGCCGAAAAATTGAAGTTTCTCCAAGTGACTGAAATCAATTTAAATGCAAAACACTCACAAAACGAAATCTGTCTAGTCCTTTTCCTTAAACTCGATAAAACTCATTTAATTTTTTTTCTAGCAATTGTAGAGAATAGCGTAGGCAAATGTGATTGAGGCTGAGCAATCGTAGTAGTTTCTCCAAGTAACTGATATCAGGTCAAGAGGAAAACACTCACAGAAGTTTTATTGTAAAAAGCAGTGAAAAAGGATTTTCTTACAATGGTAAATTTGTTTTAACGAGGCAACCAAGTGCTGTTGCACTGATCACGAACTACCCAGTCTATTGTCTTTCTGCTGCATCTCTCAATTTTGCCGCTCGTCTCATTCCACGTCCTTTGCTGGGACCGTGCCTTTAAGCGCGATCTTATAAAACGAACAACTTCAGTTGTAAACTGTATTAGCATAATAAAGTCTCGGAACACTCAAAATTCGTATTTGAACACTTTAATCATTTAATCCTTTACAGGTATCACTTTTCCAACACCAGGGCAAATTATTGCTTCATGCCACCCAATCCGAATAAAAGAAAAAAAGTTAAGAAAATTAACGTTATGTTGCTTCATTGGTCTTGAAATTTTAGCCCAACCTCATCACGTTTGTCGATTGCGATATCTGATTTATTTCCTTGTTCATTTTCTTGTAATTGAGTGATCTCTTTCTTACATCTGCATCTTGCAATGTTCATTTGAACCAGGCAAAACACTCCCATAAAAAGTAATATGAGTGGTAGCCTAATACGATTTGTATATCATACTGTATACGTGATGTTTGTTGATCGCTTTTACGCAAATTGCTTGACTTTTACCCGCATCTGGAAGTGTCTGTGTACAGACTGTATCTATGGATGCCGGCTGGACGTAGGTAAAAAACAAATTTATCTTCTGTTACGTCGTTAACTCAATGTATCAGAACGCGGTATTTCAGGATTAAAGACAAACATTTTAATAACTTTCAATCGGTCTTCCACGTTACGTCACTCAGTAAATGATTGGTGTAGAACTCATTCTGCTACAGCACCCTTCACTCTTTAAAAATCAACCTTGATTTTTCGGAAATTTCAAAGGGCTAATGGGAAGTTGTTTTGTTTTGTTTTGTTTTTTTTCGACAATGAGGACGCTTGTTCCCTCTTTGGTTGAGGTATTTCAAAACCTAAACCACAGAGGGGTCGGTCATTCAAACGTTGAAATGAATTTTTACTTGGCAATTCTCGAAGTTCACTGCGCTGTCAATAATCAAAAACTTACTGCATATACTCATTAATAGAAAGGCATATGTGTTGTCTCAAACTATTTCATACTCTCGCACGTTTGAATTAACGCGGTTTGTGGTCACAAACCACCACATGATTATTCTGATTTACCATGATTGCTTTGTAAATTATAATTCATTTAGAACGACCTTTGATGAACCTTTTAAACTCGAACGAACAAACAACTTAAACTGGTCAGAAACCTGTCTAATCGTAACCACGATCACCTGTAAAATTTTCCGTTTACGTCTTTCGAGAACCCTTCACAAATAAACTGCGTTTATGGCTGTTTCGCAAATTGATATTTGTTTCGTGTTCACTGCGCTGGTAAACGCCTTGAAACTGACAGTAGTGGTGTAAAAAGTAATAAGCAACTAGAATTGTCGACACAGTAGGCTCAGATATTATGCAAGAAGACCTCTTTGTATACAAACACCATTGAAACAGGAAAAAATAGAACCCGTTCTGGGCAAAGCGGAAAATTCGTAAGAAAGGTGGCAAATTTTCCGGGTTGTCCTAATTGCTTCAGTTCCGAGCTGGTGAACATGCACAGAACGCGCTGAAAGTTAAGAAGACAAGGTTAGAAAGATGGAACTGGCTATCATCGTCCTAGTTTACAGTGCATTTATTTTCAGTTGTAGCGGCTTGGAAACGAGCTATACAGGTGAGCATTGATTCTTATAATGTTAGTAATCTCTTTTCTTTGTTTCTTAATTAATAGTTTTGTTAGGTTTTTGGAAGGATTAATTGCGACTGTTTTGGCTGATAAGTGTTAGGTTGTGAACAAGCTGTACACGATCGAGAGTAAATATTAAAACTGCTACTTTTTCGCCAATAAAACCGTAATAGGAGAAACATGGAAGTAGGTGATGTCTAATTAAGGATTATAGTGCAGGAAGTATCTAGCATATTGCACAAGGCCTTCTAATGAGTCGTCAATAATTTTCTAATGTAGAGTCTAAACGAGAATATGTGTTAGATTCCTCAATAAAAATAGGCCCAAAATCTACCCTAAATCATACTTCTTTCAAATTTTATTCACTTTCTTAACGTCTTATTAAGTAAATCGGGCAAGTATCGAGAAGAAACGATATCAGTTCAAACAGAGAAGACGCGTTTGATGTCCATTAATTCATGTAAAAGAACACTTTTTCCGCATTTTAAAAAAAACATACAAAGCGATAACTTTAAGACGTCCATTTAAAATGGCGAACCTTGGAAATTGTAAAAAATTGCCTGGCAAAATAGGAAGTAACCAAGAAATCTGACATTGAAAATGTTGAATGTAATAATCTGCTTATAAAGATCGAATTGATTTTGAATTATCAGTGTTGACGATAACCCTGTGCCATGGTTTAAAGTTCTAACCCCAGTTTGCAAAAAAACAACAACAACAAAAAAAAAACAAATCAAACAAATCAAAAGAAAGCAAAACCAAAAAAAATAATCATTAACAGTGAATGACACTTGATTTTTTTTCTTTATTGGTGAAGAAAGTTTTGCTCCGTGGATGGAAATAAAATCGCGTAAAATAAATATTCATGAAGGTCACGCACATTTCTTTGCACAAGGGTGGTCATGAGTTTCTAGACGTCAAGAACTGGGCAATTTCGAGCGCTTTATTATTGATGATGTCGGCAACAAAATTTCCTTGTTACGCCTCAAATCAGGGGTTGAAGACTTATAAATTTGATCTGTTTGACAAAGTTAATTTCCTACTCAAACTGCTCTAAATTTTAAGTGCTAAAGAAATGTTTTAACTCGGTGAAAAACTTATAACTTTAAATGCAATTGAAAACAAAGATTTGCAACCGATTTTTTATATTTTTATTTTCCTGAGAGAGAGATTATTAAAGCAAGCTTGACATGCCAAGAAACTGTTATCTGCCGAAAAAAGGACATCATTTAGTTTTTCACCGTGCCTTTTTAGATTTTATTGCATTACCATACAGTGAGAGGGATCAATAAACTGTTTACAGTAGACACAAATATTTCAGTCCTGATTTAAATCTCGATTATCCAACCCTCAATTGTCCGGATTTTCGATTCTCTGATCTCATGACCTACGTATGTTCATATTTTCGACTCTCTAAACTCTCGATTATCCGGATGTTTCAATTGTCCGGAATTGCTTTTCTGGCCCCATTACCTACGTACACTTATACTTATATTTCGATTATCCGGAGCATTAAGCCGAGACCCTTCAAGTCCGAATAATCAAAGTTCGACCGTATTTAAGATTGGTACGAATGGCCCTTAGTATAATGTTTGTTTTATGTGATGCGCTTTTGTGATCACTTTCCAGGTATGCGACGCAGTTTGAAAAGGTCCGTTTTATTATCCCTCAGTAGCATATGTTATCATGTTAAAGAGCTGTTTGCAAATTTGAACTTTGAAACGCCTCGTTAACAAGTACACTGACGTCAATGATGATAGCATTGACCTCAAACGAACCGCATTTACGGCAAAATGCACGAATCCTAACAAAGTTTTCCGACGCATTTTAGAACGTGTTAACACGTGAGCTAGCGAAACCTCGGAAATACACTTGAATTGTCGAAAAGAATCATTCCGACTATAATTTTTTTACTTCATTCTTTCTTATCTTCATCTAACATGGACTTCATCTCTACATGTCAGTGCGCCATGACTTTCCGCTTTGATACAATCAGTTTTTAAAAGCGCTGTCACACAGAGTAGGGTGGAGGAGTCGTGTAAACCTGTCGCTGGACCTTTTCTAGTATTGCACCAGCAAGATAATTAAAGAAAGGTTTTTTTTCACTAGGTCACGATATGTTTCCCCGTGCATCCCACAACAGCTGAATGCATGAAAGCGCACATAAATTTAGCATATGTAATTCATTTTGAGACTTAAAGTTGACTCATTTTGCATAAAGACAATGGTGGTTGTCAAGGTTACGGGTTGCCGTCTGTACAGTAAGCTATGATGAAAATGACCTTCTTTGTTCTCCGAAACAAACATTGAGCGAAAAAGGGCAAAAAGCGGAAAACCTAGAATGAAAAGATAACACACATTTTCCCTGTTGCCGTTATTGCACAACACAGCCCTCCTTTACAGGGCGAAGAGCTCGACGTGAGAACAATGAAACTTGTCTTTATCAATGTCGTTATCAGCTTGCTTGCTCTCGATTGCCGTGGAATTGAAGTGAATTGCAAAAGTAACCCATTTTTTATATGTTGACAAGAAATTCTTGTTGATATATATTCCACATCCAGAAATACTAGGCTAAACGTGTATTAAGATCATACAAAAACATGAATATTTCTTGATATGTAAGTATGTTAGAGGAATATTGTTCAGTAATCTTCTGTTGATATCGGAGATTCATTTGTCGAAATAGTAGTCTCCCGGTGAAATTGTGCAAAAGGTGTTACTCATGTACCTAAGGAAAAAATGGTAGGACCTATGCCTACATTAAGCCAGCACACATTTTTGGGTATTCAGATCAAAAAGAGCATTTTTCTGAAGAAGTACACATAGTGAACCAGAATGTTAGCTTGCTTTAAAACATGACCACACTTTGATCTTTCTCACAGGGCGTCAAAACATTTACTTATAACTGAAATTTAAGAAAAGACTTAAAGTTCGAAACGGCTATCATCAATTGTCAAGCCTGTGAATAGCGTGTATTTCACAAGTCTTCATCTACACGTTCTCTTATATGAAGTGAGGCAGTTCATAGTCACTGATTTACGATAGTGGCTGAACTACTGCTGTTAGCTTTCAATGATAGAAGTTGATGCTATTGGTTGGTCAGGATCGAAGGATCCCTTGTCCGCATTTATGACTGATGTTCATAAACTTATTAGAACTTAAGTTTTTCCGAGAGCTCAAACAGGTGTGAAATATTTATATTTACTGTTGAGTGTTGCGGGTTTTAACGGCAGAATTTTAAGTTAACATTTTTCTAAATAATTGTCATCTATTTTTGCCGATAAGTTCTAATTTTAGACAAATTCTTCCTACGACTATTGATTCCGTGGCTCTCTCCCTGTATCTGAGCCCCAGTTCGGCACAGCAAACGCACTTGTCAAAGAACTGAACATTTTGAATGTCTTACGTTTGCCTCCAACAAAATGTACGCCTGCCAACGAAATATTTTAAGCTCTTCGTAGCTTTGCGAAACTTCGATCTTGTTTATCCATCATATTCTGCGGGAGTTTACTCAACCGGTAAATTTTATCAAATGCATTATGCAACTCAAATTTTACTGACCATAGTGGTAAAAAAGAATTTTTTTCTGAAGCTTTTTCTTTGTCACAAGATTTCCTTATTCCTTTCTAAAGACACAGGCGTAAACAGAATGAGGTCCCGACAGAGAAATCGACAAAACATCGGTTTTGTAACGTGGAGCCTTCCAATAAAAGAAATGCATTTTTTCCGGTTTGTCATAATTGCAGGCTCTTTCATTTTCAGTTTCTGGGAATATCGAATTGAGGCAATGACAAACTTGTCCTTGTAGTTTTTTCGCTTTAATACTACATTTATCTCATGGCTAAAACAGAAACTGAGTGAATGATTCAAAAATTCGAGAGAGGTGTTTTACATGACAAAACAAAAGAAATGAAAACTATTTTTCCTCAAGGGCACTCTCTATTTATATTTCATAAGACAGAACAGCGGCATGGAAAAATCTATTATATTTCATTTTGCCATGCTAGAGCAATTAGAAAATAAATTTGTATTTATGTTAGGAGCAAGATATTCAAAACTATTTAGTTTAGCAACTGGAATTACTTGGTATGACAACGGCCTATCTGTGTCATTTCGTTGTTGCGCGACGCATTCACAAAATAACCTTATAAATGGAAATATTGGTGAAAGTTCTGTGTTGCCGTTTTTGATGTCAATGTGAGTTTGGAGCAATTGAACTAAACTCGTCATATGGAATCACTGCTGTGTGCTCTTTTGCATTTCTCAATTTTACTTGCCGTAAAACGGCTAAAAAATTAAGAATGCAGTTAGGCGTAAGAATTGACAAATTATAACCGTTCGTCGTAAAAGAAGTTAACCGTAAAATGCTTCTCTTTTAATCGCAACTGTGAGAAATTAGCTGCTAGCAGGAAAATGGCCAAACTTTTAACCGTTAGTCGCAAAAGCCATCACCCAATTGAGAGTCTCATCTTCCAGAACAGTTCATTTTTCTGTTTGAGGCGTGGTCAAAGTCGGTTAAGAAAACGTTACGCAACAGTACAGGTAATGTCATCAGAGGGAAGCATTTCATTCATATCGATGTCAATAACACTGTTTCCCTTCTATTATCTCGCTGTAACTCATTAGCAAATGTAAAGCACGAATAACGCCACCGCAAACCAAGACTTAGTTCTGAAATTTTCCGGGATGAAACCTTTGCGTGTTTTTTTGCGTCTACTTCCCTTCCAAGTATGTTTTGTTTGCTTTTTGTCAAGATTTTTAGTATTTTGGTTTTTCTTGAATTTTTTAGTCAGCCTCCGCCTCGCTACTCGGTACATGAAACTGTATGCAATATTCTTCTAGCAGTTCTAGCAGAAAATTCAGTGCTGTATTCGTAAATTCCCTCCATAAGGCAACACTACAAATCTTTTATTATACGACCCGTAAGGCCCCGCGCGCGCAATCCCATAGAAAACCGCAGTGAAACTTGACATGTGAAAGTTCGCACTTGGGCCGGTTCACACGGCTTTGTTACACAATGTTGCGTTTTTCGATGAATCGTGAGTTCCTTATACTGACTCGAAAAAGCAAAGCAAAGGTTTCCATTGTTTTTAATTATATTACATTATTCTTGGTTATGACGCACGGACGTGTGTGTGTTGACTTTGAGCCAACTGTTTTTCCCGTTCGGCCCTCCCACTCAATCAGTGAGTACTTACTATTTGCATGAAAATAAGCCCTCTTGGCCTGGCATTTGAATGAAAGTTACACTGTTTTTCACTGGTCGAAGAGGCCATTTTGTCTACTTTAAGTGGATAAGTTTGGTGAGATGTCTCCTCTCGACTCGCATTTCTTTATGAGTTAGTCGTGTATTTCAATGTCATTTGCGTTCGGCTACGTACATTTGACCCATTTTTCTACATATATACTGCTCCTAATCTTATATATGTGCTTTCAATTAAGCATTTGGTGTCGGCCAAAAGAGAGCTTTTCGCAGTTTGAATCTCTTAAAACAAAACCCAAAGAGGTCGTTGATTTTCCAACCAGAACAGAATAAATATCGACAGGGTGCAATGAGAACTCAGTCAAGAAAACGCAAGGCTACCAGAAATGGGGGAAAACACGAGTAACCAAATTTTTATTGAAGTAAGCTTCGCATCTCATTGATGAAGAGAGGAAAAAGGGAGTTTTTTTTTTAATTTTATCTTGAGACTGACAGTAAAATCTGAGTAAAACAAAATTGAAGCAATCTCGGCAGGGCTATGATTCATCACTTCTATTCAGTGATTTAGTTGAAATTTCTAATGAAAAGACCAAGGAGAACCAATTATAACCAATTAGAGCAATCCTAGTGTTGACGCGGGAAAACCATTCATTTGCGAAACTCCGGTTTTGAACTGCAGTTTTTTCAGTCGTCGAATCGTCTTCGAGCGAAAACTGAAGTAATGGAAGAAATTAGCAGTCAAAACTCAGATTTGGGGCAAGAAGATTTGGACAATCACTTAGCTTGTATTATTAAAACTCGCATTCTTGATATCATTTGGCCTTGTTTATTGATAATAATGATAATGACATGACTTTTTTCGGGAATATTGTTTATTTGCGCCCTTGTAGTGTCATTTGCGGACACTACGCGGGCGCAAATAAACAATATTCCCGAAAAAAGTCATGTTATTCCCTTATTGATATAAGCTTTGGTATAAGCTTTGATAAGCCTTGATAAACTTTGATAAACCTTGATATAAGCTTTGCATCTTGTTGATGAAGAGAATAATGTGAGTATTTTTTTGTTTGTTTGATTTTTTAAATATTTTTTTTTGGAGACCAACAATAAATTTGGAGTAAAACAAAACCTGAGTAATTCTGGATTATTTTCGATACTCAATATGAAACTACCCAGTTATAAAAACTCATTCATCATTAGATTGTCAGATTTCTAAATTGCTGTGTTATTTCTTTTATCATTCTTTTTCAGGACAAACGTCCCGTCATGGATCATGTGACGCTAAAGGTAAGTTCAATCCAACACAAATAATAATTATAATGATAATAATGATCATGATAATAATGAAAATAATAATAATATTATTATAATAATAATCTAAGTTTAATATCTAATTTTTGTTTTTTGTTTTTTGGTTTTTTAATGAGAACGACAATAAAATTGGAACAAAACAAAACCTAAGTAATCCTGGATTATTTTCGATACTCAATATGAAACTACCCTGTTATAAAATCTCATTCATCGTTGGATTGTCAGATTTGTAAATTGCTGTGTTATTTCTTTTACCACTTTTTTTCAGGACAAAGGTCCTGTCGTGGATCATGTGACGCTAAAGGTATGTTCAAGCCAACACAAATAATAATTATAATGATACTACTAATAATAATAACAATAATGATGATGATGATGATAATAATAATAATAATAAAACTTTCATATCTGAACACAAAGGACTTCTAAGCATTGCTGTACGATCCTTTTGTGGGGAAAATGATTTTTAAAAGAAATCTGATCTCGAGCTCATCCACGCCTTCAAAGAGCAGAATAGACCCGTCCAATGCCTGAGGAAAAAAAATCAGGCTTCGACGTGATTTGAACCCAGGCCCTCCAGATACCAGTTTGGCGCTATCTACAACTGAGTTACGAAGCCATGTGTTATTTGATGAAGGCAAACCATTTCAAGAACCTTATTTTTTTCATTTACATCACATAAAATCCGTTGTGAACTTTGCGTCTAAATAATGTCTCACTCCTGTTTTATTTTGGTAAATAACTTAGTCGCGATTTTATGAACTTTTCATCGACCTCACGTTCGCCATAAAGGAAATATGATAGGACCAAGAGAAAGCGCGCGCTACCAGTCAATTCGTACGTCGGTGATGTTCAGCAATGTGATTGTTGACATCGCCTTTCTTCGTCGCTCATTTGTGTTCAGTCAGTCTAGTTGCGAGGTTTCTGCCAGTCTCACCGATGTAGGAGGCATGGCAGTCGGAGCAATTGATCTTATATACTGCTCCTTGTCTGTTCCTCGGTTCGTCTCTGTCTTTGATATTAGTCAGTAACTGACGTAGTGTGGGACTCTGGGACTCTGCGCAATGCCTAACCTACAGCACCAACTACTTTCAACGACTGACCCTGGAAAGCTGGTTTACTAACTTGGAACAGACTCACCTCAACAGGTGTCAACCACTACCGACACCATACAAACGACTCATCCACGACATTAACATTACAAACGAACCGAACAGAACGACCTAACTTCTATAACGGATCCAAACCGACCAATCACGACTGACCTACGCCACTTGAGTCTTAAAGCCAATAACATCACGGCAAAACTGACCAATCAGTGTACACAAACCGGACTAAGTACATTCGACTGACAACAACCTTTCACTTGATTCTGATGATGACTTCCGCTCAGGTTGTCGAAACGTCAGTCACCACTACCAACAACAGTCCTTCTCAGGACTACACTCACCCGTACGATCAAACGACACTATTACAATTTAAGTATTCTAGGTTACACCCAGTTGTATCTTTATATTAAATTAAGCGAGTTGAATGACATTTGATGTCATTTCAGATCCCGATCCGTGTAATAGGTGCAACTACAAAATATTGAACAGCCCTGATCGAGCTGAAGGATTTATCACCTATGACCAGCCTAAATGTGACCTAATGTCATGGGACAGAGTGAAATATGACACTTGGTATCGATTCAATGGGTCGGCGGGCACAGCCATGCCAACTCATTGCGTTGAGACGATGCGATGCGGTGCCGAGGCCCCAGGTTGGTTGTACGGTGGTCATCCCAAAGCGGCTGAGGGAATTTCTACCAGGTCAGTCTGCTTCAACTGGTTAGGGAAATGCTGCTATTACAAAAACGAGATCAAGGTCAAGAACTGCCGTGGATTTTTTGTGTACAAGTTCAGAGATCCTCCCATGAATTTTCTACGGTATTGCGGGAATGGATCCAGAAATGGAACTGGTGAGTTTAAAACAACAATTACTCGTGAAGATAATCCTTTTTAGATGGTGGCTAGGAAAGTAAAACCAATGACAATTTTTTTTATTTCCGTTATTATTTGAAGAAAAGCCACTCTACATTCCTGTTTTGCAGTGTAGTGTAAAAGAGCGTCTTGATGGACTCATATTCGCGCAGTCATAGAGAAGAAACCTGTGTTCCTTACGCAAGAGCAAAGATTACTATTTAATGATATTTGTGTGATAGAGGACTCTTTTTGTAGGGCGGTAAGAGCTTCAAATGTCCGCGCCTATTTTTGCGCCAAAAGGATGATTCCGTTTATTGAACTGGCCACGACACTGCCCCATTCTTCATCGGAGTATCAGTTTTTTAAACTGTTGTGAATTTTCTTCTGTCACTTTTTAGGACAAGTGTCGCGTTATGAAGTATGCAAACGTGAAGCTAAAAAGGAGAGAGGTAAGTTCACCAGGGTAAAAAAAAAAGACGTTACTCGAGCTCAGTGCCACACCCGGCCGAACTTTATCCTGGTTTCCATGTAGCATTAAGCGACTAGGAGCATAACTACTCCTCACCAGGCTTCCCTGACAGTTCACCAGTACCCATTTATGCTCCTGGTTGGAGAGAAGCGCTGTGAGAGTAAAGTGTCTTGTCAAAGAACACAACACATTGACCCGGCTAGGTCTCGCACCCAGACCTCTTGACCGGGAGTCCAGCGCATCAACCATTACGCCACTAGGTATCCCGAATTCACAAAAAATAGCTTTAACCCTTTAATCACTGAGAGTGACTAGCATCTAATTTCTCCTTACAATATCTAACCCTCAATCACACATTAAGGTCATGAGAATAAAGGAATGATCACCAACTAAAGCAGCTCTTGGTTTTTAAACAAATTCTCCTTGTCAACACCTTACGAAATATATGGAGACCAGTATGGAGAAAATACATACTGATGTTAGGGTGGAAAGGGTTAACATAAGCAAAGAATTGCGAGTTGAAGAGTACAAACAGAGCTAGTTTGTGGAACTTTCTTTTACATGATCTACGGATGGCCCCACTGCAAGTTCGTCCCTACCTCGACGATTTCGCCGCAAATATTTTCTTACTTTTGAATTTGGGCAATCTGATTTAGTTTATAACAGAAGATGCCTCCACCTTCACATATACCTGTGGTTTACAAATCAAAAGTTTTTTTTAAGAATATCCGATGAGAGTCTTATGCAAAAATTTGTGATTTCTTTATGTGGATTGTTTTTTTGATCAGCTAAACTAAGTTTCAATTTATAATGCTTTTCAACATCATATGCGAGGTACAATGTTGTTACTGTATTATTGAAATGCAGTTTACGCCACCTTTGGTCATAATGTGGACCTCAACATACAAATGTTCCACAGGTCATGTTCCTGATAGCAGAATTTCTATATATTTTGCTCTATGGTTCTTTTAAGGCTGGGGGGGAGGGGGGGAAAGGGAGGAGGAACGGAGGATTTTGAGGGATGACGTGGTTTTAAGAGGGAGTAGCCGAGGGATCGGTCGTCTTGACAGAGTTTAAAGGGGGGAGGAAGAAACTATATGAAATTGACTGCCATTAAGAGAGGATCTTAGAATACTACAGAGTCTTAAGGGGGGATCAAGTAAATTTGCGACACAACCAAACTCCCGCTCCCCCCCCCTACCCAAATACTCATGTGATGAATCATGACTGTCTTCTCAGTGATAATGATTGATCATCTCTTGAAACAAGATCCCTGAGCCTCGCAGTTCGCATGTTGTTGAAAGGTTCAATGAACGAGTAGATTGCAATGGTATTTTTTATCTCTCCTGAAGAGAATCCATGTTTGTCTGGTGACTACATTACCCTCAGGGGGCCGAGCCGCGCTCAAGGGTTTAACAGGTCCAGACGAGCTAAATGTGACATGGACATTCTGAATGTACCAGAGGCTTGGTATCGCTTTGCTGGCAAAGCAGGCACCATGATGGCTGATAAATGTGTTCCCGTCAAGCATTGCGGGACGAACGCTCCCGGCTGGTTGCGGGGTCCTCATCCAGAAGACCCATCTGAAGGAGAAGTTGCCAGAACAGTTTGCTTTCACTGGAAAAACAACTGCTGCTTTTGGAAGACTCGAGTGAAAGTGCGCAACTGTGGAACATTTTTCATTTATTACCTGAAACAAGACCCGATGGTAGGCTGCAGCTTTCGTTATTGTGGCAATGGCGAGGGTGAGTAAACACATATTATCATTCTGAAAGATGCCACCCAAATTTCTTGATAAGTAAGTCTTTTTTTGCCTCAGTGGGAGGCCGTCGCCTGCGAATTTTTCCACATTAGCGTTATAGGATAGGTATCACAATAACGTCAAATGATGGACATGCATGTGACAAGTTTGCGGGAACGATTAGAAGCACATATTCTAATATGATCATGTCCTTTTTCACAGGACCCACTCCTGGCCCAGAAAAGCCAACAACCCAAGGTAAGTCAAATATTTCTCTTGATGAATGCGTGCAATGATGAAGACCTGATGAAAAATAAAACCTTATTTCTCTGATACATTTTGATTGGAAACACTGCATAAATGACAGTTTGCGTGTGAATAAACAATGATAATTAATTATTAGCAGACTAATGGATTAAAGAATTCAAAGAAATTAAAGGACGGTAGAAGGTCAGAAACTTCTCGATTTGCGTATTACTCCTTTTTCCTCGCCTGAAGAAACTGAACCAACTAAAAACCAACATGACCGGCAGTTTGAGCCTCCTCCTTGTTAGCATTAACGTTGAATGGTTTTAACGATCGTTACAATCATTTATTTTTATTTTCTCAGTATCCACTTCAGAAACGAAATCGCCAACATCCACTTCAGAAACGGAATCGCCAACATCCACTTCAGAAACGGAATTGCCAACATCCACTTCAGAAACGGAATCGCCAACAAGTAAGTAAACTTACTAAGTTGTCCATGATTAACTTCATAACCATTTGGCCATGTCTTGTGATCGGCTTGTTTTTCCGGATAAGTTCTAAATTAAGACTGAAGTAAAATCGCTTGTTTCCCTGCTAATAATAAGTTAATGATATGTTTCCTTTCAAGTAAGCTCCAGGGCTATAAATGTTACCATTGTGAATAGCATCCTAACTGAAAAATTGATTCGTCTGACGAGTAATTGGGAGTCTCAATGGGGTTAACTGTTAGCCGAAAAACGGCCAAAATATTTCGCTGTTCACCATGCCCTTTCTTTTGACGTATTTTATGGTCATACAGAAAAACGAATGTTTCCATGGTGGACTATTGTGTATTCAGTTATGATATTCAGCACAGAAGCACCTAGGTATTCTAGAAAACGATGAAGGGATCTTTACTTTTGGGAAATAGGAAGGGTTGTCTTATAACAATAATAGTTAATTTGTCTACTAATCTGAGAAATGTTTTATTTGTCATAGATACAACAAAACCACCTCCACCATCTTCAGGTGAGAAGTCTTTGATTTTTTATCGATTTATCAAATTTTGCCCATTCCACTCATGATATGAAACCGTTATGATGATGATCAACTACATTAACTCCTCACGGGTCGGCTTCATCCATCTCTTTATACTAAAAAATAAACAAAAACCTGCATCTTCCGGGGAGTAGAGGAATTACCCTCTCTCTGCGAATTAAGCATAGATCTCTTCTATGAGAAGAATAAGAATCATCAGAAACGTGAATCTAAAGAAAGTGTCTCTAGTAAAGACCAAAATGATTAGGCAGGAAATGAATGTCTACATATTGTTGCCGCTCCCAAAACATGACGAGGATCCTAGGAGTGTTCAGTATTTGTTTTAATTTATGTTCTTGCAAGAGAAACAATTCATTGATAAATCTCAGCAAAAATCCCTGTTTTGCTTTCATATTGGAGAGGAGTGACAATGTGTTAAATTTTCTAGGCGTCAACGTCGTTTGCGGAAAGAACGAGATGACAATTAGCATTCGAAAGACCCTCCTCAAAGGCATAGATGTGGAGCATATTCGTCTTTCCGATGTAAACTGCAGAGCCATAGAGAACCCAACCGGCGATCGCTTTATTCTTCAAACGGAATTGACCAAATGTGGCACAAAAGTCAGACACGCTAAGAATTTTGTAATTTACAAGAACAAGGTGGAGGAAATTCCGATTGAAAATGGTCAGATAGTCACACGTGTCCGTGAAGTGGAAATACCTTTCAGCTGTTACTACTCAAACACGGGAGTCGTGTCCGCTGTTGGTCTGGAAGTGACGAGCAAGAAGATCATTTTCTCCAGGAAAGGATTTGGACAATTCATCCTAGAAATGAATATATTCCCGAATAGCGATTTTGTTAATAATTACAGAAAGGAAGACTTCCCAGTTTCCGTTACATTAAGGGAGCGTCTGTTTGTGAAGGTCAGCGTAGACACAGACGACGAGAAACTTGAGATTATGGCAGAGACATGCTTTGCTACACCTGATCCTGATCCCAATAAACCTGCATTGAAATACATGTTCATCGAAGATGGGTATGGACTTGTTTAGTGTTAAAGATTTATCCACAACTGACAGGCAGTAAACTTGGTGCCATGTATTTGTCTACACACGCAAAATTTCAACGATTTTCAACGACGAGTTAATACTTAATGATGTCTTTGGAAATTGATAGAGGACCAGAAATTATTTATGGCCGAAGCGGCGGGGGGGAGGGGGGGTTAGGGTTAAGGGGGTTAAGGGGGGGAGGCTAGGTTTTGTCCAGAATACAATTTACCTGATCCTCCCAAAAGACTCTGTTATATTCTTAGCCCCCCCCCCCTCCCCCTTGTTGGCAAAGACTGATCGTCCGTCTGTTCCCCCCTAAGACCACATGTGATCCCACTAAGGTCCTTCGCACCTCCCTCCTCCTCTAAGGTGATGCTATTGATAAGTCCGTAATTTCAACTGCATTTATATGACAATGAACCCCATTTCGTCGCTACAAGTCATCAATTGTTGTTGTCTGCAAATTGCTAACTTTCTTGTCTTTTTTTTTCCAGGTGTGCATCAGACGAAACCGTGGAATACATTTCATCAGACGATCAGAGAAACAAAAAGTTTAGCCTGGAAGCGTTCAAATTCTTGGGCGAACATGAATTTGTGTACATGCACTGCAAGGTAAAGATATGCAACGCAAAGGATCCTAATTCACGCTGTGCACAGGGCTGTCTGTCTGACAGACAAAAGAGGTCCCTGTATACCGAGGAAAACAATGACGAGGAGTATCTATTGGCTCAAGGACCGTTCATGCGAAAGGATGAAATCAACGAGGAGACAGTTCTACAGGATGTTGAGGAAGTGCACGACATGAATATCAAAGGTAAAGTAGAACAGAATACTAAGACAAGGCGGTCTAGGTGCTTGTAAACTGTTTCTATCTATGCCTTTGATTGGCTGTTTAAAAATATACAAAAGCTACGTGGTAATAACACGGCGGTCTGAAACATTTGCGCATGTGCCAAAGTTGTAATGACTAGGTAGCGTGTTTTCAATGTCAGAACCAAGCTGTCTCACACGAGTAACACACAACTACACAAGCCAAAGAGCTACGATGCTTTAAGAGCGTACAAACATTTTGGTAAAACTCAAAACAGAATGGTGAATCTTCAGGCTACCCGTACCTGAATAAGCTTCGTGCCAGAAAAGTCTCGTGCTTTCTTTTTCTCCACTTTTGTTTCCTTATAAAGATTTCCATGAACGTTTAAATCTTCTTTCGCTTATTTTTGCGAGACAGAGCTCACAAAAGGTCAGAATTGATCCTCTCGCATATGCTTGACGTTTGACCATTGAGCTTGCGGTAATAATTTCAAATGAAACCTTTTTTGTTCAATATATGAATTCTCTAATTTATACCTGACTGTATGTCAACTATTTAACTATTGCAGCTGCTGAGAAGAGCAGTCCTTTTGTCATTGCATCCACCATGACGAGTGTGCTATGTATGATGGGAATGTCATATATGCTGTGGTACAAGAAATCGCGGGCTCATCAGGGTTACACTCCCGTGCAAGTGAAAGCAAATTAGATTCAACATCCTTTCGTTCACTGATTGTTTTTTATTATTTCTTTGATATCAATTGCAAACGTCTATTGAAGAGAGATACGTTTGGATTTCTCTCTTTTTTGAGATTTTAGTCAAATGTAGAGCGATTTTACCCATACTTTTAACATGCGCTTCACCTTAGTGTGATATTTAAAGTTTGTGTTCAATTTTATTACTCAGGACTTCCCCGACATTCACTATAGGGAATGAAACATCCTATACCCTGAAGGGCATATTGCCTTCTAATCTATTATCTGCCAATTCTGATTAAATTTTCAACGTATCTAACTGGTCGTTTAGATTTTTTTAGTCGACTTACAATGACAAAACCTGAGTTGTTAACTTTAGCCAACTTAGCGAACAGGATCGGTAATTTGAGAAACCCTTGGGATCTCCGACAGCTGGAGAGCTTTGAAATACCTTAGGAGGGAAAGTATTGACCCGGATAAGGGGATTCCGTCTTTAAGGTAAGCCCCTGTCGATTCAACATTCTAGTATCCTAAACTCCCTGCTGTGCGGGGAGAAATGGAAAAAAAAGCTCATCCCCGATGGATTGTCGATAAAAAAGAATTCGCTCAGCGGAGTCAAAACAACGGAGAGGGGAACTGTCTGGTTTTATAACATTAGTTTGATATCAAATATTTAACGATCATACTAAAAAGCAATTCACCAAGGACGTCATCATAGAAACATACTTTCTATTATCATCTCTTATTAGATTCTTGTTCTCGTCCGGCGCTATAGCCACTGGTGTGCAAGCTCAGCATTCTGTAACTTTTTGGAAAGTAGAATTAGAGAATAAAGGGATTTTTTACGTGTGAAGATTAATTTTTTTGTTCCTAGAAGAATGAGATCGGGTGTTATTATCAATGGATAATTGCACGAGAAGCAGTGAACTTATCACATTACGGCGGTGACTACAGATAGAGGGGTCTGGGTGCGATGCCAGGCCAAGTCATTAAGACTGCATTCCCGGGAATTCCAGACCAGAATCTTTCGGCGTCTCTCTCCATCCAGGGTTCATTATTTTCCCCGCAAAATGCGCGCGGGCCGATCATGTTTAGTGCAAATTGACACAAAAACAATAAGCAATTCAATCTCATTGACGACGGCTTCTTAATTCTTTTTTTTTAAATTTGATGGGATAAAAATAGTCAGGCACTACCAACGCCGTAAGAGGGTATATTTTACTGTCTCAGAGCAGCAAACCTTTAAAAAAACAAAACAAAAACAGCGAATCTACCATATTAATTTACCCACGAGATTGTGTCGGGGAGGACGAGGGCAAAATGAAACTTATCGTAACCGAAAACAATAGACCTCCAGGAATGGTATCGTGCTTAAAATCCAAATTATGTAAAACTTCAAAGATCACAAACATACGAGAAACGTAAGAAGCACATTTACAAGATCTGAATATCAGTTCTTCGCACTTTCTGCGGGAGAAGTTCCTCTTAAGATCGCTCCTGGTTGTCCACGGAGGCAAAAGAGAGCAGTCACGTGGGCGAATGCGTGAAAGAGACCAGATTAAAATTACGCGATGGTTCCGGTTGTCTCCGTTCCGTGGTTTCGTCCCAGCGATCCAAATTTCACTACTCCTCTAGCCAGTTTTCTTTCCAGCTAAATTCCAAAATGTTAACAGTATATAGACTAATAGAGATGGTAAGTTTTGAGCTCGGTAAAGAAATAGAGAAAGATGTTTTTCGTCTTGTCACGAGCGTGGGACACGGAAAAAAATCTTTCTTTATTTCTTGACAGAGCTCAAAACTAACTATCTCTCTTATTCTAATTACAAACATGACGCCATCGACATTGCTGATCCTAGTAGTATGCAGAACGCGAGTTATATGAACTTCGTAATAGACCTCGCTCACCGTAGAGTCTCTGTGGCTCAGTGGTAGAGCATCGAAGCGCGGAACCCGAAGGTCTGAGGTTCAATTCCTCATGGGGACTCAGAATTTTTCTTTCTCCCACGCTCGTGACAAGACGAAAAACATCTTTCTCTGTTAACAGTATACTTCGCTCAATAAAATATACAGCAATTTTTCAAAAGTGTTGACTGTACATATCTCTTTTGCTGCTTTGATAAACAATTGGTGGATACAAACTTATTTAAGACTCAAAAATATAAAAATCGAGAACTACACTTTTGTAGACTTGCTTAGCTTTACATTTTTTCTGGAAAAAACGGTCTGGTTAACAAATAGATTCCAAGTTGCTGTGGCTGCGCCTCGTGTGCCACTTTTTTGTTCTTACCACATTTTGACGTCCTCTGTGATCTACTACTAACCAGACGCACGGCAACTTGGAATCTATTTGTTTTATATAATAAAGAATTAAAATATACGGAAAAAAAAGTTTTAAAGATGACGTCATCAATACGTCTGTCCTCCAATAGATCACCAATAAGAATGCGTGCATAACTGAGCTTATTATATAAATTGCAATATTCAAGTGAAAAGCAAACCAACTGTGATTAACGCCTTGAACAACCGGAAGGCAAGATACTATTTTTTGGTCACACAACAAGTTACAAAACGTAAATATCATTCTTCTTGATGCCTTTCCCGATGCCTTCCCCGAGCCCTCCGTTGGTTAATAAAGCAGAAAAAAATGTTGTTACAGTCAAACGGTCTGTCTCTATATGAAGTATTAAGTTGTTTCACCGCTGACCACCCATATTTCGAACTATTTTTAATTTCCCAGTTCGTCTTCCGTGATGTAGTAATTCCCTTTGCAGCCACTAGCCTGAAGACGAAGGCATCATTAGGCTACGGAAATCTCACACATCGCAAATTTTAAAATAACTTGGGTATCCAAGCTGAGAAAGTGCAAGTTCTGTTCACAGTATAGAAACAAATGGAAGAAGAGACAATGTCAAAACTCCCAGTAAAGCGTGTACACAGAGCAATCGAAGCTGACTCCATTCACTTGGCCTTAGCGATGTGGATGGAAATGTTCCCTGATGACACTGAGGAACAGTGTTCAACGGCAAATGGTAGGGAACAGTCGACGACAGCTGGTACAGGAACTTCCGCAACAACGCAACTATTCCGTAAGGTTGGCTGTGTTCTGGTGGAAGGCAATGGCCGCCTTCTTGCGATTGATCGCAGCCGTGACGGTGTTCATGGATTGGCCAGTTTGTTAGTGAAACATCACGACAGAGCTAAGGATTGCAGTGTCTTTATTTCAAGAAAACCTTGTACCTACTGTTCTAAACTCTCCTTGAAGGCGGGCGTGAGGAAAGTGTCTTATCCGCCGGTCGAACCCGAATATTACGAGGCAAGGAAGGAAGAGAAGCGGATCGAGGCTCTCTTTGATGCCGCCCAAATCGTTCAAAATGTTTTTTTCCCCCAGTTAAAGAAGGAATTAGTAACCGCGGTCGAAGAAGAGTTATCAGCTAAAGCAACATCTTTCAATTATGTTCGTGAGTTTGTTGAAAAGGTTTCTAATAGATTTTGGAATGACGAATACGCGAAGGGTGTCATCGAGGGCCCCTTCCATCAAGCAAAACACGATCTCGAAAACCTTTCGAAATGGTTTGCTCAAATTTATCTTCCTTTGAAACATTCCAAGTTTGCACTGGCTGCCAAGCACATAGCGATTCCTTCGGAGAGAGCAACAAGCGCGTTTGATCCAGAAAATGATTTACACCAACGACGAATTGCAAATCACTTGCTTGCTTTGGGAAGGATGACCGTCCAGTACACCGTGGAACCGAAAACAGGGGTCGGCTGTGTCATCATGAAGGACAATGATATAGTAGCAGTTGGCTGGAATGATTTTCCCCTTAAATCAATCGAGGAAAGTTTTCATTATGCAACCGATCAAGAAAGAGACGGAAAATATCCTTTCTTCATTCACGCAGAGCAAAACGCTCTTCTCGCGCGTAACGCAAAAGATGTCACGGGGACTGTCATTTTTGTCACGAAAATTCCTTGTCACGAATGCACCCCTCTAGTGAAGGTTGCTGGGATAGGAACAGTAGTGTTGTCAACACCACTTAAACCAGTTCAGGAAAAGTACAGCCTGAATTACGACACTTTTCGAGAGGAGGTAGAGAGAGGAACCTTTATATGCTATGAAATATCTACAGAAAACGTATCATAGAACCACTGACAAATACGAGATACTTGCTAAGTAACTTACTTCAGGACATGCGGAAGGATACAGCAGATGACAGTGACTTCAGATACAAATCTTTGTGTATGTTACTACTATGCGTAACGGTATCACCAGTTTTGACAATGTATAACACGTTTTTAATCACATAACACTCTAGACATATGATGTATTGTAACAATTCCTGCACACCATTAAAAAAGACATTTCAGCAGTAAACAGTGAACACATTCCAACCCAATCTTTGGCAAATTTCATCTTTTAAAAAGCAAAGAATAAATATAATTGTATATATTTCATGGCCTTCTTAAAGACCCCAGATTCTGAAACTAAGTGAGGTAATTGTATTTGAGGCACATATGTTTGTTAGCTAATACTCAGGTCTCCGGTCGGTCTCTCTGAGTTGGCCAGTAGGTCGCTAATATGTTTTTGATTCTCCTCAAGTTCTTCGAGCCTTTCCCTTACTGTAATTATATCACGATGCTGTCGATCCTAGAACAAATCAGAGAATTAATGTCACTTTACATACATTACTATAAAGCTGCCAGTTCGACTTTGATTTGAGTCCAGTTCGATTTCGAACCTCAATCGCAATAAAGATCATAACCACCAGCAAGCCAAAGTAGTGCACGTTAGATCATTCATATATGATAAATAAACTGTCTCGACAATCACACAAGCAAGCCAAAGTAGTGCACGGTAGATCATTCATATATGATAAATAAACTGTCTCGACAGTCACACTTAGATTCTCCTTTTCAAAAGAATTAAAAACAGTATCACGGAACAAAAGAAACACATCGCTGATGAAAATCAAGTGAATGGAATTCTTTTTAGGGAGGCGGTGTGGCCGAGTGGTTAGGGTGCTGGTAATCTGGTGGGCCCGGGTTCAAGTCCTCCACCCTACTATTTACTGGATTTGTTCTTGGTTGTCCCAAATTTAACTCGTCGGCTGCGCTGTGTAAATAGCCAACTGGTCTGCCTCACACCATTTGGGATTTTCAAGTACTTTATGTTTATTTCAGTGATTGTAAAGCGCTATTGGATGGCGATAAAAATAGCGTTATATATATAACGTACTTCTGTATTTTATTTTTGCGGAAGGACGACTTCATTGTTACACTCGATAGACTATTACACTAATAAACTGCATTTCGATGGAGTGTCATTTAACCAAAACCAAAGAAATTCCAAGGTCAATTATAAGAAAGAAAAATACCGTTAGGAGCCACTGAGAACTCTAAGTTCAAGCAAACTGCCTCGAGCGCGAGAAAACGCCGGCGACCAAGTCGTAGTTGGTTTTAGTTTTGCGTCTGATTGGTTGAGAGATTGGCGCAAGTTTTCAAGACTACTCTCTGAGCAGTGTAAATTTGTTTCGAAACTCAATTGAAAATTGTTCTAATATGAGGCGAGAACTCAAGTTTACCTGGTCCAGAGTCGAATTAAATGGCACTGGTGAGCTTGAGTTGGGAATAAACGCTACTCCTACACCCTGACTACCGTCCAGAACGCTCTTGAAACGATGCTGTTTTTTCCTAAACTGTTTCGGTGAAAAAAAAAAGATTATAAATAAATAAACAATAGAAGTACTGTTTGTTTCAATTACTAGCACAAAATCTCAAACTACGCAAGAAACTAATGACAACTGGGAAACGCCCGTGTTATGAAATAACTCACGCATGCACTGTTGAATACTGAGTAAACTTGTTCCTTAAGCTCTCTCTTGATTTTCTGAGGAAAAGTTTCTCTTTTCTTTGTTCTGTATCGCAGTTTTACCAAAGAACAAAATGATTAACGAAAAAGCCTATGCAGTAAAAAAGCTAAATATTAGCAAACCTTCTCAAACTGTCTCTTCATCTTCTCATTCTCAAGCTCCAAGTGTCTCCTGTAAAAAGTAATGATCATTACCATAATCTGCTCATGCAAGCAAATAATTATAAGCCCCCACTTGCACTTCGTGATCCTTCCCGCGCTCTCGATTCAAGCTTTCTCGCTACAATACACCTACAAAAAGCAACACGGCTATGGAAAGACTATTGTGCACACTACATACTAAGCTTATGGGTTTAACTATAATTGTAAAAATTAAAAGTTCATTTTAAAACTGACAAAAATTAGCCATTAATTCAACTGCTTACTTGACTGAGTCTTTCTCTAGTTTCAGTTGTTCCTCACGAGCTTCTAAGACTTGCATTCTATCCCTAAGATCACTGATTTCTTCTTTGTGTTTCTTAGATTTCTGTTAAAAGAGCAAACCTTGATAAGTGAAAAAACTCAGTTGTCAGATATGTCAAAAAGTGCTATACACCGCATGTCGCTTGTTAGCACCCCGCAAAATATCTGAGGTCTCACAGTCAACAAAGTAAATGAGTCCCATCCATATTTGGTGGGGCCTTGCTTGGAGGGTACACTTGGAATCAGTACAATATAAACCATGGGGCTTATGAAGTGCGAGATTCCTTAGCTTGTGGTATATCACCTACAAAAATGGAGCGATAGCGGCGAAATAGGTAAAACAATTTAATGAAAATAACGAACCAACAAAAAACAGAACAACGCAAAAGAAAAGTAGAAAAAAAAAACCAAAACAAAAGCAAAGGAAAGTAAAATGTAAGAAAGAAAGTAGTTTTCAACTTGCTTTTAAAAGTTGCCAAACTTGTTCAATTTCAAATGTCAGGCCTGAGCTTATTAAAACATAAAGGACCTTAATAATGAAATGACAAACTGAAGCCTTATGTTGGTCTTGCACTTGGGGACATCAAACAGAAGCGAACATTTTTCCCTCCGAAATTATTTCTAGATACAGTTTCGTGCAACATGATATTTTCCTTTCAAAAACAGAACTCCTTTTAAAGATTTTTATCATTCCGCAATCGATCGGGGCATGCATTTGTTGCCTAAGTTACTTCCTCTAAGATGCGTGCCGCGAATTATTCTGCGTCCGCGAAGATTTTAGTTGTTCCAGAGGAACAGCTAAAAATAGGACAGAGGGGTGAAAAATTCACAGAACATAGACAAGGCAGATAATTGAGAAACACTTAATATCCGCAGAAGAGGATCACAAGACACATAACGATCCATCTGATTATATATTAGCCACACCTTCTTGTACTCTTTTTCCAGTTTTCTTGACTTCTCCTCCTTTCCTTTTAGTGTTTTCTCTAAGTCAGTGATTTGTTTTACCAATTCATTCTTTTCATCCTTCCACTGTTGTCTGAAAAACAGAAATCATAACTACAATAGTAAGTGCGGTGGCTATAATTATAACTACACAATTGCATCACGTTGGCAGGTAAAACCTTCCCTGGCGAAGATAGATTTGATGGCGTTGAAAAAAATCAGTGATTACCTATTTTGTTCAAGATTGCCCCGACTTTCCTCCTGTTGCCTCTGTTGATCTGTTCTTGCAATACCTGAGACAGAGAAACGTTCCTTCTTAATACCCAAGGTTTACAGTTAGTTGTGTAACTGTGCGGTGCATGGAAGGGTAGGTGCCATGCAACACAAGAGTTTTAGAACTATCAGAACTGAAAAACTACAGAGCGTTTTTTCGATTCGGTGTCATAAACTCAAAATCAGTTATCACAACGGAAGAAGACGTACAATACACGGAGGCGACGAAAAGCCAAAGTAAACACACGCGAACCGTCGAAAGTGGAGGATAACTGGAGGAGTGGGGCTGGGGGGGAGAGAGGGGGGTTAGGGTGCTGGTAATCTGGTAATCTGGTAATCTGGTGGGCCTGGGCTCAAGTCCTCCACCCTACCATTTACTGGATTTGTTCTAGGTTGCCCCAAGTATAGCTCCTCGGCTGCGCTGTCGGGGGGGGGGGGGGGAGGGGAAACAACAAAGAGTAAAGTATTGCAACTCCAGAAAACTTTCCACATTTAATTGAAAATTGCTATCAACTCATCATTGTTTCTTACTTAGTTCGTCATTGAGTAACTCTAGTGATGTTTTGAGCCTGTCATTTGCTGCTAAAAGCTGCTGTTCGTTGCTCAAGAGACTGAAATAAGAAAGAAAAACCTGTTATACAGAAACTTCCAAATGGATAGCATTATCTTCATGAGTTAAAAATGTTATGGACGTTCTGCATCATCACTAAGTCCAGTCCATCAATCTAATTTCCATCGTGAAGACGACTCAATCCCCACATCCCCCCCCCAAGTCTTTCTTTTTCACTTCATCCTTATTCCGTAACTATCAACAGGGTAAAGCTACCTGCTTGATTTATGAGGCAAAATAGGTATCAATGTTATATAATCATCACTTCAGAGAAGTGGAGTGGTGACGGACGAAATATATGCATGCCCCTTTCTTAGCTAGACTTACTGTAAGGATTCGACTTCCAACCAGTTTGCACCCTCTTTTCAATTACTAACAACCTCACCTTTGACACTGGTTTTGAAGCTGCTGCTGTTTTTGCTTCAAATCCTGGGTTCGAGATTTTTCCTACAAAGCAAAAACTTTGTGAGGTTTATTTGGCTTTTTTTAAAAATGAAATATAAACTAGCCTCACTTCTTTTGCTTTACTAAAATATGATTTATTCTCCTATCTTATACGACATGGCCACCAACCTTGTCAAGTTCATCCGCTGTGTTTCGCATTTCTTGAAGTTGATTCCTCAGCTGATTGCATTCCTTTTCTGCCACGTTCTTAAAAGTAAAGAAAAATTAAAAAATGAGTTTATGATTAAAACTGACCACACGTTCGGTAATATGGATCACTGCTTAAAACCTAATCTAGCACTGTACTTTAACACTACAGGTAAATAACTTTTCTTAAACACGATTTGATTTTAAAAGTAACTCAACGTACGTTTTCATGATGACGCCTTTATAAAATGCATAGGTGAGCCCGGTCCGGTAGGGTAGTAAGTGCGAATGAAGGAAGTGTTTATAGAGGAGAGGCCACTCTCCCTTGGCCCCCTCCCCCTTCCCCTCACCCCCTCCCCTCCTTTTGCCATGACATTTCCGCTTATTAGGAGTACAAACCTTAAACTCTGTGGCTGATCTGACTTGATCTTCAAGTTTCTCAATTTGAATTCGATGTGCCCCATCAGTATCCGCCCTTGCTCTGCAAATAGATAAAAACTGTCAACAGATTATGCCAACGCACCCTACCACGTGCATAGAGGGGGGAGGGGGGCCGGGTTGGTTGCTTCACAGGTTTATGGACAGGCAAATTACTAGGGATACCGGGGAACCCTCATTGGCTAAAAAAACTTTGGTTCAAATCCCGCTGTGTTTCTAGTTAGACATTTTGGTTGTAGATGGCATCGTTACTCGAATGGCCTTGATCGGTTACGTTAATGTTTGGTTGGGTTAGTTATTCAGTTTTGGCTTCACGAAAAAGTTCGAAAAAATTGTCCTGATTCACAGAACCCGACTGCTTCGCAATTCAGTTGGTGAAGTTTTAGCGCTAATTTCTTTAACACCAGCCATGAGAAAGAAGAACCTTCTAGGTAAAATCTACTTAGCAAAGACGAAAACAGAAAAAAAACAATATATATATATATATAAAGTCTTTGTTATGAAATACAATTATACCATAAAAAACGTTAAAGTAATTCGAATCGGATTTAAATAGCGCGGAGAGGGAAATTCGTAAACCCCAAATAAATCTCCTCTGTACATACACCTGTACCTCACATGAGGTACGTAGCGATGTCATTCTGATAGAGCAGCGTTAGTAGGAAATCTTTGCATACCTTTCCATCTGTCCTACACTGGCTTCCAACTACAGAGAGAGAGAAAAAAAAATTACTTTTGACAGCTCAACTTATAACTTTTCCTTTCTCCTCATTACTCCTAACGTCGGCATGGATGGTTTGATGACGATCAGATGTAAAAGTTGACCTTAATTGGTGCGTTAAAACTTGTGTTTAATAGCTAACATTAAGCGAAAGCAAACATCAAGAAATAGAGTGCAATTGCAACGAAGCTGTACGTTAAAGAATCAAAGACAACACCACCTTGAGGGATGACAAATTCACAGCAATTACTTCGATGAGCAGTAGTTCATGTGAGCATTTTGGGGCTTTAACCTTTTCTGACCGAATAATCTCTGGAACAGCTCATGAACGTGTCTGAAATCTTTCACTATTTTCAGTGTACCCTTCAAAAACTAACCTGAAGTTTAGCTTGTTCTAACTGAGTTATTTTCTCCCATTCCACTTCTCTTGCTGATTGCACTCGTTTACTCAGTTCATGTTCCTGATAATAGAGGATAAAGTTTAACGATGTTCAATGTAGAGGAAACAAGTACAATCTCCTTTGGGCGAATTGGGGACGGTAAAAGCATCAGCCAGATATATTCTTTGTCGGGCAATACTGCTGACTTATCAACAATTCTCCATTACCAAAATGATTTTAATGTTCCCGATGCGTTACAAGGAAAATGAGTTTTGGCCCATGTCTGGGTGTCACTGGTTTGTTCCGAAATGGTCTCATAATATTGTAAATGAAAGAATTAACAGCTCTAAATACCTTCTCGTCAATGGTTTTCTTGAGGTGTTCCACTGTCCTTTCCAATACTTGTACTTTATTGTTATAATTGTCTAATTCTGCTTTTAATGCATCACATTCTCGTTCTAGATCCCCTTTGTTCTTCATTAAGCTGAAATTCAAAATGCAATGAGACATCATGTAGACTCGAATAAAGCAGATTCCAAAGCATCAGTTCAAAATAATGAACACTCCTCTAATTTTCTATCCAAATATGGTAAAATGTAAATCTACCACCACAAACCTGATTTTCAAATTGCTCAGCTCAACTTTGTGTTTGTGTGACATTTCTTCCATTTGGCTGGGAATCAAACAGTAGTACTTTGAAAATCAGTTTTCGCATAATTGAAATCCCAAAGAAGAACAATATACTGTCAAATACCTTTCCTATATGAGTAATTTCGAGACAAAAAATAACAGTAAATAAAAATTTTACGCAATTTATGTAGACCCCTAGTGTGACAAATTCCAGGTTCGCAGCACAACCAAACACAACTCAGAATCAATAGAATCAATCCAACAATTATTCAAACTACATACAGTAAAAAACTCGCGTAAATGAACCTAGAATTTAAGAACCTGCTAGGCTAAAATTGCCTAGGTAAGCACCCCTCTTAAAAGAACCATTCTAAGCTAAAATCTCGGTGCAGGTTCATATTTTTAGAAAGCAGACTTTTGTTCGAATTTGATACACTACATCGCATGCGATACAAAAATGTAACGAAGCCCAGCCAGAACACCGGCAAAGTTATAATACCACCATACTGTACCATTAATATATCCATAGCTGTGCAACATATCCGATTGTTTGTGTGCAAGATGTGTAAAGCATGGCATAAAGCGCAGTATCACACCCACCGATACAAGTTGTTTTTCTTTTCAAACAAAAACTTTAGAACGCGATTAATTACCTAGGTAGCCTGAATGCAAAGTTATTAAACTTGATCCTGACCTTTTTTGTGACATGGCCTCTTTTTCCAGTCTGTTTATTTCTGTTGTCATCTCCTCCTACAACCAAAACAAAACAATGCAAAATCAAGACAGTGTCGCAATGATAAAATAGTAAAGTCAAATTAAAAATCGACTTGGAGAGATATCAGACAAATCTTCTGAAAGGGCAAAATTTTTACCACAAACCCATTTCCCCAAAATAGGATGGTCATAAATGAACATAAAACTACATGACTGTACAAAAACTGTTTCACTGATCAGATGCTCTCATCATCTTTGAAGGGGTTTATACCCTAATAAAACAAGTAATGGGCTGGAATACAAAATTGAACAAAAAGATCTTGTGTATGGAGAATAGTTATGTTTTAATAATTGCTCATTTCAAAGACAACCAAGGCCTTAACTTACACGAAAGATGAGTGCAAAGCTCAAGACCTAGGGTATTGAATGAGGTGATCAAGGTCTGTGCAGCATTAAATCAGTACATGTATAAGTTTAAACTTCAAAAATGTATTATCACCAAATTTAAATTTTGTTGACTGCCTCTGGGTCATATGCACACTAATCATCTCCCCCCACCCCTGTGTAATAAACAGGGTAATAATATATGATTTCACCATATATAGTATGTATGTATGAAAGTTCAAACCTGTGTTTCATTGTTTTTCTGATATTCTGCCTGTAAAGTTTCACATTGGAGCTTTAAAGAATCTCGTTCAGTCTGATAAGATACAATAAAACAACAAGAATTACTAGGTATTCCATTAATTTTGCAACATGCAAGCTCCTAGTGCGCTGTAAAGGTTACATCATGATATTAAAATACCACAATCATCATAATAAAAGACTCATACCTCAAGTGATTTACACTTTGCGGTCATTTCTGTCAGTTGTCGCGCTTGCAATCTGGATACCTGGGATATCAAAAAATAAAATTATTCCCTTTATTTTAAATAAATGAATTGCATATAACATAAAAAGATATCATACAAGACCCCTTCATAGTAAACCCTGCTGAAACATACAGCTGTAATGCTCCCAAGAACTCTTGTTCCAGACCTGCGTGTGTGGTTTAGTTGGACAGTGGTTTACTTTTGAAGCGTACATGAAAGTGAGGCTATCAGGTCAAGCTTCCCTGAATATTACTAGAGTTGTGAAGTTAATTATAAGCATGAGCATCAAAAATGTAAAATCATTTTCAAACTCAGCACTTTTATCTGCTGCAAAAAACAATCCTCATGGCTTACCAGCCAATTAGTCTAATAAACTTTTATTATGACTGCATTTCACTCACATGGTCAGACTGTAAACCAGATGTTTCCCGCTGAGCTCTGATTTCATCCAGTTCACTTAAGAGGCCTTTGATCTTCATGTGAAGCTGCAGAATATATATAAACAAGTTTAATATGGACAATCTTACCAATGAGATTAGTTGATATAATTACTCTCAGATAAAGCAATTGTGCAGAATGCAAAGCACACCTGAGCATTTTCTCTTTGTAAAGCCCTTGTTCTTTGGGCATCATTTGGACCTTCTTGTTGCAATCTCTGTACAAGTGAATCTCTCTCCTTCTTAAGTGATGCAATCTTAGAAGCAAGTATTCCATGAAAAACAAAGTTAACATTAATTCCAATTATCCTCTTCATAAATAACAAAAGTCCACCATCTAAAGTTGTGGGCTAAATAGCAAAAAAAGTTTGACAAGGTGAGAGGCTGAGGGTGACCTTGTTGTGATATACATTAAGTTATGCTGTTGTGAAAAATTACAGTTCTTCTCTTTTCAGTAACAAGGTCAACCTCTACCAACATCCTAATACAAAGGGCTTGAAAAATGATACAGGCACACAACTGTAAACTGTACTTGTAGACTTAATATCAGGTACAAATAACTGTGCATTTCACAGGCTCAAAGTAATAGAAAAAACTTTATCAAACATATTTATGCTACATATATGGTACATATACATGTATACTGAACTATGTCATAAGGTGTGATGTAACTTAATCATAGTCTTACTGACTACATGTATATCCTTTCAAAAATTCAAAAATAAGTATTGATTATCAATTATTGTGACATTAAAAGATCATCCTTATCATCACTGGTTACAGCTGAATGTAAAACTTTTTATGAGGGCAATGAAGTCTCTTGAAAAGAACTGCTACATAAACTTACAAATAACTTTTTGATAACAATTATTTTACCTCCATATCATGGTGGGCTTGCATTTCATCGATAATTTGTTTGTGTTGGGCCTGAGAATCAGTTAAAAGAGAATGAAGAGACCATAAATTGAATATTTATTTGACACATTGCAAAAATAAAACTAGCACTAAAAGTGATATTCAGTATGTACACACTATAAGTGTGCTTCATTACATGCATCTCAATTTTTGAACCATAAATCAATAAATTTGAGGAGTTAACTACAAAAAGATCTAACCTGTTCATGTTCATACTCAGACTTCAAGAAGGAGTAATCATATCGCAACTTGTTGAAGTCACTGTTAGTACAAAAATAACAATTAGTATTCTTCATATATATAAATGCTATAATTTGTTCATAATCATAATTACATACTTTTTTGGCAATCATTATAATGATGTTTCTTTCAATTATCACACTCTGCATTTCACTGAAAATAATTTTCATCCAGGAAAAATCAGTTTAATTATTATAATAATGCAATTAACAATTGGTTCATGCTGTGATACATCAGCTTCCATTCAAGGATGTATGCAGCAGAGTTGCTAGAGTCACAGCCAAAAGCAACTTCATTCAGTTTTATACAGCTGTTTTGTAACAGTGTACTTGTATCATGGAGGAATCATGTGGCATGCAAAACTAACCTTCTGTATTTATCCATCTCACTTTCCATTGCTTCATATCTCTAAAAAATTAAGGAAAATATAAACCAAATTTTTAAACACTCAGAACTTCAGCCTGAAGAGTTAATTTTGTACCTTCAAGGAAATAAGTAGGATGTTTAGTAACTCTCGTAAGTAAGTAACTAACTTTAAAGGCTTTCAACCCATTTACAGCACATGTATATTCTGGAGCTGTTGAATATGGTACATGTGTTCATCAAATACAATTCCATATAAACAATTTATTTACCTCTTTGTAAGGCCCTTCTACCTCTTCTCGTAACTTAACCCTCAACAGCTCCATTCTTTGAGGTGTTACAACCTGCAAACAATAATAATAATTGTACAGTTTTTGCATTATTGACCTGATATAAAGTCGATATAACCATAAACAGTGTAATTATGATGGGCTAGTTCTTTTATTGCAGGAAACTTGCAGTGGCTATAATAGCTCTCACTGCCTATTTAGGATGTATTAGTAACTATGTTGCTGGAGAAACAGCTACAAATCTTTTCCTCATAACATCATCAAGTTGACTAGAAATTACAAAGATTAGAAACAGCTAAAAGCGTCCATATAATTACAGGTATATGTACTTTGTCATTTCCCAGAATCAAAGCAATCAATTAATTTCTAAACTAACAGTTTTACCCCCAGGTAATTTAGTGTTAACAACTGGGTTGAAAACGTAAATTAGCCACCGTAAAGAGTAAAAAAGCTGACGTTTCGAGCGTTAGCCCTTCGTCAGAGCGATTAGTTTTACCCCCACACTTATATTAGTTTTACCCCCACACTTATATTAGTTTTACCCCCACACTTATATGAGGGCGGCATTTAACCAGATTCCAGTTTGATCAAGAAAATGCAGTAATGTTAATAGTTTATCATGGGTGACCTGTGCTCTTATCTCTTCACATTCGCGTATCTTAGCATCTCTTTCTGCTCTCATTCTTTGCACAGCTTCTTGGCTTTGTTCCTGGGTTTTCTTAATCTCTTCTCTGGCCTCTTCAAGTTCTCGCTCTTTCCTTTCATCCATCTATAAAACAAACGCATTACTCATGAGTGTTGTTAATTTCACACCTATCACAAAATGTATTTTAACTTAATTTTTCTACATCTATTTGCATTGGATGGTACTGTGACTGCAAGAAATCTCTCCTACAAAAACTCACATCTTGCAGCTGAAGGTGTTCAGCCTTCAAAGTCTCATAGGTGGTCCGCAATTTCTCAATTCTTATCTTTTGCTCTGTGACAACTGCTTCAAGGTTTCCCATTTTCTCCAGTTTTTGAAGAATTTCAGTCTGCTGACCTGCCATGATGATTTCTAAACAAACAATAATTGAAATAAGATGTAAAATTTGTCCATAAACATAGGAGTCATGCCCTTTGGATTTAGTAATAAAAAAATTCAATTGGGTTCTATCCATCTGATGATGGCTTACCCCACTCATTATCTAATTGTAATACAGAGTGAGAAAAGTTAATTATCCTGACATTTTGTGATTTGAACAAAATAGAAAATGAGCCTGTCTCGTTGTTAAGTTTTGATTGATAAGTAGATTTATACTAAAATAATTAGATTTGCTCACAGTTCTTGTGGGAGAGTTCAATTTAGGCTCCACTCTCATGAACAGTCATGCAATTTAGTAATCTCAAACTGATAATCTAATTGTGGATAAGTTCTTTGGGGCCAGTCTCAAGTTTGACTCTAAAAGGAACTTGAGACTGCTAGACTGCACTGGAAATGTATTATATGTGGACAAGAAGCCTAAGTTGAAAAAGAGTTTTATATCACTATCTCATGGTTTTCTAGAGGTTAAAAAGTTGGCTGAAAACTGGAGCTAATGTTTTTATTTCTAAACCTTGTTTTACTAGCCAGCCACAATATATCAGTTGTACCAATATAGTAAGTAATTGTGAGTTCAACAATTAAATAAAACAATGAGCAAATCTTCCTCATCCCTATATCAACCCTTGGGATTGAAACATCAGCAGATAAGCAGTATTTTTTTTTTTTTTGTTATCAATTCATTTGTTGTTATGACTTGTTTGTAAGTGGTATCACTGAACTTGTATCGGTAGAAATGTCTTTTAATAAAACCAATCGTAACTCTTCAGGTAGATATATCAAAGTCAAATGCCTGAATGTATGAATACAGGCCTTGGTACTTCAAAAACTAGTCAACCACGCTGGTGACAAGACGAAAGACATCTTTCTCTGGTTAACTTTTAGTGACGAACTAATTCTACAAAATTTCAGAAGGTAAAGGAGAGGTTTTAAGTTAAAGTTACAAACAACCAAACAAAAATTAATGTCCATTAAAACGTTACGCTAGCTGATAATTCCTGTCAAACAACTCTATTTTTTGCGTCACGTTTCATAATGGGTTCCATATAAGTTTCAAACGCTCTCTTTCTAAACAAAGACCACCAGTTCTGCATTGACACTTTAACAGCTCTGGCTTGAAAACAAAGCATTCAAGTACTTGCTAACATAAAATAAATTCACCAAAACATTGTTGTTGACTTAGCGGGCTGAAGTAAAGTGATCTCTTAGGCACGACTGCGATGGAACTTAGCAACATTCAAGCTGTTAAAGATGTTTTCTACTATTCTGCTGTAAGGTAAGTCTCACAGAAGGTTAAGTTAACTTAAATAACTATCGTCCTATTAAAGTAATCTGTGGTAAATCTAGCGCCTTGTTTGAGCAAAACACTCCTAATTAAGTGGAGTTCATTACCAACAAATGCACATTAGAGCTTTGTACGAGCCATGAAGATATCAACTTACCTCGGTTACTTTAATGCTGCCTTTGTCCCGTTATTGCAATGTTTTGTGGTCTCAAAAACTTAAAATCATTCTTGTAACTATAGAAATTTAACGATTTTCCACTATTTACAGAAATACAAAAGAAAACTGCCACAGAATTACAATTAAAGGCGTCCGTCGCAACCACCCGCCATCTTAAATTAATGACGTCACGAGGCCTTTGTGTGGCTAACCACTGACACCTTGCTGAATCTGCGATGACGTCTGCGAAGGTGGCACAGTAATCGGCGCAAAAAGGTGACCCTTTCGTATATCAAATACCGATATAAAATCAACACTAAGGAAAGCCGAAAACTATGTGAATTGTACGCTTGTCGAGAGGTTATTTTACATATCCTAACGCCTGTTTAGAGGGTTTCGATGGGGTTAACCCGGCGTTAGCCGTAAAACGGTCAAACAAAATAATAATTAGCCGCATGGAAAGATATCTGTTAGCCGGAAATTGGCCGAAATTTTAACCGTTGGCCGCAAAAGCCATCACCCATTGATACACTCTGTTTAAATGTTGCTTGATAAGAACGTTCACCGTCTCTTACAATAAAGTTTTCCGTAAGCCTGATAGATAGCCCCTTCCCACCCTCTTACGCCTTAAGCATCATCAGGAGCCCAACATCTGGCATTATCAAAGCTCTCACATCCTGCATTTTGGTAGTCATTCATAAAAAAAAAAAAAAATTTTCCCCTCAATTTATTGTATTCAGAATTAATGACGGGTATCGCTCTTCATTTACAAACACACATCGCAAAGGATTTTCTAACGTTTTACTAACATTTAATGCACACAGGTCATTCAAAATCTTTTATATTTGAAATATAAACGCAACATGAATTTTGAGCCTCTTTTGCGTTGTAAAATACTTTCAAACTATAACCTTTTTAGCAATATAAAAGGTGAAGAGAAATATACATATACCAGGCCTCAGCTGGCGAGTAACTTGACAACAAAATGGAAAATCGCTAAGAAACAGAAGTTATTACAATCTAGTAACCTTAGGGGAAGACTATGGAACCTATCGTTATCTTCTTGTAGTTATGCAAAGAAAGATTTACGTGATTTTCCAAAGTCTCCTTGTACTATTTGGCGACGAATAAACCCTCCCCCCTCCGTTTCCCCTGGAAACCATGGGATCCCCCAAAAATTCTCCTCGCCTGACTCAGACGAGAAATAATGATTTGTCCCCAACGAGAGGGAAAATTAATCTTAATACTGCATTGTGATTCTAGTACAGCATTTAAGAACGTTGCTTTTTTCAGTACTTTAACGCAACATATCATAAATGGAAAGAATTTAAGAACTACGAAATCGAGCAAATGTGAATGAATGAGTGGCCCGTAATCGGATCCTTGTGTTTGCGCAAAGATCTCTTGGATCGTCACGGGGCAAGCATTGCAAGTACATACATAAATACAACTGAAAAGACTAAAGTGATTTATTTCCTCGCGACTTATGGCTAATTCTGTGATATGTCGAGACCATTACGCGATGACGATTTCAAAATAGCCCTCACGCTAGGAGAGATGTTTATAGGTATATTTTATAACATATTTCGTGGTAATTCTAATAGAAACTTACAATTCCCTCGTATCAACATTATCTTAAACCATTTATGATAAAAACGCGACGAAAAAATGATTAATCTCTCCAAAATCGTTTTTTTAGACGACGAAACAACCTTTCGCCATATATTTCCCTCGAGCAACTTGCCATGTTTGCCCCAAGGCGATCTCACAAAATTTTGCGTAAACGAAGGATCCGGTTACAGGCAACTTATTCAACTGTAACAAAGATTTTACATAATTACGTGAACCTATTCGACAAACTTCATTAAAAGGAGACTGTAGCGCGTAAAACTCATCAGAAACTCATGGCCGCACACTCATAAATCAAGCAACAAAGGAAGTGTCCTCGAAGACCGGTAACGATATATTAATTGCTTAATTCATAATTAAATATTTATAATGCTGCCTGTGAAGTCCGTGTATAATTTGAAAACTGAACTGATTCGTAAATCATTCTGTGCCAAATTTTATGATATCCAGATCGCCTTCCGGTCAAGATTACATTTAAGGTAAGCAGCGCATTATCCTAATCTTATCTGAATTGTTTTGATATTCCTAATCATATCAGTGTCTCTCTAGTAAGATCTCTTTATCTTCGCTGAAAATATAAAGAAGGCAGTTTGAACTTATCTCCCCTTTTGGATTAAAAAAATGATCTGGACACATCAAATGCTTTTAATCCCTTCAAAAGTATAGATATATCGCTCAATAATACTTTGTTTTTTTTCGAAAATGAGACGATGCTGTGGAAATGATCCGCTTCCCTTGCATAATTCCTGATCAAGAAGTCATTGAGCAAGGATCTTGACAGGATTAGAGTCGGTTTACACTTTACAATTTGGGAATGGCCTGCGTAAAGAAACCTTTTTTAACGAAGCAGTCGAACTTTACTCAAAAGTTTGTTAATTTGAAGATCTTTATTACGTCTGACGTAAACTCATCCATCTTAAATCTATCGAAACGTTGAGCTTTCATTTAAAGTTGATGTTTTTCTTACGTAAGTCTCTCTTAATCGCTGGGAATTTTCAGATAATTACGGTCAGTTACAGTAAAAAGTCATATGCTCATTAAACGGTTACGTTGACTGAGCAAAGAACGAGACATTTTCGGAAAGCTTATGACTCTATTGAAGGGGTACATCTGTTTTAGTTTCGATCAGTGATTAACGGGTTTAAAGTGCAAATGTTGAACAGTATAGTTGAACTTTTTCGAATGTTTGTTAATCACAGATCATTATTGGGTGTTCTTGCTAATTTGGAAGAGGGTCTCACGGCAAACGGTTAAAATTTTGGCCATTTTATGGCAAACGGTTACAGTCATTCCATTGCTATCAACACAAAACATTTTTTATGGTTACTTTCTTTATGACTATCGGTTCAGTTAAAACTTGTCATTTAGCCAACGGCTAAATGTTTTGGTCATTTTGTGGCTATCGGTTAACCCAATAGAGACTCTCTTATAAATAACATCATGATCTTGTCAATGGCGCCATGGCGAAATTTTGTTTAAAGTTAATGCCTTTTGTTTGATATGTCACTCTCCCTTGATCGTTGGAAATCGTGTGGCAATTATGGTCAGTTACATGTGCAAAAAGAAGTCAATTGCTCATATCAACTGTTGATTAATTGATAAACGGGGCATTTTCCGCAGGCACGCGGCTTTCTTAATGAGGGACATCTTTGTTAGTCTCGATGATTTACGGGTTGAAAGTCCACGTGGTGTCCATAAGCCAAAATTGGAATAAAATATGTACAGTTGACAATTTTTAACAATAGGAGCTTAAGGCTGATTTTATTCATAGAGATAAAAAATCATAGTTATCCTCATTGATCACACTTAGAGTTGTAGTGAGGCGAAAAATATGATCAGAAGAGGTATCTTGGTGCTTTTTGGACTTAGATAAGAATTGTTTCTGTAATATATGGCACCTTACAGCAAAGCTGACACAGACGCAGTCAATTCAATAGAATCGCGTTCAGAAAAGTTTAGCCGATATGTAAGTATAACTTTGGTTCGTTGAGAAGGTTTTGTATCGTTTTCGTCTTCCCTTTTTTCGTTTTTGTTTGTTTTTTTGTTTGTTTCCTTTTTTCGGTTCAAACTAGCATGTACTGATTTAAAGCGTTACCATGGTGATAGTTAGTTTTTCATAAAAATTCCGCGCGCCAATGTTTCGACTTGTGAACAAAAAGTTGCTTATCTTTTTGTCGCGTTTGAATGAAATTAATGGAGGTTGTGGAAAGATAGAACCAGACATCACTAGATAAATTTTCTTAATGTGCTGACAATTATGATTTTCAAAATTTTCTGTGCTGTTGTTAAAGGCCACTCGTAAAATAATCTTCGAAAGTTGGTTAATATGCGATTTATTCGAATATAGTTTTCTTTCCTTCTCAGCGCCTTTGTTTACTTTTTCTCAGAGATATTTACAACCGTATATTAACATTTAGGCAGCATTTTTACCCTAATCCCACAAAGCAGTTTAATGTGCAAAGCAACATCGTTTGGAACGTAGTCAATTGCAGAGTGTGTCCGCTATTACGCTGTTTCCAGTCGGGGAGTTTTGTTTCAGTGGCTGAAACAAGTGCATTAAGTCTTTAATCGTTGCTTCCCCCGTACTTGTATTACAGTCTTAATTATTAAAATATTTAGTTAACCAGTCGTTTCTTATATACGGTCGTTTCGTACCCAGTCGATATGTGCCCAGATAGGACCATTCGTACCCAGTCCGTTGAGTCGTTTCTTACCAATATTATTAGTAAGGTATGTTTACCATGTTAAGTATGTTTAAAGTAAGGTCAGTTTCTTCAGTATCTAAAATCGCAATATTACCTGCGTTAAATTAATTAAAAGAAGTTTTGCTTATGTTCATTTTTGATTCGCGACCACCGAATCCAACACCTGGAACCAAAAGTATGCGGTCTGGGACTCATAAGACAGACGCAAAGAATAACTCTACCAGATACACATACATATTAATTTTCCATCGTACATGAACTATCCTTGCAACCTGTTTTGTTATCAAAGTCTCAATTTTTAGAAATAATAAAGCTGAATCGAATGACATTCTTTTGTTTTCTATCGGGAAGACTAGCAGATATATTTCTTCTCCGTTAAATACCAACAGGAAAAAAAGGCACACCTACCTTACCTGAGGCTCTAATTAGCTACTCTCGTTAAGAAAGTCACAAGCATAAAATATAGACAGTCCTATCAAAAAAATCACGCTTACCTTACTCTAGGCAATAATTTAGTTGTTTCTTTAATTTTAATGGTATCTTCCTTTTTTGACTCTACCAACTTGTCGTACGCAACAATCAACATCTCTTCACGCGCCCGCGCGTGAGGTATTTTGAATGAATGTATACTAAGACGGATACGAATCGACCAGCGGTTCGGGTACAAACCGACTCAAACTGGGTACGAATCGTCTGAATTTGGGTACGAAATGACCGAAGGTATGAAAACTTTCCATACCTTTCAATCTGCACAATCTCCTTGAAATAGATCAGCGCTAACGCTAATTCAATCGAGAAGAAATCAGAACAGCTCACTAAGGCTTCTGAGACTTCCCGCTCAGGATTATATTAATTGCGTTGCAGTATGTAGTGTTGTTATAATGATGAACTTGTGCAAATAAATAAATAAATAAAAACAAAAAAAAAAAAACAGCTCACTAACTTTGAACAATTTACGGCCCTGTTTTTAATATCATGCGAGTGGTCTTTTTCCTTTCCTTTTTTTTACGTTGTAAACACTTACCTTATGTTGGTGTTAGAACGGAATATTTTTCCCATTTTTCTAACCTTTTTCCTTTGTTATCCGGTTTTGCTTTGAGAAATTTTGATACAACAGAAGTCCGGATCATTAACCGTTCCTTCTAGAAATGGACGCACATCGATATCAATTCTGGCATTATCTGGACAACATATTCAAAAAAAACATATCCGCATTGCAGTGGTTCTGATCTGACATGGATTTGGTTTACAAAATTCTAAGTAAGACGGATGCAATTGAAATCTTAACATCCTTTTTGCCACGAAATCTAGATCATGAGATAACTGACCACAACCAAGCAAATTGTTATAGCAGCTGTGTACAAGGGGCATGTCCCAAATGAATCCCCGATGCACGAATACATGCAAGCCCTCAGCAAAAACCTCTTTCAATATTCAGCCTGACAACTTTTCTTGGGGGAAGAATTATATTTATTGGATGTAACTGCTGTTATCAGCATTTTCACTTTATGATCTATTAGCATATATCATCAGAACAATTGACTAATTACCGTGTTAGCACACGTTCGCTCGCTCCGAGGAAATTCTATTCTATAATTAACTCATATTTATTTTAACACTTCGTCGCTTTTAAAAAATGCTTTCACGAAACTCTTCTTAGTATACTCAAAGCCTTCTTCACCTTATTTCTATCAAGCAATAATTATTATTTGACATTCGCAACGAACGGGGAAAAATTTAATTCGAAATCTGTCTCTTAAAATTTCGGAACTGTCTTTCCCTTCGTCAATTGGGGAGGCGTGCGTCAGTGCTTAAAACAAAAAAAATCACTATAGAATTACTACCGTGCAGATTGAAGTCAAATAGAAGAATTGGTCCACTTTGAATTGAAACTACCAGTTTGATGAAGTTCACAGTATTAAAAAGTCTGGTTTAACACAAATTTTCATTCTGAATTTCGAATTAAAACCCGAGTTGTTTACTGTTTAAAGACGGAATTGGTATTCATGACCGGCAGGTGTGTTTGTTTTAAGCACCCATACCGTCCATTAGTATGTATTATAAAATCGTAGATGGTAAATTATCAGCCGTTCGCACTGAAGTCGTATGAAAGACACAGGTAAGTTTTAAAATATTTCTTGTTGTGGTTTTCCTTTCAACGCACCTAATGGTAATATACTCTATTATTTTCAATGAGACAAAATTTGGTAATGGTTGTTAGGAAGACATGCATATTATGTGTTTTTAAAGCTAGTGCGTTATTTGCAGTTAAAGAGTATAGTGCGATCTGTGAAGAAAAATCGAAAAGAAAAGACAAAAACAGACAAAAGCAGAAAAGAATGTAAGAATTTAACAATCGATCTTAAATGCGATCTTAAATAAATCCTTGGAGCTTTACAGGAAACAAGGAAAATATTCATTTTTGAACGGTTTCCGCTCTTTTGTATTCGTATGGGAAATTAAAAAAATTTCCTTTAAAGGAAGTTTAACTTTTTCCCCCAGATTAAGCGATGGTTTGTTTTAAAGGAAAGGAAACCGAGTTCAAATTTAGAATTATCCTGGTCAATGTTTCCTTTTGTACGCGCTCTTATTGAGAAAAATAGTTGAAGTTAAGTCCCAGCGAGGTTAACCATAAAATGGTTTCTATTTAAATTTGGGTATGGTTTCCCACGTAAATTTCAATAGATAAGTTGGCATTTCGATTACTATTAAAGATGAGCTTTTCCTTTGAAATTTTAACTGATTTTCAATAAAATTATGCCATTCTGTGACATTTCCATTTTCATTTAAGACTTTTCATTTCGATCCATCCTGACCATGGTGAATGGCACAATCCTTAATTCCTTTGTTTTCTATCCTAAATTTGGTTAAAATTCCTTCTTTATTGCCCTTTGAGCCTGAAGAAATCGTGAGGCCTACAGGAAGGGGTTGAAAATTAGCGAGAGTTGAGAATGCTAACATTCGTGTGCTTCGTTTTCAGAAGAGGTACGAGATTTCTAACCAAGGACGTTAAAACACACAACAGTTTTAAATGGCTTACAACATCTGGTTAATCCTTGGTGTTGCCTTAGCAAACTGCGGCTATTTACGGGCGAAATTCTATGAAAAGGGTAAGAAAAATTTCATTAGTTGATCAGGCACCTGTAAGTAGCGAACATGGTCATTCTGAGTGTCCGTCGGGGTTTAGTCTGCAACTCACGCTTGCAACGCGCGCTCATGCCCGCTAACTGCGAAAGACTTTGAAATGGGTTATTGAACGAATCGGGGTTTGAAGTACGAGTAACAATACTGGATGAAAATTTGATATGGTCAGTTAATGCAGGGCGGACCCTTGCTTTTAGCAGCTATTTTGGAGAAAAGAGCGAGGGAAAGATTTTAGCAACTGATTCATGGACATAGTATTCAGAAAAAGTCCTTTTTCTCACAATAATCTTGCTCAAATGTACGATCTTTCCCTCCATTACCTTTCGTTATCTCTACCAAGAAAACTTCAGCGCATTTAGCAGGACGCTTTTGTCTCACAAACCTGGCGTTCATCGGAGGAATTTTCTTACTTAGTTGGTTGAACATTTGACTACTTAGTCGGACCTGGCTGAGGTTGAAATCCTTGCAAAGTCTTTAAATTTTTCTTTTCTCCCTCTCTGGAGACAAATGTCTACCATTTTCCCATTGATTCAAGCATAATTTATCGGTCGTGGAATGTCAGTAGAACACAAAACAATCATGTTTTATTCTTTTCATTGCTGACTCTTGTACCCTACTCTTTCACCTTTACACCTGCTAATCCCGTTGTTGTGGTCTGCAAAGTGTAAAGTGATTCATATGACGATTGAAAGAAAATAACACAAACAAACCTTTCAACCAGACTGCTTGAGGAAGATTTATAGCGAAGAGCTTCCGAGAGATAAGCTTTGTTTCATTGACAGTTTTTGAACTGAGTAGCTGCTTCCTTTCATAAAATGCGCGACACTTTGAGTTTCAAGTGTTTGCGATACTAAGAGAAATAACAATAACAAATGCAAAATTAAAGTGCTGCAAAATAAGCCATCTTCATAATACACGTACTAAGGAAAGTATTGAAATATCAGTAAAGATAATTGGATAACACGGGTGCATTTATTAGTACAGAGTTTTGGATACAAAAAATTTTTGTAGTTGTTTTTGAGAGATTAAGAAAAAAGAAAAATCCTTCACTTCCGAAACTAGAGGCGGAATTCTGGTCAAAATCAACAACGCACATCGCATATGAGTTAAAGTAGCTGAGTGCTTGTCTTGGCGCGTCCGCTCAACTCACAGGAAATGTCAGAGCTCTTTTGACAGCTACCTAAGTCGAAGATGGTAGCTGTCAAAAGACAGCGGGAAAAGGCAGCTTTTCGTGTCTTTTCCCGCGTTTTATGGCAAAATTTTAATCATGATAATATATATTCTTTGTTTTGGGCCCCTGCGTAGCATGTAGGTTGGGTTCATGCGGAAATCAAAAGGCGCCGCTTCGTTAACAGCTGTTGTCCTCGAAAATTGCATTTGTTTTCTTTGCGGTAACATAGATGGTGAAATATACATGTAAGATGTAGTTTGCGAATTAGTATGGATACCGATTACAATCATGTATAAACGAATAGCGACTGAAGTTACCGTCTGGCTTTTTTTTACTTTTGGGTAAGCAGTTAGGGATAGCTTCTCCTTGCTGGTAGTCCACACAGCTGTCCGCGTGGGGTAAGGTGCATGACTTGTAATGTGGAGGTTCAAATTCTTCGCTCAGACTCTCAATAGGGTTTTGTTTCTCTAGTTACAACTTCAGCTCCTTCTTTGCACCTTGCATAAGGCCAGTTTTCTTTTTTTCATTTTTTTGATTTACTACACGCTTTATTTACTTAGTTTAGTAAATTCTCTTCAAAGATAACCTGTACTTTAGTATTTATTGTAAAATATTAAGCAGTTCAGCCTTTTGCAATATGATATTTCAATAAACTGTCTATCTATTTATCTATCTATCTACCTGTCTATTTATCTACGTCATATGTTCGTGTATTTACAGTGTCCGCAATTAGCATAAAGGTGCAACAGACATCGACAGTTGAATTAATGTTCTGTTTTTCTAATTTTAGGTGAGGGTGATCGAATTTATCTCCGTATCGATGGAAACATCACACTTGGAGGTCTCTTTCCAGTCCATCGCCGTAGTAGTACGACAGAGAACGCTTGTGGGGACATAGACCTACTTCCTGGATACCAGTACCTCGCTTCCATGCTGTATGCTCTTGAAGAAATAAACGAGAGTCAGGACATTCTTCCAGGAATTAAGCTCGGGGCGAAAATATACGACACTTGCCGAAGTCAGACGATTGGTTCCCAAGGCGCAAAAGAAATAATCAAGTACACGCTTCGTGAAAAAAATAGCATTGCACCGCTAGCAGGTGTCGTCGGACCATTCCGAAGTGACGTGTCTGTAGCTGTTGCAAATTTGCTTCGTGTCTTTAACATCCCTCAGGTCAGCTACGGCTCAACTACCCCAGTTCTAAGCAATAAAGATCTCTACGGTTACTTTTTACGCACTGTCCCGTCAAATTCGTATCAGGGCAAAGCAATGGTGGATGTTGTTCGTCACTTTGGATGGAGTTACGTCATGACCGTGTATTCCCCGGGGGAGTATGGAGAGAGAGGCATGGTCAAATTCTATGAAGAGGCAGAACGTGCGGGGATTTGTATTGCAAACAAGAAAAAACTTCCTTCTTTCCCGACGGAGGGAGATTTTGACAAAACCATTCAAGAACTCCTTGAAATTAGGAAGAAGAATTTCCGCGGAAAACTAGATGCTGTTGTTCTGTTTTGTATTCAGCGAGATAATAAAGGCTTAGTCCGTGCAGCACAAAAAGTGTTGAAAAATGGAGACAGATTTTATTGGCTTGCAAGCAATGCGTGGGGAGATCGAAAACAAGTAACAGACGGAGCAGAAGAAGCAGGTGAGGGAGCCATCACTATGAATTATATTGAAGGCGAAGTTGACTCCTTCAAGAAAAAGTTTTTGAACATGAAACCGTCCCTGAACAAGTACGGTCCATGGTTTGAAGAATTTTACCAAGAAACATTGAAGTGTAAGCTCAAAAATGCCTCAAAACCTAATTACAAACGGGAATGTTCAGCAAATGAATCTCTTCCTAATGACATGGAGATCGGGCCTGTCCGTGTTGTGATAAATGCTATGTATGCTATGGCGCATGCACTCAACAACATGCATTTGACACTGTGCTCTGGACAGCATGGTCTATGCAACAACATGAAGAATCTGAAACGGGAACAATTCTTGACCTTTTTAAAGAATGTGTCTTTTCCAGATGCGTCACTTGGTTTTAACGTGACTTTCAACCAAAACGGAGATGTAGATGGAAATTATAACGTGCTGAATTTCAAAAAAGTGGATGGACGATATAGGCACTTTATCGTTGGAAACTGGAGCGGCGCATTAAATGGGGATGGAAAAATCCAAGGAAAAATCAGATTAGATGACGACAAGATTGTGTGGGGTGGAGGAAAAAAAATCACTCCATTATCTTATTGTAGCAAAACGTGTCCGGCCAAGCAGATAACAATTCCAGAAATTACCAACGCTCGGTGCTGTTGGCGATGCGAGGGCTGCAGTTCGAATGATATCATTATAAATAACACATGCTCACTTTGTGGAGAAGGAAAGATACCAGACACCAACAGGACAAAATGCTTCAAACTGCCAGTTGTCTCCCCGACTTGGAGTGACACTCCTGCGCAAGTTTTAACCGGATTCATATCTGCTGGAATTATTGCCAGCATTGCCACTGCTGTGATTTTCATCTTGGAAAGGAAACACCGCATTGTAAAAGCCTCTGGAAGAGAGCTTAGCGCAATTCTATTCATGGGAGTCTTTTCGTGTTATATTGCCGCGTTATTGCATTTTGTGAAACCGCAGACCACAATCTGTGGCGCCAAACGCTTTACTGACAGTGTTTCAATGACAGCATGCTACGCGCCTGTCTTATTACGAACAAACCGCATTTATCGCATATTCAAGGCTGCCCAGAAGTCAGTTCGGCGACCGACGATGGTAAGCCCACTGTCACAAACATTTGTAGCCCTTGGTATTATCGCTTCTCAGTGTCTAATAACAATGATATGGGTTTTATCAAAACCTCCCCTGGCTGTGGAATATTACGGCTATAAAGACCGCGTAATTCTAGAGTGCAGCACGGACGACTTCAGTTTGGCAATAAACTTGTGTTTCAATGTCATTTTAATGTTTATCTCGACCGTGTATGCGTTTCGAACCCGGAATTTTCCAAGAAATTTTAACGAAGCTAAGTATATCGGCGTGACGATGTACATATCATGTTCTGTGTGGATAGTGTTCCTTCCTTGTTACCTAAATGCGGCTGACAGCATTTGGAAATCTTACTTTTTGTGTAGTTCACTGTTTCTCATTGGAACAATAACTCTGTTAGGACTTCTCGTGCCAAAAGTTTTTCTTGTTTATTTTGGCACCACAGTTGAACCGTGTGGGGATGCTACACTTACAGGGACAATGGATGATAAGAGCAGAAGCGAACATCGTAGGGATACTATGACCATGGTGTCCTAATTATGAATACCTTAATTATAGTCGTTTATAAGCCAAGTCCCCAAGCTTCCAAGTTAACCAACACAACTTAGAAAACGAAAAAAGAACTCGGCTATAAGCCTTTTGTCTCAATCAATGGCGACCGAGCGAAGATCAGCAAAGTTATAAATTAGTTATTCAAAATGTGCAATGTAATGTGTTGGCGAAGAAATTTGTGAGCAAAACTTTAATTCATGCTTGATGGCAGAGTAATAAGCCCGATTTGAAGACCATGATTATTTTAGGTGATTTCTTAGTATTGTGCATAAAAATCACGTGATCTTTCGGATGAGCGCGTGCGCATTCCGAGAGCACGATATTGTTTTTCAATCAATGGACCAGATGAAGAGATGCGATTGCTCTTTTTATTGTATAATTTTGGTGTACAAATTATCCCCTTAGAATCTGAGAAATTAGAAAAAAATCATCGAAAGGAAAAAAAAGATACAACTGAAAACATGCGCGAAGCCGGTATCTTGAAAGCAACGAATCGCGGAACGTTTTGTGTCGATGTCGTTTAAATTTGCGTGATTTTTACAAATTGTTCCATATGCTCGAGGTTTTTCTATCTTTCAAATTTCTTTCAAGTGTTTCTTTTAAGACCCTTGCTTTCAGTTAGCGCAAATTGTACCGTGAACCAATGGAATGACACGCATGATTAGTGCCAGTACAGGCATAAATGGGGTAAGTTTGGTCCATTATATCTCCTAAACAAGCACGGTGACCTGTCTTTTTTACTGTATTTTCGAAACAGACATTGATAGGGAACATTTGAGGGAAGTTAAAAATTTTTTTCGATAACTGTTCTGAGGAATCACCTTAAAAGTAATTTATCGTCAATTTACATGAAGTACTCAAACTATCGTTTGAGGTAAAACTGAAAATATATATTCTTGTCTTCTTCCTAGGTTTAAAATGTGTAAAACAGTGAAATTAAACATGAGAAAGAGAATTTAACAATCTCTTGACCGGAGTCAATTTTCTGATCAGCAGTCGAGCTTCTTTTTCAAGAGGGACGTAATACACGGAAACTCTTGTGCCTAGTCTGTCTTCGGATAAATTTTCGCCGATTTATCGCTTGAAACTTAAATCAAATATAATGAATTATAAACAAATATTTATTTCGTAAGCTCTAACAAACGACAGGGCATGAGAAAGAAGGCAAAAGATGCTCACAGGTACATAGAGCAATAAAAGTGAAAGGTCAGACTCGATGACTCTACACAGACGATCTCAGAAGTAATTTTCTATCAACAGTCGATCGTGGCCATTCAACGATTAAACTTTCGATTGTTATGAGAGTCACCAGTGAGTCTTGGTAAGATCTTGGGATTAAAGTTCAATCAATTTTGGAATTTACTACTCGTGGCCATACCAAGATTGGACTTTCGATTGTTATGAGAGTCGCTACTGAGTCTTGGCAAGATCTTGGGATTAAAGTTCAATCAATTTTGGAATTTACTACTCGTGGCCATACCAAGATTGGACTTTCGATTGTTATGAGAGTCGCTACTGAGTCTTGGCAAGATCTTGGGATCAAAGTTCAATCAATTTTGGAATTTACTACTCGTGGCTACTCCACGATTGGACTCTCGATTGTTATGAGAGTCGCTAAAGTCTTTGTAGAATCTTGGGATTAAAGCTTAATCAATTTCGAAATTTACTGCTCTCTTGTCCTTTAATGTTGACGCTTCTGCTTTCTGCCTTTTTGGATTAACTTTATTTGGCAGGTGAAAACTAGCAATATTTTACAGTTAAACCAAAAGATTAGGATGGAGCCATGAACATTTAATTTTATTTGGGGTATCAGAATTATTCTTCCATCTTTTTCAATGCTCTAATCTTTTCACTCCCAAGATCTTGCTAATAGTTCTCCTTATTGTCTGCCATACAATTCTTATGATACGTATTCGGAGAATTTGGTATTGGATCAACAAATAATTCTCTATGTGATATTTTGATTGATATTGTTCTTCTCATCGCCTGTCCGCTTGATATGGTATTAGTCTCCTTTCTTGGTCACCCATGGGAATAAAAGGGTTGACCCCTAATTGGAGTGACTAGCATCTAATTTCTCACCACTGAATGACACATCAATGTCATGAGAATAAAGGAAATAATCACCAGTAAATTCTCCTCGTCAGCACCTCAATAAATTTACAGAGAACAGTATGGAGAATATGAACACTGATGTTAGGCGTAAAGGGTTCACGCATGCGTGCAAGGAGCAGAAACTAATTCAACCTTAAAAGTTCTTCCCAAACCTGTAGGGAAGCTCTTTGCTACATAAACGAATATGCAATGAATAAAAGTAACACGCATTTTCAATTTCTCTTTTACAAAACATTTTCTGCAAAACAAGCTGTCAAAGAGAAATGTATTCAAAAGAATTAATCGCAATATCAAAAGTTCTTGCTGTGCTTGAAAAAGCCAATTCAAAATAAAGATTTTAAAAAATTTCCCGCCGAGTATTAGGGACCTTACTTTTAGGTTGTTAAACCAATTGGAAGTACTGGTTAAAAGACAGAATTATCATCAAGCAAGAATTTTCCGTATATGTATTTTTAACTTATTCAAGTGTTGGAAAATTAATTTAAATAGTATATGAGCACAAACCACTCAGTACAAATATATTATAAGCTAGATGATCATTTCCTATTTCTTTTGCGGTCTTACTTTGTAATTAGAGTAATTTATTCTAAATTTTTAATTTAACACTTTCAACATCCCTCTTTTGAAGGCGACCAAAGTTGTAAACTACTTGTACTTTTCATCCTCCGCACTTAGTTTGTTATCAGTTAACTCAAATGAACAGCAGGTAGCTCTTTTGGGGGCGGTACCTTGAATACACCCTTTCTTCTTCGAATTCTCTGTTTATTCTGTTGTTATGTAACAGTCTACAGAGGTTATTTTGCTCTTTAGACATCTTTTTGAAAGTAATTCTAATTTCGTCAATGGTCTATAATTTTTGTATTTCCAACCTCGTTTCTGTTTCGCCCCATCTTAACCTCAAGAGTATGAAATTTTTGGTAGAAAGTCGTTTTAAAAGGGTCAACATCCCGAGGGTACATACTTGGTATGCGGGATCTGTTTCACGTAACTTAACATGATTCGCTAGTTAAGTGAGAAATAATGACGATCGTCAAGGATTGACGGCCTGATAACCGTCGTCTTTATAAGCTGGTGACTAACACTGTCCTAGGGAACCGAGCTAGACCCCGAGTAGAGGAAAAGGAAGTGTCAACTGTTAAAGAGTGTTAGAAATTGACCTAACATACTTCGCCCAAGAAAGAGTGTTTTTATTGTTTGCACGTTGGTAGTAACTACGAAGCGTTTCACTGCACAATGCATTAGTCCGTAAATGGAAACTTGAAAATTGATTTTCACATGCTTACATGTCGTGGAGTGCTTTCTACCTTTTCGGTTTCCAAAGACGTCTTGCTGTGCACACCTGAAATGAGATAAATTAAAAGCTTTTACGACGAGCACAACAGAAATATTGTTGAGGAAAAATCATCTGACATGTCGTGATGGTGCGACAAAGCAGATTTATAAGTGCGTTCGCAATTTCTCTCCTCTGAATCTTTTGAAAATATTGCTCAAGGGAACGAAACGAAACAAGCCGGCTCTCAAATTGAAAAGGTAAGGGCATACTGGATTTTTGGCTGTATTGTTTTGATTCGAGATGTGAAGCTGAAAGAGTTTTAAATATTAATTTTAACAAGAGGCGGAATATTCAAAAGTCAACGGTTTAAAAGAGATGGCAATTTTTTAATGATGCATTTACTTAAGTTCAATTGCTCCGCAGAGTATATTCATTACCTTTGGGTGAGTTAGTTTGGTTTTGATACCGGACACATTTTTGAAAATGGCGAGAACTACACCGCTAGAAAGCTTTTCCGCCAAATCCGAGAAACAGGGGAACTAATTTCAATAGCAACAGACAATGCAATATCCTCAATTTTACCTAATTATTGATACCGTACTCTTGAATTTTTCTCGATTTTGCGGCTGAAACACAGTGACTGTTAGCCTAAATCATTCTAACCAACTTTTCTATTCTTGTTTTGTTTCTAAAGAACAAAAGTATAAAACACCATAAGGCATAGTGCTTAAAATTCTCTTCTTACGCATAAGCCGTAGCTTATTACATATGCCACGCAAAGCTTGTAAAATCAGAAATGTATCGTACACGGTGAGTTCGAATTCGCGTCTTATATAGGCCGCGGATTGTCGTGTTGGTTTTTTTTGTTTAATTTAAAAGTCCAGCCATTTTTTATTTCATTGCGTCTATCGCAACATACATTCTGTACGTAGTCTCTCATAACATTCTCCTGTCTTTTCATAGTCTAGTCCAGTTTTATATTTTCACTTTCCAAAGGTTGAGCAAATTATGTAACAACATGGAAGCCTTCTCAGCTTGGAGGGCATTTTTTCGCGCTGATTTCATAAGTGCTTTATCAGTAACCTCTTAGAAGATTCTCTCACTCCACGTAATCACACTCAGTTTTCCAGCAGAGCGTGGAGATGGAGATAATTCACCTACTCTCATTCACGGATTAATTACACTGCATGAAAAGACCTTCCTAACCCTGAGCTGTTCCAGATTAGCTTAGTCCGTTAGTCAATAATTTAAGCAATAGGCTACACTTTCTATCGGTTTACTGGCGTAATAATCCGCGCAGGGTGTTAGGAGAACACGAAAAAAGTATGTTAATCCCGAGCCGGAGGCGAGTAATTTACAAACTTTCCGATGAAATAACTATGGGTTGACCTGTGCAATAAATGATAGGGTTTTTGACCAATCAGGCTCGTACTATGTCAATTATTTCATAATATTTCCACAACTCATGTGATACGATTCAGCAAATTCCTCATTTTTGGCAATTTCACTCGGCTCGCTAGCATCCATTAGGCATTCTGAAGAAACACTCAGCTAGATTGTTCTACATTATTTGATACTGATACGAAAAATCGACATGAGTTTTCGGTAATTCTGATGATCTTTAGCTAAGAGTAATTTCGTAAAGAGTGATTTTGTTTCATTCCGCATGCGAAGAGCCGCGTTATCACGGTGTAGAAAAACATTTAGAATTTTAAGACGATGTGTTTTCAATCTAGCTAAGGTTACATGTTCTCTAATCTTAACTTACCACTTTATTATCTTCAACCATTTCGCTCGGCGTCGCCGTATGTAATTCGCCAGTAGTTCTTTGTTTAGAAATTATTTTCCCCTGACATTCATCGAAAATGGTGGCATGTACTGACAATTTCAACTTTAAGGTGAGCAATTAATTATAAAATACTATTTTTCCGATCGGGATAATTAAAGTTGAAATCAAAATTCTACAGATCAAATAGCCAGCTGCACTGATCAAACGTCGCAAAATATCAATTAAAACGAGCCGATGTCAAGTTTCAAATTCAAATAAAGGCGGTGTGTGTGAAATCAGTCGAGTTCAGTGTCTTTTTCTGGAAGAAAGTATACAAATTCATGAACTAAAGTTGTTGGGAAACTGAAACGCTTTTGCAAACTGAAGGCCAAATTCTTACAAACAACCTCGAGTAACAAAAGGAATTTTCAGATTATTACACCAGAACTGAGGTAGGTTGATAGGTCTAATAAGTATCTATTTCTTGGTGTGGAAAATATCGCTCGATATCTCGTTCTAGAAAAAATCTCCTATAAGCTTATTTTGGTTCAATGAATAATTTCTCGGGGGTGTTTTAGAATGTGAAGATAACTTTTAACAAAGTGCACTACGTGAATAATTAGCGAAGTCCGCCAGAGAATGACATGGTGTTGTCTGTGATATCCTGCCTTCATTCAAAAATAGCTGAAACGTCTTTTATTATTCAAAGACCAAGCTCAAATTTCAGCACTATCTCTCGTATTTCGAGTTTTTGATGGTTCTCGTAAGTTTCAGTCATATCTAAAGGACCTGTTTTAATTTCACTCGACGGGAACGAGGTAGATATGAGCTGCGTATGCAGTGTTTTCACTGCTTGTCTACTGAAACATCAGTGATATCACCTTGATATCGGGCGGGTCGAGAAAGTGCAACCAGTTATTTTTTTACAAGTCCAAAGACTCGCTGATTAGCACTGTTACGAGAAAAAAAATTTAAATGCTGTTTAGTAATGGAATATGGTTTAACCGGAGATTAAAACTTTCAATATATTTTTTTCAAACTGAACGAGCAACAATTAACCCTAAGCCTAACAAAATAGCTGTTAGAGCTCATTCTAAGGTCTATAATAAATTTCAAATCTGATTACATGTACAAAACTTCCAAATGCGCTAACCTTAGTGCAATTTCATGGAACTCTGCCTCACTTTACTCATGCACCAAACGAAAATCAGAGCTTTTAATTGATGAAAACGAATGAATAACTTTGTTTGTAGATGTCAGAAGTCATTTAGCGCTTATAAACACCGAAAAAAAGCCTTAAAACGGTCGTATTTTATTCCCTCGAAAACAAAATTTATTGGGTCAGATAAAAGTATCACCAGAAAAATTATTGTGACACTTAGAATATTTTTTTTCCTCTAAAACATTTTTTACCTCGTAACCAAAAGTACGGTCCCTGGTCTTCCAAGACTAATCTGATGATTTTTGAAAGTGAATAGAATTCAAAGATTATTGACAAGAAAGTATAATTAGGCGAGAGTCATGAAAAATAATTATGAAATACATACGCACAATATTCAGCTGTTTAAACTGAGTAACAGTAGAGTTTCTCAGGCTGATTAAACAATGATTGATAGGAAATTGGAGACATGTTTGGATGGTATATTGCAAATCTTTATGTACAAACATAACTGTGAAGTTGTTGCTTTATCGAAATATCCTTACATCCTGAGAAAGACTCTTGAAACTGAAAAAGGCACGTACAAGGAAACGTTCATTAACACAACACGTTTGCGCGAGTTTATTTTCTTTTTGCTTAGCTTTGTTTTAGTTACTTTTGAGGGAAGATTTTTTTCCCCTTTTAACATCAGGTTGATATCAGACGCATTCTAAAATCGGAGAGGTATAAGATTTTTCGAACATTTCTATGATGTACCTGACTTTGCATTGACTTCTTGTTAGGGGTAAAGCAAATATACACCACTGTTCTTAAAACTCAGCAAATTTTAAGGAGATTCAGAACAGCCACGATCATCAAATAGAAATCTCAGTTTGTATCGAAGGAAGATCACTAATTCGCATGTAAGCAAAATTATAAAAAAAATTCACAAACGTTATTGGCTATCACTAGCCCGATTGGAGCTGTTGCCTCGCGTTTTGACAGTAGTTTTTTTTTATGAAGACGTATGACCGATATCTAGTTTCTTTCGCAAATTTAGTTTTAATTCATTGATAACAGGACTTATTGTCGTCCAATTCTGTCTATAATCATACTCGTAATTAACAAATCGGAATCTCGCTTCGCGACAGTCCGATTTTGTTAATCACTCGTATGATTACAGACCGAATTGGACTCCAATTGGTCCAAGTACCATTATTCAATTTTATCCTCTACTAACCAAAAAGTGAGTCTTTTTGGAGGTAGGTCAAGTAGTAAGCCTTTTTCAGCGTGCATCATTGGAGATATCCAAGTTATAATCCTTTTGAAAGCCTTTTTTTTATTTTCAGGTTTTGAACCATGCAACTGGTTACCAGGCTCTTCCTCTATTTTTCAGGACTTGCGATACAGTGCTACTGGTCAGTAATTTCAGTCGAACAAGGTAAATCAATGGTCCGTCTTAGTGTAAGTTGTTTGATTGTAGACTAACTTCAAGACAATACAGGGACGCATATTGGCTCTAATAATCAATTTGTAAGAGATAGTTTAATACTGAGGAGATCAAGCTCAGAGTCTATAAATAAAGGCATTTATGGATCCTTAACTCAGTTGCTAGAAGCTCTTTGTGTTCCCGTCCACCGTTTTCCTTAAAATAACCAGAATACGTATTCCAATTGTCCAGATAAAACTCGTATTCAGTACTTAATATAAATGCTTGGTTGTAACTGACGAGTATCTGTTGGCAAAAATATGTTAGTAATACCTTGGAGAAGATCAAGTAAGAGACTGAACCAATTTTCCCGAGGTAGCCCCATCGAGTTTATCACCCTTGTTTTCGGAAATCTTAGTGGGGCCTAGAAATGACCGATCTTATGTGGCAAAGGTTTTTCACGTTGACATTCCGTGCGACTTCTATTAGTTCTTCATCAGAGCAGTTACGGAGAAAAGAGTTCTGTTAGGGACTAGTTCTAGGGATTAGCCGTTTAAAAATTGTATCATGGATTCATTTTGAAAATAGAGAGAACTTTTAGAGAAAGTGATGGGTGATGTAATCGCGTATAAACTAACATATTTTTATCAACCAATCAGAACTTATGCGTTACGAATGACTTAGAATTCGTGCAAAATTGTGGCAATATATTAAGAAAAATGATGTGTGAATTCAGCTGATGTGTTTTTGCTTTGTCATGAGCGTAGGACAAGGAAAAATTCTGAGTCCCTATTGAAAATCGAACCTCAAACCTTAGGATTTCGCGCTCCGATGCTCTCCCGATGAGCCACAATGAACCAACTGACAGCCAAGTTGACCATAGCGCAGTTTTAATCAAATCTAATTATTTTTCACCTTCAGAGACTAAGACTATTGAGCTGAAAGGTGACATAATACTTGGAGGACTTTTCCCAATTCATCGCAGAAGTAAACAAACGGAAAATGCGTGTGGTGACATCGACCCTCAACCAGGATTTCAATACTTAACTGCCATGCTGTTTGCCATTGAGGAAATCAATAACGATCCAAACCTTCTCCCGAACATTAGTCTTGGGGCGAAGATCTACGACACTTGCCGAAGTCAGACGATTGGTGCCGATCGCGCTAAAGACATCATAAAATATACCCTCGTTGACCATGGTCCACCCTTGGCAGGTGTCATCGGTCCTTTTGTCAGTGATGTTTCCATTGCAGTGGCAAATTTACTGCGTGTCTTTAACATCCCCCAGGTCAGTTATGGATCAACCAGCGCGGATTTAAGCAACAAAGAGATTTACAGTTACTTTTTTCGCACCGTACCGCCTGACTCCTTTCAAGCTTACGCCTTGGTGGATGTTCTAAAGAGACAAAACTGGGATTACATATTCACTGTCAACTCTTATGGAAATTACGGGCAGAAAGGGATGGCTGAATTAGAAAAAGCTGCCGAAGCAGCAGGGATTTGTGTTGCGCATTCCACCCAACTCCCAATTCTACCCGACCATGATGCCTTTAAAAAGGTGATTAACAACTTCCTCAGGAAAAGGAAGGAAAACTCCAATACAGTCAATAGTGTTGTGTTATTTACCACTCAGGCCGACTCGGCTGACTTGCTTCGCGCTGCTAAAGAGGCTGGAGCGAAACAGTTTACCTGGGTAGGGAGCAATGGTTGGAGCAATCGTGTTGACGTAACAGAAGGAAGGGAAGAGGAGGCTGATGGCTCTTTAACTGTTAATCACCTCGAGGGAAAAGTCCATCGATTCGACAGACACTTCAAGAATTTAGCACTGGGTGACAACAAGTTTAATCCCTGGTTTGAAGAGTTTTGGGAAGCAGTTATGAAGTGCAACATTCCAGGTAAGAGAGAAAACAATCCACAGATGTCTAGAAGTTGTGGAAACGTAGAAAGGCTTCCTGCTGACATGGAAATGGCGCCCGTTCGAGTGGTTATCAATGCGGTTTACGCCATGGCGCATGCTTTGCATAATCTGCAACAGGTCTACTGTCCAGGGGTGGTAGGGCTGTGTCAAAACATGACCAGAAACTTTCGAAGAGAGAAATTTCTTGATTTCTTAAGAAATGTGAGTTTCTCAGACTCGGCATTAAACTTTACCGTTCGTTTCAATCAGAATCAAGAAATAGACGGAGTTTATGACATTAAAAACTTTCATAGAGGGACTGATGGTAAGTGGAAGTACTCTAATGTTGGTAATTGGCAAGGAAGGCTTATAGCGAGGAAACAAGTCCAAGGAATACTGAAATTAAACGAATCGCTTATAGACTGGGGAAGAGACAAATCTCATCCTCCGAGTTCCTTTTGTAGCAAGCCTTGCAATGATTCCCAAATTCGCAAACCGAGAAGTCGAGCTCCTGAGTGCTGCTGGGACTGTATTGATTGTAAACCCAATGAAATTATCAAAAATGAAACCTGTAAATCATGCCCACTTGGCTACTCATCCATCAACAGCTTGTCCGTTTGCACAAAAATACCAGTTTTGTACCCAGAGTGGTCAAGTGCGCCCGCGATATCCGTTGTCATCTTCGTTGTCATAGGAGTGCTTTGTGAAATTGGGACAGCGGTTCAGTACATCAAACACAGAAGTCACCCTTATATCAAAGCTGCTGGGAGGGAATTAAGTGCCATCGTGTTCATGGGAATCATACTCTGTTACATAACACCGCTCACTTTCCTGGGCAAACCGACAGACACGATATGCAGCGCGCGACGTTTTCTGGGAAGTATATGTTTCACAACGTGCTATGCTCCCGTGCTTATGAAAACAATTCGTATTTACCGCATCTTCAAAAGCGCCAAAAGCTCAGTAACCCGGCCTTCACTCACCCGCCCAGGTTCCCAGGTCCTCATCTCCATGGGGCTGATAGCAGTACAGCTGTTGCTAACCACTCTGTGGCACTTCTCAGAAGTCCCCGAGGCTGAAGAGGTGTATCCCTCTGAGGGGACTGTCATCTTGCATTGTGCAGTGAACGAATATACCTTGGTAGTCAATATTTGCTACAACTCTCTTCTTATGCTCCTGTGCACTATATTTGCGTTTAAAACGAGAAATTTCCCCAGAAATTTCAACGAAGCCAAGTACATTGGCATCAGCATGTATTTAACGTGTTCTGTGTGGATAGTCTTCTTTCCAAGTTACCTTAATACGTCCAGTCCTTACGTAAGAGTTTATTTAACATCCGGGACCCTCATTGCGATCGGATCCATAACACTGTGTGGACTTTTGGTTCCCAAAGTTGTTATACTCTTCTTTACAAATGGGAAAAACCCTAGTGTTGCTGAATATAGCACCACAGTTACAACGAATAACACAACCAACCGCAAGCTAAGCAGTAACCCGTGTGCGGGCGCTCAGTTGCCAAGGAGTATTTCTTTTGAGATGGATACAGCGGTAAACAAAGACGTTTCATCTCGGTTCCTCACAGTTAAATAAACTGCAACAAGCACATCCAATTTACCTAAAATGGCCATGTCAGCAATTTTGTAACGTGTTTGTTCATTGTCTGACCAATAAAATGTCGTTGCAAGAGGCCTCTTAGTTAATCTCGCATGTCGAAATGAGGTTGGAACTTTGGCTTCACCGAGAAGAGTCAGGTGCCAGTCGATTTTTTAGTGTTGCATGCCCTGCAGTTACCACCATCGTATTCCCGTAAAAACCTGACAGACGCCGCCTGCAGTTGCTGAACTATATCCAAGATCATTTAGTATTATACGCTGAGTTGATAACATAAATTGACCAGCGTGAAGAGTTTCAAAGCTGACGTTTCGAGCGTAAGCCCTTCGTCAAAATGAATGAAAAGTAAGGGCTAACGCGCGAAACGTCAGCTTTGAAACTCTTTACGGTGGCCAATTAACGTCATCGACTCATTTGATAATACTAAATTACCTTGTTTAACTCTCCCGCCGACGCAGCATCACAGTTTCTTTAGAAACTTGCCCCCCATATCCAGCATAATTTATCATGAAGGGACCAGTAAAGAAGACTGCTATTCCCCTCGGATGTGGTATTAGTCCACTGTTGGTTACTTTTTAATGCTTCGTGAGTTCCCGGTGACAGTTCACTTGTGCTCACTTATTGAACAAGGAAATATAGGTGCAGAGTGTCCAAGAGCAAATGTCACAATGGTTATCATCATCTCAGACAGGAGGCTGGCGAGCATGGGTTTTAATAAAAACCGCTTACCAGTGGTCTACAGCCGCCTATAAGACCTATTACCGCTGCCTATTCAGCCTACTCGCAAGCTCTCGTGTCTCCCATTCCACCATCGGCAGCCGCTTATGGAAAATGTGTTGAAAACCTCTATCAGTAAAGGCTTAAACAAATTCATTGTTTGACAACGGGAAACCGTCACATGGGCACTAAGTTTTCCATCATGTTTCTTATCACATTAAAACAACAAAAGCATTCTCAGCATTTTCAGGCCTTAATTCCTCATTTTTATTGTATTCTTTCATAGCTATTTCATTAATTACGCTAAAATGTTTTTGCCACTCGACTTTCTCAATCGGAGATAGAGTGGATACACGATGATATACAGTCATTTGGTAAAACCTCAAAAAAATCTTAAATTACAAATTTCTCCAAAATCAGAGTTAACCTTGACCCTTTAACTCCCATGATCTGATTGTTAATTCTCCCCTCTAGTTTCTTTTACATTTCTCTGTAAATTAGTTACAAGAATTTGGTGTTAGATCAAGAGAAACAATTTCTACCTGATAAGTCTGAGTATTCCTATTACCTTTTCGATTGATTACGTATGGATATTTGAAGGAAGAAGTTCCATGCGAACCACTTCCGGGAGTCAGAGGGTTATAAAAGCGACTCACAAGTGTAGAGATCTCTCTTCAGATTGAAACACAAGACACAAAGAACACCAATCTGTTCTGGAAATCCTCACCAGCAACTACGTAACCACCCTTTCTTTGCTAATCTTAAGAAAATTACATTTGACTGTGTGCTGTTTCAGCCGAGAAAATACGACTTCATGGTTGAAAGCAATAGACAGTCTATGACTTGGGGTTTATTTTATACCGGGAATCAAACAAATATCTTAGGTATAAACACTTCCAGACTGTCATTCCTCCGATAATACGAGTTAGGTCGATTAAAATGCTTCTCCATGTCCTAACTGGATCCTTTTTTTCCATATAAAAAAAATTCAATACATTCAGCATCTGGTTGCAATGTTGGTTTTGGTACATACCTGTATTTCGTCGAGCGTTTGCCTTTACAATTTCATACTTTGAACCTTGAATACAATGGCAAAAATCCTACTGATTCTACATCGTATGACCAAGGTCAGATTACTAATACAAATAAGCGAACAACTTTAAAATGAATACTTGAATGTACAAATGAGTATGACCCTTCACGTTTATGCTTTCAAAAATGCCACAAATCAAAACAACTAGAAGAACTAAAAATTGCAAGAGTATCGAGTTAGTAAAGGAGCGAACTTTGTTAATCAGCTCTCTCTGTGATTTTTTGTGACTGCTCCTCATCCTCTGCTTTGCGCAGCTTGTTCTCTTTCTCAAGTAAAACGATAATATCTTTGATTTGATCCGGAGTAAGATCCACATCTTCCAGGGACAACAGTTCAGCAACCTGCACAAAGAACATGACAGCACGCCGGTTACTTGGATAAAAAATCAAAGTAAAGTTCACGCACAGGAAAAGTATCAAAAACCAGAGAAACTTTTCGCTTAGAGGGTCTAGACCTACCACAATACCGAATGGGCCACAGCTAAAACTAGGAGTGAGTTTTAAAAAGTTAAAAACTTTTTGTCTGATACCATAAAAAAGATTTGAATCAAATTAAATTCAAGACGTCTAGAAGAGGACGTGACCAACTTGTCTCTTTATGAAAACGGGCCAAAGAACTCTGCCCAGCCAACGCATTTTATGGTAAGCTAGTTATATGTCTCCACATTTTGTCACTTGCCATTTATTCATCCTTTACCCGCAGCTCACAGTTTTCCTCGAGCCTCGGCCTTATAAAAATCTTTGCTAACCAGAACAGATTTTGATCGCAACCAATTTCCGAGCATAATCTCGCGCCAAACGACCTAGCGAAAGAGAGGTTGGCAAGATGGGTTCTTTCTTTGATCAATACTTTATTCAAGACTAGCACCTTAACAGTCATCGTTATAACTCCAATGGTGTAAAAATAAACAAATAAATAAATAAATAAATAAATAAATGAATGAATAAACAACCCACGCAGAACGAAACCTCAAATTATAACCCACATGCTATGACCCTTCACTTATATCTTTCCTGACAGGTGGTTTCGCGCGCGCATTGCGGTTTTGTGTGCGCTAAGCGGTCAGCGGCAAAGTAAAACTATCTTCCGTTCCAAGGCTCTCGCGGCTTCGCTGCTACCCGCTTTAGCGCACACAAATACGCAAATTACGCAGGTTACCGTCACTTCTGGCCAGTCCCTTCTCCTCCCAATTGGTTGTCTATAATCATGTAGACATCTCATTTCAACAATTCTTACTGACCGTGCCCACGTCCACTAAGTCAAGGGCGCCGTCATGATCTTCGTCGAGCATTTCGGCTATTCTCTGACATTTAGCTTCACTTGGAGCGTCCTTCAATCTCTGTACAGCCGAGATCATCTCTTGTAAACTAATTTTCCCATCGCTGAAGAAAAAAAAGGAAAAAAGATTCATGCCACAGTAAATGGAAGAGTTTTTCAACTGCGTGGCTAAAACCAAGAGCCAAGCCAACCATGCAGCCAATCAGAACATAAATTTCACAACGCACTAATAAGTAATTCTTCGAGTGTTCTCATAGAAACTCGAAACTGGAGACTCGATGACAGCGCTTAGCAATGCAGATTTGTTGCAATTTCGGTTGAATCTCGGCGCTCAATTGAAACAATATTTATACTTTTTCCAGCCATTAGCTTTTCCATAATCCAAGTGCAATTAAATCCCCAAACTAGTCGATGAGTTGATAGAGGGAGGTTAGGGACGACTTGAATTATCTATCGCGGGGGGAGGGGTCGGTCAGTGGATTTTTGTTGTGTCACAGTAAATTTACCTGATGTCTCTCTACGGCTTTGCAGTATTCTAGCGATCCCCCCCCTCATTGGCAATCAATTTTCAATACCCTTCCTTTTTTCTTTACATGAACAATTTAGTTGATAAAACCAGACAATTGATGAGTTAGTTGATATTGATTTATATTGATTTATATCGACTGATGGACAGGTCGGTAGATATCTTTGGACAATAATTTTAGTCTGCAGCAAACTCACCCATCAGCATCAAGTGGTTGTTCTATTTCATCTTCAACTTGCTTCAAACGGTCTTCAATCTTTTTAATCATCACATCCACCTTCCTACCGAGCCGTGATGAACCAAGTGATTCTTCAAGTACTCGCTTTTCATCTTCAGTCTCCAGCTCACGGAGTTCCTAAGGAACAGGCAAAACCGGGAAAAAATACACATTTCAATTCATGCTTCAAAAAAGAATTACACTAGGGATGTGTCCCACAACCTGTTCACTTTTATTATTTTGAGCTGAATAGCACACGAAGTTTGAATGGTTTTCCCTTATAATGTACTAGAGAACAGACACATACGTGACGTCAACATTTTGTTCCCTTATAATTTAAAACAAATAGATTCCATGTTGCCGTGCTTCTGTACAGTGATAGATCAAAGATAGCGTCAAAATATGGTAAGAGCATATCAGTTATACACTCGGCTGTGCCTCGTGTGTTACATTTTTGTTCTTACCACAATTTGTCGTCCTCCGTCCTCTGTGATCGTTTACTAAACAGATGCACGGCGACTTAAAAGATGGGCCGACCTGGCTAGTCAATCACCTCACGTGTTCACTGAATTCCTGCGGCGAGGCTACTCTAGTTTCTTAGCAACGTTACAATTGGTTTTGGCAGAAAGTGCGCAAAACAATGATTCGGCCTATGTTTGTAACGGATAGAAAATTGTTCCGGTACAAAATTACGGACTTAAATCAGTCCCAAGTTCAAGTCTCTAGATGAGCTAATTTCTTTAACAAGTCATAAATAAAGGTGGTAAGTTTCTAGAGAAACTATGATGCTGTGTCGGTGGGAGAATATAACAAGGAAATTTAGTATTATTAACTGAGTTTATAACGTCAATTGGTCATCGTAAAGAGTTTCAAAGCTGTCGTTTCGAGCTTTAGCCATTCGTCAGAGCGAATGACGAACGGCTAACGCTCGAAACATCAGCTTTTCAACTCTTTACGGTGGCCAATTTACGTTATCAACTCAGTTGAGAATACCATACTACCCTCTTAAACAACTAAGTCGACTAAAAGATAGTTGAGTGTGTATAATGTACCTCTTGATATTCTTCTCTGTCTTCCTTGATCTTCTCTAATTCCTCTCGTTCATTGGCCCGAGCAAGACTTGCTTTGATAGACAGCCAATCGTCTTGAGAAATATCCTCTTCAGGCATCGGTTTGATTTCTGGCGCCTTGTCCTGTCGATTCACCAAATTCATAAATTAAATGTTTGAGTTTCCTTTGCCTATCTGGTAGCGGCGATTCTAAGTGTTTTAATGCGCAGTTTTTTTAGACTTGGAGTTGACCAGCCCGCCAATCAGGTGAATTTATTATCAATATTCACCAGTGCACCTCCTCTGTTGTTGTTCCACATTTTCCAACAAAATTTTCAAAAGTAAAAAAACTTATCCGTTTTTGATTTGGTTTGGATTTACTACCCTGTCATTTGTTTAAAAATCTGGCTTCTCTCTCTAAAACAATATCGTGAAAAACTAAAACAACCGCGTTTCGGTGATATGAGCTCTTAAGAGGAACATACCATTTTCGTCATCATGGTAATCATTATAACCATTACTATTAATAGAGCGCTTTTCGATTAAGTGTCGTAAAGCCAAAAGCAAAGTAATCATAACAGAAAATCAGAAGAAAAGAAACTACCTTTGAGAGCCAATAAGAACTCAAACTAAATCCAATCAAACTGCTCAAAGGGCGGGAAAACGCGCGCGACCAGCTCATGATGCGGTTTAGTTTTGATTGGTTGAGAAAGTGGCACGAGTTTTGTGGATCAATCACAGAGTAAAGTAAAAGCAGAACCTAGGCAATCCCGGATCACTTTCGACGCTCAATTGAAAATTGCTCTATCACTATAATCATTAACCCTATAACCCCTAAGAGTGACTAACATCTAACATCTCCTTACAATATCACCCCTGAATCACACATTAAGGTCATGAGAATAAAGGAGATGATCACCAACAAAAGAATCTCTTGATTGTTGAACAAATTCTCCTTGTAAGAACCCTAGGAAATGTCTTGGGAGTAGTATGGAGAATATGCACATTGATGTTGTGGAGTAAAGGGTTAATTTTATTATCACTGTTGTTGTTATTGTTAACATTTTTATCTCTATCACCATCACAAACGGTATTTTAGTGGACAATATTATTACCATTATCTCAATTACGTCATTATCATTGAGAACACCAGCTAGAGGCAGACAAGCTAATGGTATTATTCGTAAAAACCACATGGGTTACTCAATTATCTCGCAAACACAAAATTGTACTTACCTCTAACATCTCAGAAACAACACTTTCGATCTGTTGCACAAAAAAGAATGAAAATGAAGAAACACTTTGAGAAGTGAATAAACCTGTGATAAAGCACTTTCTGAGGGTGTAACCTCCACCCAAATTGGTGGATTTTATCACCAGTATCGGTCAAGATCAATAAATATGAACCGTCAATTGTTAGTTTGGTCCAGAAACAGAACATTTGATCTCGGCCGAATCCTGATGACTCAAACCTTCAAGAGCAAATTGAAAAAGGTACGATCGAGAGTTGAAAACAAAGGACTGGAAATAAGGGAAAACGATGTTCACTTTTTTTTCTATTCATACAGTATACATTAATCAGATTTAAGTAGACAGAAGTTGAGTGAAATGGAACACTAAATAACTGCAGAAACCATAACGTAGCGTAATTGTTTTGGACTGCAGTGCACTAGTTGTTTTCAGTGATTTGTCACGCATTGACAGACGTGGTTCGAATTGGTTCGACGCGGTTCGAGTTATCGAGGGCAGAAAAATATAGAGAATGACCCAAAGGTAGACGAAAATTGCTTCGAGTTAGCGAGAGGTTCGAATTATCAAGGGTTTTCAGTTACCGAGGATTAACTTGCAGGAAATGTATGACGGACATCTAGATTTTAGTTCGAGTCAGCGAGGGTGCTTCAGTATAGGGCTTCGTCTACTTTGTAACTTAAAATCAACAAAAAACACCATTACCCATGTAAAGGTAATGTCATACAGTGTTCCTTAAGACAAAGAGCCACTCAAGCATGCATAATGAAACACCAATTGATATCAGTTTTCCTTGATAGCGGGAATTCTAAATTTTAGGTCTTGGTTTGCATTATCTGTCTGAGCCTTTGGCTTCAATACATAACATAAACCATTATCTTGATAATTATTGCTTTTTCTCAAGATTTTGTCAACATTCTTCCTGATAGAAGAGGTCCCCTAGCCTTTAAGTCCCATAAGTAAACGAGACAGCGTTTCTCCTTACAATATAAATACCTTATGAAACGTTTTGGTGTGTAGTATCGCTGAGTATTTTTACGAGTTGTGCCGTATTTTGACGAGCCCGAAAAGTAAGTCGAAATACGAACAACAGCGTTTCTCTTTACAGTATAGATATCTTATTAGACGTTTTGGCGTGTAGTATCGCTGAGTATTTTTAAGAGTTGTGCCGTATTTAGACGAGCCCGCAAGGCGAGTCAAAATATAAACAACGAGTAAAAATACTAAGCGATTCTACGCACCAAAACGTCTAAAAAGTTATTTATTATCCAATTTCTTTTTTTTCTGCTACGTCTTTCTGCTCATTTCTCAGAAGGCGGGAAAAGCAAAGCGGATAGAGAAGCGTAGCGCGCGCAGCCGACTGGTTAAACAGGTTTTCTTACAGTACAAAATAACCAACTGTCCAAATAACCGTACAATATCGCGGGAATTTTCACTCTATTCGCGCGTTATTTGTACTTATCTTTGTGCAGTTGGATGATAACAATACAATATCAAGCACACAAGTGACGAGAATAACAAAATATCGATTAAGGGATTAGTACTTGATTCAATACCAAATTCTCTGAACTAACATCATAAGAATTGAACGGCAGACAGTAAGGAGGATCTTGCGAGTGGAAGTGTTAAATATATGTATCCTTTACATTACAGTAAATACCTTCTTCTTTTTCTCCTCTTCCTCTATAATAAGTTCTAGATTTTCCTCAGCAATCATTCTCTCCTCATTCTTCAGAACGTCCAAACGAACTTTGTTGTCAACTTTCTCACCAGAAACTTCGCATATTTTAATTTCAGCCTCTTCTACCTACACATAAAGTAATTCAAAAGGAAGCTTTTATACAGGCCAAAATAAAAAAAAAAAAATCAAACAAACAAAAACAAAAAATTCTAAAAATATTAACCATGAGAGTATCATGTTAAGGAAACCACACATACACAATGACATGGCATGTGATTATAAACCTTCGAATCTTAATCCACCGTCTTGTAAATAATAAAAAAATACTTTGTATTTTTTAACTCCATTTCAACAATTACAAACTTTTTGAATAATTATAAGAAGAGAAAAGGGCATAATATAGTGAACCCTCCTGAATGCAGAGCCAAACACTGAACATGAACCTCAAGGGAGAGAGGTTTAACTAAAGTATGTAAATACAAACTGTAAATAATAGCGGAGCTCGCGTAGCCCCATAATTATATAAAATAGTAGTAACCCATCAAGCCGAAAAAATTTGGATGTACGACCGTACGACCGTACAAGGTGCTACTTTAACATGCGTGGTCAATTGTACCGCGGGCACGCCAATGCCACGACTTTGTCCAGTACTCCAGTGATCAGTGCACTGGACTCCGAGTCGGACGACCCGGGTTCTAGTCCTGGCCGGGGCAAGACGTTGTGCCCTTGAGACGTGCGAAAAAAAAAATATGTGAGCTCCGCTTTTAGGCTTGGCTAAATCTATATATTATATTACATACCACTTACAATCAAATTGAAATACACGCAAAGAAAATTGATGTAAAATAAAAGAAATGGATTGTAGAAGAAAGCACAAATGCCAGCGGCAATTGTCAACTTAGAGTGATCCCCCCCAGTAAAATCCTGCCATTTTATTCCCATGTCTCCACGACAATTGTCAAAAATTGTAACTGTGAAAACAATAATTTGCTGTTATTCTTAGAACTGCAGCAAATAACATTTTTATATAGTTTTCTAGTAGGCTTCTCCCATATATAGATATGGGAATATGCACAAATTGGCCTACCAAGAAATAAAGTTGACTTTATCTTAACCTCAGAAGTGAACACATGCTTACCAAGTTTTCTGGCAGTTGTGACAATGTCTCTTTGAGCTGATCGACCTTACTGACATTTTCTGGGAGATACAATGCTCTGGACATCAGCAAAAGAGATGCTGGAATTTGCTCAACCAGGTGCAGTTCAACCCACTATGTACAAAGAACAACAGCTTTAAATCAGTATTGAATAATTTATGAAACTTTGACAATGACTGCAACTTTCAGTAATACATGTAGACAGTCATGTACACGTAGGTAGATCATGGAAGACATCAAAAAGTGGTAAGAACAAAAAGTGGCTCACAACTGGCCCAACCAAGTGTGTCACTGGTATTCAAACCACTTTTTAGAATCTGTTTGTTTTATGTAAAATAAATTAAAGAAGCACAATCATGTTATTGATGCTGAGATCATCCATAGCCATCCAGATCTGTCTTTTAATAGATCACAAGCAAGAACCAATTAATTTGAGTGTATCTTCCAGCTTGTTATAAGGCAATGATACATTGCAAGTACCTCACAACCTCTTAAAATTCACCTGTTTAAGTTGAGACCTTAATCTTGCTGCAGGAACACCAATAGCTCTCATTCCGCGAGCTTGGGAAGCTGACTGCAGTTCCTGTTCGGTGAGGCTTTCCACACCTTCTCTTTGAATTAACTATGGATTTTAATGAATAATACCACTTGGGGTGAGACACTTTCAATAATGGTTACCATAATGGAACCAAGTGGAGTCCAATTCTGTCTGTAATCATACAAGTGATTAACAAAATCAGACAACTGCCAAGCGGGAGACTGATTTGTTAGTCACAAGTATAATTACAGACAGAATTGGACGACACAAAGTCCTGTTACCAATTAATCAAAACTATGACAAAATTTGAGAAAGAAACTAGTAATTGGTTATACATTTTTATAATAAAACAACAGTTAACTTGGCAGAATGCGAGACAACAGCGCACACACAAGACGCGTTCTGTCCACTTACACAGGCATGATTGTTAACTGTCCTATTACACTGTCCAATTACAAGTATGATGCATACACTGTCAGATTAGGGCTCAAATAGGGCTGGTGATAACCAATTCCTTTCAAGAAGTTCTTTACAGTCTTTATTACATGTACAATCATGCTGAAAAAATGATTGAAGTTTGCACTAACAGTAAGTTCAGCATAGAATATTTATAATGACTCTTACCAGAAGCTCAGACCTATTATGTATTCAGTAATCATCAAAGTTAAACAACTCGATGTTAGGAAGTAATTTCTGATTGGCTAATCTCATGCTTTAATAAACTCCAGCTCTTGGACAGACATAAGTGCTTCAGGGTTATAATATTCATAATGACTCTGACAAATAATGATGATCACAAATTAAAATCTACAGTCAGTAATGCAAAAAAATGATAAATTTTGAGAGGTACAACTGGTTAAGGTATTAAAGTGTTTATTATCGGTATATCAATTTTCTTAGGTATTTCTTTTCTGTGTTTCTTTTGAGGCATTTTTTTTTTTGAGCCTTGTAATATCATTCTTACATGTACATAAAAATTACAACTACAGCAACCTACCAAATCATCAGCTCTGAGCTCTCTTAATTTCATCCTCAGTCGAAACCTGAAGTAATTGTTTGTTCCAATGGTTGGCAACATCAACAGCCTGTTGATTGCTTTGAGTTGGGCACGACTCATGTTGTCTAATGTAATTTGATCCTCAAACAATTTGGAAAACCTTAAGATGTCTTCATTGCTAGGTTGTTGTCCTCTGCTACGGATCTGCCATCCAAACATAAAGCAAATTTATGTAAATGAGGCAAGGGAAACTAGGGGGCTAGTACATACATGCAGTTGTTCCTATGACCCTTTCCATGTCAAGATCAGAATGAAAATTCTCAGCAATGTCTGACATACATTTTTCATTATCATTGTTCTGAGAAGTTGGTTTCTAAATTAAACAATTTAACCCTCAATTGTTTTTCTTTGTTCTTTTCATCACATTCCAGATTGAAAATGTACTGATACAAAATAGGGAAATTCCTCTTTGGCCTGTTGTCTTAGGAGTGAAGGGGCTGATGAATTTGTAAAAACCTTAGCAAACATTTTATGTGGTAATCACTGTAAATACTCATTAAAAGCATTCACCCTTTAGTTAGTTTTAGAGAAGGGATAACAAATGCTTGAATATTTAAAGGTTCACTACTAAGTCTGTCACAGGATAGCCAAATTTCTCTTCCTTCATGGTTATGTTAGGTATATATAAATTATGTTTACCACATTCAAATTTCTTCAAAAATTGACTTTTCTAAAATATCGAAATTAACAGCTTTTAAAGAACATAAAACCACATCAAGTGATCAGGGAGAGTTTTTGTAGTAGGAAATATTTATCTATTATATGTAGTAATAAATACAATTCAAAATTTTTTCATGCCCCTTTTTCTGCACCTTTTCAAAGAAGTTTGCAAAGTCAGCCACAACCTCTTGTGTTTTCTTTTCTTTGGCTGTCACAGCCATTTCTTCCACTGTGTCTTGTAAAAACTTAGCCATCTGAATTTTCACTTTAAGCTGTTTCTTTTTGTTTTCTTCCTGATAAGTAAAAAAAGAAGGATCATCACACAATTGCAGCATTAAAATGCAGGGCTGAAGCTAACTGGCTAGTGAAAGTGGCTACTGGCAAACATTAATTATCAATCTAGAATTTGACGCTGGTAGTATTGACATGTTGAGCTGAAGAATGCTTTCTGTAACTTCATAGTCTTCAAATCAGCTGACCATAAGTTTAAAGTTTGTTTTTTATCCAATCTGTCTCAAAGGGAAGACATACCACTCCTGTAGTTGTTTAAAATCACAAAAGCTGGCTGCCTTGGAGTAAATTTGGTGAAAAGGATGGGGAAAAACAACTTACTATTTCTGATAATTAGTACAGTGAAGCCCTGCTAACATAAAACTTGGTTAACCTTTAACTCCCAAGATCTGATTGTTAATTGTTGAATGTGTGAAAATGCCTGTGAACTGAGCAAGAATAATGAAAACCAGATTCCCTGTTAATCCTTAACAAAATAATTGAAATTCAACACCATTCCCAAGAACTTGAACTCCTGCTAACTCCAACCCTACTTTGGTTTCCCTTCAGAGATTGAGTTGGTGGGTTTCTACTGTAATTAACAATTGTATGATTTTCAAACCTTCTTGGATTTGTCCTCAAATGTGCTGGGTAGCATGTTTGGAAAAAGGTAAACAGCAACTGGTAACATAAACTCCATGAAAGGAATCAGTATAAATACCAAAAATGGAACCAAGCGAAATATATCTGCCACTGTGCGAAGAAACTAAAAAGTTTAAATGATGGAAAAGGATGAAAACAAAAGTCAGTAAAAATCCAAAAATACTTAGTACAAAGCACACAAACAAAAAAAATCCGGAAAAAATTAGTAGACAGCAAACAGTACATGTAAATACTAACAAGTCAGTCTGAGCTCAGCCCTAAACAAAGCCTTGCTTGTAAAATTATTTAAACAGCTTGGTTAGCTTCAACTAAATTTTCACCCTTAAAATTGTTTTTCTAAAAGTTTCAATAGTTTCAAAAGTTTGCAGAATCTGGGTTAGAGATACAGCCATGTAAATGTAGATGAAAGGATAAATATCAAAATATTCTTTTTAATTAATACAAATTTAGTCATGCTCTTGTTACCTGACGTCTTTCCCGTCTGGACAACACCTTTCCATTCATGACCTGCCATAACCTACGAGCAGCAATTCTAACTTCAAAATACAAAAGCTTAAATCCATGATAATAATGTACAGCCTCTTGCTTAACCCTCTGCCACAGAGACTTCTTTGGCGCTGGAGATACAGCAACTATTGGCTCGATTTCTTCAGGGCTACATTCCATTTGAAAAGCTTTCTCCTTCAGCTTTTCTTTCTTTTCTTTCATAGCTTCCACAGCCTCCTCTACTTTGGACTTTTTTTCTTCATCTTCCAACAGTTTTGTTATACCTGCTTTGCTAGATGAGGGATCATAACTTATGCTGCTGGTGTGGAATGTCTGTCTTTGATGACCACACAGGAGACCTGTATGTTTAAAATTTAAAACATTTCCACAAAACATTGTTCTGTTAATTGTGGTTTTCACAGGAGACAAATTTGCTTGGTTTGTACATGGCTTAATCCAGGCAAGTAGATGATGTCCACCAGTGAAACATTTACTCTGTACCTGTCTGTCCCTTTGTACATGCTTTAAAGTGTTCAATTCTACACTAAGAGCTGACAATCCAGGTATAGATTGATTGTGAACAGTACTTTTGAAACCAACAACACTCCTATGACTGAATGGAACAGCATGATTACAATGTCGGTGGCAAGGAAATTTGCGCTTTGAGTCTTGATCATATCTTTGGCAAGCGACATAACTGGACAACTGACATGCATGTCTAAAACAGAAAGGAACAAGCATTGCTTCAAACAATTGCTACACTTATACTTGGTAACCTTAACCTTTGACACCCTAGACCTGATTGTTAATTCTATCATCTTGTGGTAATGATTCCACCCTTCCCCTCCCACCACATTCCCTGCTCCCTGTGGGGTAACTGATACCCTGATGATGAGACAGTTGACCCATTCATTCTAAGGAGTGACCAAGCATGAATTTCTTCTCCTGACATCCATAATTATTATATCATTAGTTGTTCTCAATCCTGAAAAGTTTATGAGATGTCTATCCTCTTCTGCCGTCTTTCGAAGTGTCATGACAACTGGAAACTTAATGCACTAGTAGATATAAGCCAGAAATCACAAAAGAAAAGAACTCAACTGCATATTTTGTGAGAATGCCCAACTACTAAGATACTACAAAAGAAGCAAAAAGTAGCACCAGGAAAAATTGGGTCAAAACCGGGTCAAGACTGGAATTCTATTATCACACTCACTCACTCATTCATCTCAACAAAATATGTAGCTTGGTCTCCCATAGGAGGCATTATATGAAAATCATATACTTTAGGTGAACTGCAGATTAATGAATGAATATAAAAGTGATCTTTACAGTGGTGAACACTAATTAAGCTGTTGTTAAAATAAAGCCTGAAAAAATTTAGGCCTATATAATAGTTGAACCCATGACCTCGCAATAACAGTGCAGTGCTCTACCAACTGAGCTACAGTATCAAGCTTACTGGGAGCTGGTCATTATGTTGGTTTGTAATGAGCCCATGTTTGAGTAACCACCAAATTTTTCGATCTAAAATCATAGTCGATGAATGACAAACAGTTAGGAGAATAACTATGTAGATTATGGGAGTGAAGGGGTTAGGAAGCCAAACAAATTGTTACCAAACTTTTAGTTAACAGATTAAGTAAAAATAGACTCATGGATTAACTTCTAGTTTGAGTAGTTTTAGCATTAGCATCTAGCGTATTCAGTTACGAATATAATTCAGCTACTAAATAACTCCCCAGGTCACATTCTTAGAGTTCATGGGTTCAAATGCTGTTGAGACACTCCGCACAAACAACTAACAGAAAGATTAATAATTAATCGTGATCAACACACAAATCGGACTCGAGCTTGGCAATGTAACGCACGCAATCACGTCAAAGGAGTTACTGTCCGAAACAGCATTGAATATCAACCATATAACATGGCCGATGCCTAAATCTCCACGTGTGGATGCCTGAGCTCGGATTTAAAAATTAATGGCGACTGTATAATTTTCTTGAACTGCAGATTCAATAATTTACATATGACATAAGTTCCTACAATTGCGTCACAAAAGTTACCACTTACCGATAATGTGGAGAAGAAGTATACAACAGCCGTTCTGTCGAAAATAATACATCCAGATACCCCAATAAGCGAACGAAAAACGTCTAAATGTTATAATAAGCTCAGTACATTTATATTCGACCATGCAGATTCAAAAGTTCAGTAAAACCACTCAACAGCATACTCACGCAGGTTACAAGAGTGCTGCAACATCGCCGTTTTGTTTTCTTGAATGCTAAAAATCACAGAGTTGATTATCTACAAATTACATAACCTAAATATTATAAAATTATCTTCTTGTGTGTTTTCCTAGACATCGATTACTATTTAGGCTTATCACATGTTGGAAATCACACGAAGACCGGCTTACACGACAGTTACTGGTCAGCGTTTGCCATATTAGACCATGGCTTGCATAGAGTTGTGGGATACTTTCTTGCCGGAAGAGGTGTGATCATCATCCCACAGGAAAACAATATTTCACAGAGATTTTCTGCGATTCACAGAGCACAGACGAGAGACATTATGTCGTTCGAGAAAGGTTAGTTTATCTTGCATATTTTAGGATCGCATATGCTCTGATTTATGGTCTGTAGCCTTAGTTTATGCGAACAGTTTGTTTCAGCTTTCTTTGACAAACTCACTTTCGTGATCCTGTCATCTTTCTTGAACATGTACTAGCTATCGTTTTTCTTCCAGCGATACGGTATCTTTTGAGACCAAGCTTATTCTTGTCTTACAGGACGTATATTTTCTACCTTACCGAAAACTGTTAGAGGCGCTCCAACAGTTTTAAAAGGCGATCCAAAAGGAAAAAATTTCCTCTATACCAATGGTACCAGCGTGATAATTCGCGACATTGAGGTGGGTTTAATTTATTTCTGCAAGATTATTTTAGCTCGGAGCTTGTCATTCGCAAAGCAGGGGGCTGAAAACTCAAACATACTGAGCAAATTTCGAAATGCATCTTTTTATTCTCAGCTGCATGCGATATTATTTTCGGAATTTTCCTGCACACTCGATAATTTCCTGTAGACGTTGACTCATGTAAAATTCATGTATTTTAAATTTCTCACTCACTCTGAAAATTTTAAGTGACGTAAGGTACTGTATTTCATTCGAGAATGTGCTTAAATGTGAAATAACACCTTGAATGTGAAATTACTTTGCAAGGAGGTTGCATCTGATAAAGAAGATGTCGATAGTGTAGTGGTGGACATAAACGGGCGGTTTGTCGATTATTTTAATAGTTTGAGTGAATTACAGCCAACATTGACCAAAAAAGGACATAACTGATCAACTATTTTTGTTTGCATAACTATTTCCATCTCCAACACTGCCATTTCTAATTATGGAAGTCCTGTGGAAGCCAACTCGCTCATTGTAGATTTTTTTTGTATTATTTAACCAGATTTTATGGTAAAGTTACAAACCAAATTTTTTTCACTATAAAAATCCTCAAACGGTGTTATTTAGTATATACAAAGCAAGTGAATAGTGCAAAATGTTGTCATATGAGGGCTTAAGGCTGTCAAGGCTAGTACTATTCCCTTAGGAGCATCAAATGAGACAAAATCGTGCCTCAAGAGTTTAATTTCTTACCATTTTTTGGTATACTGAAAGAAATATATTTTTTGATGTCTGGGGGTATATACTTAAACTATTAATCACCTCAGTTTCAGAGAATAATTGTTAATTATTGTATCATAATTCTAATGGTCCTGGACTCCCCCAGTTATTTTGAGTTTTGTTAACAGAAAACCAAAGGTAAAAAGCGTTGTACAATTACAATAAAATTGTAAAAGTTTACCTTTTTTGAATTACTCCTTTTCAAAGAGAATCATGGGAGACTGGTGACAGTAATTTGCCAAGCAACCAATCTGAAGGCAATCTCACCATAACAGATTCAAACATGGATAAATATTACTTGATTTACTTCATCTATTAATTAAATAGTAATTTTTTTAAATTTCTTTTTTTCCATTGATTCCTCTTTCACTGCTACTTCAGTCAAAGTACTAATAATAAGTTCATAAAAAAACTTTTTTGGAGTCTATTAAAGTTTTTTGTTTGTTTGAGATGGAATTTAAGTTAAAACGATTTCTGAATTTATTTGCACTTTTTATTTTTTACTTTCAATTGATAATTACAGGAAGTATGACAATGTGTCATTAACAGAGGGAAATGCAAATTAAAATGGTTTTAAATCATTTTGTCCTAAATTCAGGTTAAACTACAACATGTGTGTATGCATTCTTACAATGTAGGTTAAAACCTGAGGTAGAACCTTGGCTCAGTATTATGTCAGTCTGACTGAAGCATTGCTGTAATGAGATTTATGTAAAATGTACAGTACTTTGAAAACTCTGTGTTTCAGAAGGTGAGAGAGTGTGGGATATTGATTTTTACTTCATAAAGAATAATGTTACATACATCAGTTTATATTAGTCTACATTTGCAAAAAAGATTTAAAAGATATTAAACAAAAAGAAAAGAAAGGATAGAAAACAAACTAACAATTTATGAATTTAACCAATAATGTTTCAATGTATTGTTTCTTTTTTGTGCTCCTTTATTGCTTTCAAGATTTTTGTTAATTCTTCCCTCAAGCTGCTGCACATTTTCCTTGTAAAGTAATTATAAGAATTTGGAGTTAGATCAAGATGTAACTTCTACCTCATGAGTCTGAGTATTCTCATTACCTGTTTGCTGGATAATGTATGGATATTGTAAAGAGAAGTTACATAATAATCAATTTTGGGAGTTGAACAGTTAATGCTTTGGAACTTAACTCATGTTCAGAATCACAATTTAACCCTTTCACCCCCAGGAGTGATGAACATGGAACTTCTCCTTATAATTTCCTTACTTTATCCAGAAAACAACCAATAAGAATATTCAAACTTATCAGATAGAAGTTGTTACCTTGATCCAACACCAAATTCTCAAAACTAATTTACAAGGATACAGTATGTGTAGTGGCTAGAGGAGAATTAACAATCAGATCTTGGGAGTTAAAGAGTTATTAAACATTTAGGGTTGGTGGTTTAAACAAAGTTTAGCTTTTGTTTAACCAAACTTCTTTCAAAGCCATCTTCAGTTTAGCCAAACGTCTTAATATACAAATATTTCTTTTTGGCAACAGTGTCAAGAGGGCCAAAAATTATCTGTGGAGGACATTTATTTGATTAAATCAACCCTCTTATAGAGATTAACTGAGGCCCACTGCTTGCTTAAAACTGGGGAGTTCAATGAACTCTTTCATTCAAGATGATATGTAGGAATGACCATTGACTAATATTTGATTGTTTCCTGTCACAGAAACATTTTGATATTTATGAATTTTGGGTCAGATTCCTTAAAAATTTTATGCTCATTTCATATACTAAATGAATTACATTTGCAGAACCCTGACATTGCTGATGTTTATACCCAACATGCCAAGGATACAACTGTAGCAGCATATGCACCCAGTGGATTTTACATTGCATCAGGAGGTAAAATATCCCCTGAGACCCACTGTGCCAAGTTCTTTCAAGGTTTTCCATTTTGTACCTAGAATGTAATTTTAACCCTTTCACTCCCAAGATCTTATGAGTCATTCTCCTTACTATCTGCCATCCCATTCTCATAATGTTAGTTCAGGGAATTTAGTCTTAGATCAACCAGTAATCCCCTAACTGATATTTTTCTTTATTCTCGTCACTAGTCTGTCTGGTATTGTATTGATACTGTAAGGAGAAATTCTGTCTTGATCACTCATGGGAGTGAGCAAGACTGTAAGACTGCAAGACTGTACCACCACATTACTTTCTAATCCAATAATTTTCAAGTATGTACTGATATTCTGTAGAGATATACAGAATTTTTAAAATAAATCTGTCCTTTTGGAGTGCTATTTTCTTTTGGTCAATTAGCAAGTTGTATTCAGAAAGTAATGTTGCATCTTACAGTCCCAGACAGACAAAAATTGATGATTTCTTAGATAGGTATTGGTAGCTCTGATATTTGGTGACCTTTTACTGCAAACTAGAGTTTTAGGTAAGCTAATTCAAATTAACTCACAATGTACAATGGGATATGTGATTGGTGGGAGACGTGTTGGTCTAATGGTAAGTGTGTAAGACTTCAGACAAGAGGTCTGAGGTTAAGGCCTGGTTGTATCCATGTGTTGTGTTCTTAGGCAAAACACAATGCTCTCATAATGCTTCTCACCATCCAGGCCCCAGTTGTTTTAAGGTTGGATAACACTATTCACTGGATAAATCTTTATCCAGTGAATAGCACAGTATGTTTTGCTATCACTTATCTGCTGGATAGTGATTTATCTGTTGGATAGTGTTATCTGGCATTTATACTATTGGGCCCTGGAGTATGAATGGGTACTGGTGAATTTGTCAGGGAAGCTAGTGTGGTGAAATACTGGATGGTAACCTTGCAATAGACCAGCATCCTATTCAGGGGGGAGGAGTGACTCCTAGTTACTTAATGCTAAGGAGATTGGAGTAAGCTCCGGCTTGGTAGCCACTTGGCTTGGGTACAGTTATGATTAAACAAGTATTGTTCCAGTCATCGTAGTAAATACAGCACCATCAGTGTTGTCATTTGCAGCCACACATTCTTTCCTTGTGGCCATTCATTTCAGTGGTGAGCAATAGAACTGAGGCACACATCAGGTAAAGTGCACAAGTGTATAACTTAACAACATGACCTTGTCTCTTTATAGTCTATCATTTCTTTTTTTTTTTTTTTTTTTTTTTTTTTTTTAAGATGTCTCTGGAAAACTCAGAATCTGGGACACCACACAGGCAGAGCATATACTGAAATATGAATACCAGTCTTTGAGTGGTGCTATTAAAGATATCGCATGGTCTGAGGACAGTAAGAGGATTGTTGTTGTTGGAGCAGGCAGGGAAAAGTATGCTATCATCCTCATTTCTTTTTAACAACTGCATCACTATGTGGAGGTTGGGTGCTTCAAACATCCAGGGGCTTCCACTGTTGGCAGCCAGCTCCCAGGCAACCCAGCCATGAACCCTCATGCAGGAAAGGGAAACAGGCACCCATCACACTGAATAAACAGTGGAAAGAGTGAGGGAAGGGTGGGGAAAACTGCCACTCCTCCAAATACTTCAAGTTCATGCTCAATGCACATGCAAGAACACCTCAAATGAAGAGCACATTGAATTCCTACACATGCACATATGCAAAAAAACTGCTGACTACTAGAGAACACTGATGCTCTTTGTTGTTACAGTAGCTCCATTAAATTGCATTTATCTGCATATAAAAACCCTGTCCAAATAATTTTCTGTTTGTCTGTTAGTCTCTGTGTTAGTCACAGTTTTTATTTTATATT